AAGACTGGCTCACTAAGCACACTGAGAATCATGAAGACGAAGAAAGGATGTCACTCCTGTCCCACGAAATCTTTAGTCAAATTCATTAGACTAGCCACATAACTCTGAAGCTTCAAACAATTATCACTCGCTTTTGTCTGAATGCTCGGGAACAATCCGCTAGATATACATCTACAGATGCAAGTTCTACTGAATGCAACAATCGTGTTAGTCATGCACATTGACTTTGACAGGACCAAATGAGAGCTACTGGTACTAGTTGTTTAAGTCCAACCAAAGCTTTCTGTGATTGCGCTACACTCATACGTATTACATCTCTTATTTTAAGGTTTCTGTGCTGTTATTACCGTTGTGTTTCTTCATGTAATGGTGATTCTCGCCTTTTCATCAATCACCCCCGGGTTCACTACTACCTTTTAATCTTACTAGACACCACAAGAGCAATTTTGAACACATTTAGGCACATACTAATACAACCTGAGTAAAGGTACACCGGAAGCAAAGTTTAGAGCATTAACATTTGTGTCTCAACTTTACGACAGCCTATAGATTGTCGTAGTAGGCGGATTGTAGCTATCAAAATGTCCGTACTTCAAAACGTGCTTGATAACAAGCGCAAGATACGTCAATGAACATGTGCTTGATATAATAGCCGGCGGAGCTCCATCGGCAAGATACCTGTTTTCAGCACAGACTGTCTAAGTTAGGTATGAACAATGTGGCATTTGCTAACCTAAGCCAAGTCTGTCTGCGACAAATCGTTAATCGAACTGCCAGGAGACGAACAGTAAAGTTATATTACGTGGTTGGTTTGGCTTGGAGTAAACAAGGCATCGTGACTTGCTCCAGAAACCTGCAGTGAACTGCCATTGTCTAGTAAGGTTTGATAAGCCATAAGAAGAAACCAGGCAGCAACCCTTGTTAATGCAAGTAGATGATACGGCGGTTGGCTACATTGGATAGAAACGTATGGCAATTGTTAAACGTTGCCGAGGGCAGGAACTTTACTTATGTTACATGGCCAAAACATCAATAGATACCCGTACAGTAGGCGCCTGTGTCAAACGTAGTTCCGCAACCATCCGATCTTTCGACCCCTCATCTCGTCTATTACCCCAACACTCTCGACTGACTGCCATCCCATTCCCCCGCGGCAGAGGAATCGGCTACAGTTGGCTTATCGACGCCCGATAATGCACTGCTGCGGGGCAGATTCTCGCGACGCATGCATTCTGCCGACCACTCTTGGTAAGTAGACAGACAGACGGGTGCCTGGGTGCCCGGAAACCCGCTAGAGCTCTGAGCGAGCATGCGGGGGTGATACGGACACAGGACGATCACATTGATACTCCTAGATAGCGTTAAAGCGCAACGTTGATTTGGAAGAATGTAACGTTGAACATGATTCTGAGTATAATCGTCTGTGGTAATACCCTGCATCGGTGTTTGGATACACATTTGCCCCCATGCTAGACGACCTTACTTGCCCGATAGCTGGGCCGAAACCCGACCCCGCAGCCTTCTGCGGGCTGCCCGCCACACAACTTTAAGTCAGACGAAACAGATGGTAACATTATATAGCTTCGGAGGGTTCACTCTGTTTCTTTAGGTGGGCGCTGGCTTTTTGTCTTTGAAATCATTCACTTATGTTTCCATTCAATTTCGACTTGTCCTGGACTCGGGAGTAACCACTGTGGAGACATCTGGCAATAACAATGTCCGGAAATGTGGAGAGTGTCAGAGAGGGGCCGAGCCCGGCCCGGGACGAGGACATTGAAAAGATCCCCGCGCAAGTTAGTCACAACCCAGAGCAGAAGATCTCTGACCAGATCTCGCATGAGAAGCTCGAGGAGTTGGCCCCGAATGGAGAAGGAGACTACATCCTGGAAAAGATCAACGGAATGGGCGAGGAGGAAGCTCTCGAGATCGTCGAGGAGGCTGTGGAGTTCTTCAAGGACGACTGGAACTTCCCCTCCGACATGAGAAGCCGCATGAAGAGGCTGCTCGAGGGCCCTAAGGCGTACGGAGAACATTACGACCGCGACCTGAGGATCGACGCCGTCATGATTCGCTACTCGTCGCCGTACCCTGGTGTTCGCGCCGTGGCAGAGATTCTGGACGATCAAAATGTGCCGATTGAGACGTTCCGGGCGTACTTTCTTGGAATCGGCTGGGCCGTCATCGGGACTTTCATCTCAACCTTCTTCAACTCAAGGTTCCCGTCCATCTGTGAGTTGACGTGCCCTCGGCCCTTCTTCGCGGCACACGGGGCTGCCTTCGCCGGCTAACACCATATTTGTGCAGCTCTCAGCGGCCAGGTCATTCAGATCTTGTTGTTCCCGTGCGCCAAGTTCCTAGAGTTCGTTCTTCCGGACTGGGGCGTCACCGTCTTTGGGACTCGTCACTCTCTCAACCCAGGCCCTTGGAACTTCAAGGAGCAAATGTTCGCAACCATCACGTATAATATCGCAATCTACACCACCAACAGCTACGGCATGATCCTTGTGCAAAAGTCGCCGGTCTACTATGGCCTGCACTTTGTGAACTTTGGCTACCAGTTGATGCTCACGCTCTTCGTCCAACTCATGGGCATGGGTTTCGCCGGGTACCTGCGCCGGTTCAGCGTCTATCCAGTCAAGGCCCTTTGGCCGACGATTCTGCCGACAATCGCCATGAACAGAGCACTGACCCGCCCCGAGCCGAAGGAAAACATCAATGGATGGACCATTTCGCGGTACAAGTTCTTCTACGTCTGCACAATCTGCATGTTCTTCTACTACTGGTTCCCCGGCTATCTCTTCACGGCCTTGGCAACTTTCAACTGGATGACCTGGATCTCTCCAGAGAACGTGACCTTGGCCATCATCACGGGCTCCTCTCTGGGCCTTGGTTTATTCAACCCCGTTACGACGTTTGACTGGAACGTCGCCACGTCTTCATACGCCGCTCTAGCCCAGCCCTTCTTCGCGACCTGCACTCAGTACTTCGGTGCCATCATCGGCGGAGCCATAATTCTCGGGATCTACTACACTAATATGTACAATACAGCCTATCTCCCCATAAATTCCTCCTCCCCCTTTGCCAATGACGGCACCACGTACGTGGTGCAGAAGGTGGTTGTCAATAACCAGCTCAACGAAACCCTATACCAGCAATACTCGCCTCCATTCTACTCGGCCGGGTACCTCCTTACCGTTGGGGCCAACTATTGTTTCTACCCGGTCTACTTCTTATACATCATGGGGTAGGTTTTCCGACTATTCGCATCTTTCAGACGCTAAAAGGGCATCGCAGAAACCAATGGAAGACCATATCGGCAGCGTATGTCGACTTTTACAAGGGGCTTCGCCACGGGAAGGGCAACTACGAAGGGGCCATGGACGTTCACAACCGCCTCATGGCGCATTATGGAGAGGTTCCGGATTGGTGGTTTTTGGTGATACTTGTTGCCGCCATCGTTGTTTCTGTCGTCTTCCTCAACATCTACCCTCTCGACACTCCGGTATGGCTGGTGTTCTTAATGATTGGCATCAACCTAGTCTTCGCAGTACCCCTTTCCTTCCTCTCCGCAACCACAGGAACAAACCTGGGGCTCGGCTCCTTGATCCAGGTCATCACGGGCTACATGCTGCCAGGCAACACAAACGCCTTCCTCTTCTCGCAGACTCTGGGTTCCTGGGCCCTCGCTGGCTACGGAGACAACTACGTCCAAGATCAGAAGATGGCGCACTACACCAAGATCGCCCCGCGAGCCGTCTTCAGGAGCCAGATCGGCACCATCATCATCACATGCTTCGTAGCAGTGGCTACGCAGAACTTTATAATGGAAAACGTCAAGGGGCTATGCTCCCCCACTCAAAAGAGCCGCTTTACGTGCGCAGGCGATGGGGCACCATTGTACTCAAATTCGCTGAGTATGTTATCCAAGCTCATTTTTTCTATCAGCGCTCACGTACTAATGAATGTCCAACTCAGTGTGGGGGCTTCTTGGCTCCGAGCGCATGTTTGTATCCTTCTATCCCATCCTGAAATGTGAGTCGCAACTTGGTCATGCTCTAGGAACACGACGACTAACACGCATGCTTCATCAGGGTGCTTCCTTTTTGGAACAATAATTGCCATCGTCTTCTTGGTCGGCCAAGGCTACGGGCCAAAGTACCTCCCAGGGGTACGGGAGAGTTTGCGACAGAAGCTGAGTCCGAAAACTTTTGCTCTTTTGGACAAGACCCTCTTCCCCTTCGTTGCATCTCTACTTTGGCTCAATCCGATCCTCGTAATCCAGGGAATCCAGCACTGGGCACCTTCCAATCTTTCATACAAGACACCTGGTTTCATCCTCGGGTACATCTTCATGTACTGGCTTCCCCGGCACCGATTGGCCTGGTGGGAAAAGTACAACTACGTCCTGTCGGCGGCCTTGACTGCTGGCGTTGCCGTTTCGGCCTTGGTCATGTTCTTCGCCGTGGGATATAATCCGATCGATTTGAGATGGTGGGGCAACACCGTTAGCGGCGCCGGGGTCGATGGAAGTCAGATTGGGATCCTTCCGATTCCCGAGAGAGGGTACTTCGGTCCTGAGAGAGGAACGTTTCCGACGTAGGCCGCGACGTAGATCGGTCAGAGACCCCTATTTGTTCTCGGAGGAGAAGATGCTTACAAGCGAAGGCGGAGCCAACGATGTATTCGTGGCGATATTGAGTTCTTGGCTTGAAGGAGACCTGCTGTTCGAGATACATACATGTATTAGTAGCCTTTTCCAACTACGCAGTCTTTAGAAATGGCATCACATGTTTCACAACCCCGAGTTTTGGGTTCGTATATTTTCGCTAAGGCAGAGGTAACATCTATTTGATCATGAAACGGACAATCTCGATCCTGGTGGTATTGATGTCCTTGGTAACACCCTCAAGGTTGTAGCACTTGGCGTACATGAAAGGAAGGCCCATGCCGACGACCTTAACACCGAGGGCTCGTAGCTTGAGCCCGTCGTTGCCGTAGTAGACGCCGCTGTCGGCCACGACGTCAAAATTTCGGAAGACCTCGGAGACGTTGCGGTAGATCTCCTAAGTGATCTCGAGGGACCTAGGAGTGTGATCGAGCTGACGGCCGCCGTGGCTAGAGATGCAGATGACCTTGGCACCCTCATCGACTACGTGGAGGGCATCTTCGACGGTGGTGATGCCCTTGAGGATGATGGGCAGAGCGGTTTTGTTTCTCATCTGGACGAAGATGTTCCAGCTGAGGGCGGAGGACACGGAGTTGGCATTGGTGGTGTCGTAGCGGGCGGCTCGGTGGCGGCCGGAGTCGTCGGGGGCGTCGATGGCCAAGACGATGGCCTTAGTGCCAGTGCGCTCGGCGTGGCGGACGTTCTCCTAGGTGACGGAGAGGTTGACGTTGGTGTAGATCTGCTGGAAGATGTCCTGGGACCCGTTGAGGGTGCCGGCCTGCTTGCCGGCGGCAATCTCGGATAGATCACCGTGTCAGGGAAAGGTGTACCAATTCTTCACCATGCAAAGTGTAAGCCGCTGAGAAGACTTTCAACCTGGTGTCTCAGTATAATGATATATCCTTAGGTCTTGAGATGCTGCTTATGCCATCATCAGTCAGAACTGTTCATATTATATTTACCAAATCTTTTGAGCTCCGTGGACCACAGTGCAAGTACGCTTTCCCTTCTCGGGAATTTTCTTCTTATTTTTAGATTTGCACATATGCACTTGGCATTCATATCGTGACTACAACCCCCAAACACGCTTTGGTTTTACAGTAAAGTCCGCAAAAGCCTTTGCACGGCGCCGACAACCGCCTGCGGTCGCTTCCACCACAAATACACGGCCCCGATTACCAGCGGACTGTAAACGAGCGCTTCAAACGTCTTCAACAGCACCTGGCCTTGGTGGTTACTCTTGGCGACGACCTCCGAGTACCGCTCGTTCCCGAAGCTGACGCGCGAGTACTTCGTCTGCCAGCCCAGACCGGGCATATACACAGATATGGCCTCCTCGAGCCACTTCCGGAGGCGGTAGCGGGGGGACAGCACCGAGGCGCGCATCTCGACGTAGTTCTGGAGGGCGAGATCATTGATGGAGTGCGCATCAGGGACTCTGTTCGCCGTGTACTCGGCCAGCGCGACGCCTCTCTGGTGGGCTGCTGCGGCGGCGGCGTCTGCTTGTCCTGTAGGGTCGTTGACTTCGCCCATGCGGCAGTGCTTGTCCAAGATGGAGAAGAGGATTCGGACATCTTCCAGGCCCGCGTTCATGCCTTGACCGTAGAAGGGAACCATGGCGTGTGCAGCGTCGCCAACGATAATTGCGGAGGCGTCATAGTGGTATGGGCTGCACTTGATACTGATCAAAGGTAGATGTGGGTTCTGCTTGAAGGACGCGATCAGGTTCTCTGCGGGGATGAGATCTGTGACACCTGGGAAGTGCTTGTTAAAAAAGGTGGGCACGCTGGAGGGGTCGTTTTCTAGCGCCACGGTTTGCTCGCTGGGCAGGAATAGTGTGCATGTGAAAGATCCGTCCTGCCAACTGTTAGCGGGCACCGCGCCAAGGGCACAGAATCTAGGTGCTCACGTCGCTGGGGATGGCAATGAACATGAAGTCTTTGCCGGGCCAGATGTGGAGGTGGTTTGGTGAGATTCTGAAATGGGGACCCTCGCCGCCCGCCGAAGGGGGCTTCGCGGGCTTGATCTGGAACTCGCACCACAGGGTGTCGATGTACTCCTGCTTGTAGTTCATCCGGGTGAACTTCATTAGATGGTACCTGACGGCTGAATGGGCGCCATCGGCACCGATCATGAGGTCGAAGTCGATCTCAATCTCTTTGGCACGGCCTGTCGCGGACTCAGAGGTCATGACCTCGAACCAAGCCTTGCATTTCCTAAAGTCTGCGCCGGTGAGCTTGTGGTTGAAGAAGAACTTGACGTTGGACATCTCTTCGAGAATGTCAAGCATGCGCTTGTTCAGACCGGCTCGGTCCACGGCGTAGATGGCCTGCGGTCATGGTCAGCATGTTGCAACTGGGGGGCTGGATTTGTGAATCAACCAACCCTGCCATGAACGTCGTAATCCTGGGCGATCTCGTACAGATCACCCTTCGGGGTTCTGCCATGGATCATGCGTCCCCGCATGGGGATAGTGGCGCCAAAGACATGTTCCAGTAGCTTTGGTTGGCCAGCATTGCGCATGGCGTTGATGCCGCGCTCCGACAGCGCCAAGTTGATGGACCGGGTGAAGTTTAAGAGGGTTGTTGAAGGATCCCGCAAGTCTGTACAGGCAGGCTGTCAGTCTTGTCCAAGTGAGCCAGTCGCCAGTAAATCACTATTGGTAATTGCTTTTCAACGTTCCGGCCGTCGTTGTGGCCGAAAAAGCTAGCAGTTCCCCAGGAGGCGCAAAACCACACCCTCATCCTTCAACGGATCCCATCCCGTGCTGGCAACTTGGGGTGCAGGTCAGTTGGTGGGGTGGGATCCACGAGAAGTGCGGCGATCTTCCCATGGCTGCCCGCCTGACTCAAAAGGGGCATTCAGAGACTTGAGAGAATCGTGAAAATTGCAACACACGACTCACCGGCTCTCAGCTCATAAATCTCGACATTGTATCCGCGCTGCGCAGCGTACAACGCCGCTAGCGAGCCAACGGGACCGGCGCCGACCACGACGACTTTCTGGGGTTTGGCCATGCTGATAGCTGAGGGCCAAGCGGTATCTCTGTTTCCTTGTCCGTCTCTCTCAGTTTGCTTATTGAAGCGGCCGAAATGGACTGAGAGGAAGGCTTTTTGCTCAGTGACGTGACAAGTCCCCCATGATTGCAGGCGTCAACGACTTTTCTGCGCATAGAGCGGCGAACGTCGGGGCCCTGTCGGCGGTTCGGCTCGCGGAAATACTCCGGAAGCCCCGACAAGGGAAGCTCCGATGCAAGAGAGAGAAAGAGACTTTCCTTTGTTTACTAAGGTTTCTTGCATCTTTTGTGTTCTGGGCCCGGCCTGGCAAGTTGGTCAGGGCCCTTCCTGCTGCTTGTGGCTTACAAACTCGCACTGATGCACCAATTAATCTTATCGATAACGGAAGGCACAGCCTCTGGGCTGTTTTCTTATCGGTGCATCGATTTTTTGATCCGCCCGCTTTAAAAGTCCACAAGCCTGGTGGTTTGCGTGTGTCGCAGCGGGGGAAAAGACAGCGCCAAAGCGCCTATCACAGTCTCTAAAATGGAATTATTCCTCTCTCTCTCGGCTCAGGTCACCTTGCCGCACCCGAACTGTCAACTTTAGGGCGTGTGATTCGAGAGTCTTACATCGTCGCCTCGTGTAACTGAACCCTGCCGTTTGCCATTTCCGGGGTCTCTTTTTTTTTTCTTTTTCTTTTTTTTCTTTCCCACATCGCGTCGATCCCTCCGAATACAATCTTGACCGTAACGAACCAACACCTCCCCCTCCCACTCACCTACTACCCCTCCACCACCAAACGACCGCCATCATGACCGAGCCCCCTGCAAAGAAGAAGTGTCTCGGCGTCGACTGCCCCAATGACGCCGGTTCCTTGCAATGCCCGACATGCTTGAAGCTGGGTGTGAAGGACAGCTTCTTCTGTTCGCAGGATTGTTTCAAGAAGAATTGGGTAAGCAAGCAAATGACGACACCCGCCGTGCTGCTGCCACGGGAGCAATCGCGACAGTTGCTGACGTCCCCTTGCAGAGCAACCACAAGGCTATGCACAAGACAGAAACGAGTATTTTGCACCATGTCCTCCCACCAAAGGTTGTTTCTAAACCAGATCCAGAGACGGGTGTCTTCAACCCATTCCCGACGTACCCCTTCACCGGCTCTCTGCGCCCCGTCTACCCCCTCTCCGAGCGCCGCACCGTTCCCAAGCATATCCCCCACCCGGACTGGTGGAAGGACGGCATTCCCAAGTACCCCCGAAGTATCCTCAACCGGAACAAGGTGGACATTCTCGATGCCAAGGGCATCGCCGGCATGCGCAAGGTCTGCCGCCTGGCGCGTGAGGTCCTCGACATTGCCGCCGCCGCCGTCAAGCCCGGCATTACGACCGACTACATCGACGAGATCGTGCACAAGGCCTGCATAGAGCGCAATGTGAGTTGGCCACCCTGTGAGCATCTGCGCTGGAGCGCGCCTGGGAGAAGGCTGACGAGAAACCAAACCCGCAGGCCTACCCCTCTCCCCTGAATTACAACCACTTCCCCAAGTCGGTGTGCACGTCGGTAAACGAAGTCATTTGCCACGGAATCCCCGATCAGCGTGTCCTTCTGGACGGGGACATTCTCAACATCGACGTCACGCTCTACTTCGAGGGTTACCACGGCGACCTGAACGAGACGTACTACGTTGGCGACCGCGCCAAGGCAGACCCCGACTCTGTCAGGGTAGTGGAGGCGGCGCGCGATTGCCTTGATGCCGCCATCGCCGAGGTCAAGCCCGGAACGCTCATCCGTGAGTTCGGCAACATCATCGAGAAGATAGCCAAGGAAAGGAACTGCAGCGTTATCCGCACCTACTGCGGCCACGGCATCAACTCGCTTTTCCACTGCCCTCCCAACGTCCCTCACTACGCCAAGAACAAGACGGTAGGAGAGTGCAAACCCGGCATGACCTTCACCATCGAGCCGATGATCGCCCTTGGCAAGTACCGCGACGTCACCTGGCCCGACAACTGGACCAGCACAACGATTGACGGCAAGAAGACTGCGCAATTTGGTGAGTGCCTTGACCTCCCCCTCCAACTTTCCTTCTTCGGAACCACACAGACGTGTTCAAAAACGAATGGCTGACGCGAATTACAGAGCACACTCTCCTCGTGACAGAGGACGGAGTCGAGGTTCTTACAGCCAGGACTGCCAACTCGCCAGGCGGCAAGATTCCGATGCCCGGCACTAACGGCGAGACGACCGGCGCTACTGCATAGACCGTTATATAAGCATTAAAATGAGAGCATTAGCAAGCGGCAGAGGCGTTCGGTTGATGGAAAACCGGGCGGTTATGGGCTCATGGGGCGAGTGCACACGGGGGGGGGGGGGCTGGAGCTAATTTGAAGAGGCGGCATGGCTCGAGCATATGGCACTGGGACACATGTCAACCAAAACAGGCCATCACGGTTGTAAGTGATAGCCCTTGAATATCAAAGCATTGGGATCCCGACAATCAATCCCACCATTGTAGTGGTGATGGACACGTGAGCCATGTTTCCTTGCCCAGGGGGAGGGCGTGCACGTTGATCTGAGGGGTCCAGTCCCAGTCCCTGGCCCTTGCAGACGCAGACGACAGCTGGGCAAAGGTGAAGCCAGGGGGCATCCCGAGCCGCTGCCATGGGGCGACATGGGCTTCCGGCCGGGCACCGTTATCCAGTCTCGCCAACTCGACGCATCCAATTGACTGCTCAGTGCATACTGCGGATGCGCTGTCTTACTGTGCGTTTACGGAGGAGTTCGCATGTGACACATGAGCAAACGGATTCCTCGCGTCTGGCTGCATTCTGCCACCTGTTGGCGCCATGGTCAATGTTAGGGAGATGATGGAGCTGGACCCAGCCTCCCAGCCACCGTGTGATCGGAGATGGAGGGAAAGCCCTGGGTTCTAGCATCGAGGGGCCCCTAGACGTAAAGACCTGTAGGTGGGGTTTTTGTTTGTTCCCCCCTCCTGTGTATGCGCCATCAACTGCGCAATGTGGCTGAGGTTATTGGGATCTGGCTTTTTTTGCCCCTCCTCTCTTCAGTGAACGAGTATGAACTTGGCAGGAAAACAGCGCGTAAGAGTGCAGTGATAGCAACAACCAGCTGTGGCGGCGGCGAATTGGTCTAGAGGGTACGTACCTCGCATACCTGTAAGGTGCAGGTTTGTCTTGGGGAGCCCCAGTGGGAACCCGGACTTGCACTAAACCTTTCAGACTCTTCCAGAGAGCGCCTTACTGGTTGAATACCTCCAGGTGAGATGGGGGAGACTACCTAGAAGGGGGATACTACTGGCTGGGGACTCGGGAGGGAAAGGAGAGTGCGCGCAGCGAGCGTTGGAAAGCGGGATGGCGAGGAGGAGAGGAGCAAGGTACTTGCTTACTACGGTACTGTACGGAGTAAGGCATCGAGCCTCTTTCATCATTAAAGGTTTTGAGCCCCGTAACCCACCCTCCCGATTTTCCACGACTCGGCTCGCTAGTGGCTACCGCCAGAACCAACGAGCCTCTCTCTGTCTCTCTCTCTCTGGAGCCACGACTCAACATCACCTCCTTCTCCCTCTTCCCAAGCTACCCATCTCCGGCGCCCGCTCCCTCCGTTGGAAATCCCTATACGTGTCTTGCCCCAACCTTGCCAACACCACCGCAACATAACACCCACCATTCATCCACTCATCCATCCATCCCTCCTCCAACCTTACATCACCCTAGTGACGTCGCAGGAAGCATTCCACCCGCCCGCGCCGCACCGCACTGCACCGCACCGCACAGCAAGCTCCAAGCAGCCTCGCAAGCTTCAGGTCGTCAACCGACAACGCCAACAGCAAAAAGCGCCTTCTTTGTGCTGCTGTCGCTTCTCTTCTGCAACTCTTCACCAACCTAAACACATCCAAAGTCGCGCAGCTCTGTGCCACTACCGTCAAAATGTCCGGCGAAGCATGGTTATACCTCTTCGCGGTGTTGGTAAACGCCGTCAACCTGTTCCTGCAGGTCTTCTTCACCATCATGTACAGCGATCTGGAATGGTATGTATTTGTCCTTCTGCTCTCATCCTGCTCCGATCCCGCACTGCCTGGGACGCGTCCTCCCACTGCCCTGCAGCATGCAGCGCCCGCCGCTTCCTCATGCTCGGACGAAGCTGTCTGTCTTCTTGGCAATGCGGCTGCCGCGCGCCGCTCGTGCTTGTCTTCTCATAAGCTTCAGGTCTGCGATCGATGCTAACCCAAGGACTCTGCAGCGACTACATTAACCCTATTGACCTCTGCAACCGCCTCAACACCTACATCATCCCCGAAGCTGCTGTCCACGGATTTCTGACCTTCATGTTCCTCATCAACGGATACTGGGTGCCGTTGATCTTGAATCTGCCGCTCGTCGCCTACAACATCAAGAAGTATGTCCACTCCAGTCGGCCTGCTGACAGAGATTGGGCGCTGACCGTGATTTAGGATCGTCGATAACACCCACTTGCTGGATGCCACCGAGATTTTCCGCAAGCTGAACGTGCACAAGAAGGTAATGACGATGTGTTCCCGAGCCGCGCCTCACTGTATCTGACAAGCGCGCAGGAATCCTTCGTGAAGCTCGGCTTCCATCTCATCATGTTCTTCTTCTACCTTTACAGCATGATCGTCGCCCTGATCCGCGACGAGTCGTCTTAGACGCTCATTCCTATCCCTACGTACGGCAACGGGACGGAATTCTAGTATATACATCACCATGCCACGTGGACAAGAACGAACCAACTAGGCGCCCATCCTTTCGACCTCTAGACGATGCGCCTATGGGGCTGACCATCTGAGGGCATAAGGGGCGAGCAAGTACTAGACATGGGGTCGGGGAGGCGAAAGTGTTTGCCATGATACCAGAACGAGGTGTGGTTTTGGGCGATATGTGGCGCTGATCTGCATTGGTCTCTCGGAATTGCGGGCAGAAGCCTCGGTGATTTCGTCCGGATTCCGATGATGATAAACGAAAGGAAATAAATATCACGGACGAATAGGCACGATCGAATAGGACGGGGAGCGGGTTACGATGTAAAAGACCTAGCTGATTATTATTTACCTTGATGTCGCTGCCAGGCCAGCAGGCTCTGGGAGCGGCAGGACGCGATAATTTGAGTAATGACAGATCTCTGAATGTCACATAGACGAGTTTGGATTTATGTTTCGAACCCGCTATGTTCATTTTCCCCTTCCATGCTCGTGATCACGATCAGACTATGCAAATTGGATAGCATTGTATTAACCGTGGAGTATATCAGGGTGGCATGGGGCCGAAGCTGTGCGTGCAAGCTGCTCCGTATTTGGGAGAGCTTCAAAGGTGCGCAGGGGAGGTCGATCCTGACATCAGATCACGTGACGCCAACTTTTGCTGCCGCAACCTGGGACCAGCATCATCGCAACACTCCAAAATCCCAGGGTGACACAATACCACCCCACGACTGTCAATTCCTTTGCGACAGACGATAGTACCCAGGATGTCTGGGTTCGGAGATTACCCGCCGAACATGGCGCCGCAGGACGCCCTCGTCGTGCGGCAGGAAGCAGAGCCCGATCACGCCGTCGTTCCCTACACCGGCGAGGATCTCGCCCGCCCCAAACTCGGCCCCGCGAACCCCTTCAAAGACGAGGCGACGACGCTGAAGCGCAAAAATGTGCTCACCGGCACGGCCGAGGAAACCTACATTTCAGAACACACCTTCCGCAGCAAACACCGCGCGATCGAACGAAAAGGCGGGCCGGAGCGCGAATACCAGACGGGCGCCGCGGTCAAGGAGCAGAACGCGCGGATACGCTCGGCGCGCGAGAAGAAGGGCGACGCGACCATTGTAGAGGGTGACGGCGCCTACGTCGGCCCCTGGGCTCGGTACAAGCGCGAGGAATACGAGATCGTGCGCGAGGGCGAAGAGCTGGCCAGCGACGAGGAGTACGAAGAAGTGACGGACGAGGACGACGTCGTCGAGAGCGGCACGGTGCTGCGCGCGCCCGAGGCGGCTCTGGCGAGGCGGAAGGAAGTCGAGGAGATGGGCGAGGAGACGACGACGTTCCACGGCGCCGAGGAGAGGGACTACCAGGGCCGGACGTACATGCACGTCCCGTTGGACCTCGACGTCGACCTGCGCAAGGAGCCCGGTAGCGTCACCAATTTCATCCCCAAGAAGCAGATCCACACGTGGCGAGACCATTCAAAGGCCGTCACGGCCCTGCGCTTCTTCCCCGGCTCCGGCCACCTGCTGCTGTCTGCGTCGGCGGACTCGATGGTCAAGATCTGGGACGTCTATCACAACCGCGAGCTGCTGCGGACGTACTCGGGCCACGCCAAGGCGGTGTCGGACGCGACCTTCAACAACTCTGGCACGCAGTTCCTTTCGGCCAGCTTTGACCGGCAGATTAAATTGTGGGATACCGAGACGGGTACATGTCTGAGCCGATTCTCGACGGGTAAGACGCCGCACGTCGTGCGGTTCAACCCGTCGGCGGAGCACGCTCACGAGTTCGTGGCCGGCATGTCGGACAAGAAGATTGTGCAGTGGGACACGCGCGCCGGCAACGAGATTGTCCAAGAATACGGTTCGTTGCTCTTTTCCTCCCTGGCTGGCCTTACACTCAGGAATACTAATTTTTTTCCTTTTTTTTTTCTGCAGACCACCACCTCGCAGCCATCAACACAATCACCTTTGTCGACGAGGGCCGCCGCTTCATGACGACCTCGGACGACAAGTCGCTTCGAGCGTGGGACTACAACATCCCGGTCCCCATCAAGTACATCGCGGAGCCCTACATGTATCCGATGACGCGGGCGACGCCGCACCCGAGCGGGAAATACGTCGCGTTCCAGTCGTCGGACAACCAGATTGTCGTGTACGGGGCCAACGACAAGTTCCGACAGAACCGCAAGAAGTCATACCGGGGCCACAACAACGCCGGCACGGCCATCGACGTAAGCGTCAGTCCCGACGGGCAGTTCCTGGCCAGTGGCGACACGCAGGGGTTTGTGTGCTTCTGGGACTGGAAGACGTGCAAGATGTACCACAAACTCAAAGCGGGCGACCAGCCCGTCACATGCGTCGCGTGGCATCCCCAAGAGACGAGCAAGTTCGTGTCGGCGGGCGCAGAGGGCGACATCCGGTATTGGGACTGATTCGTCTCTGTTGCAAAGGAATGTTTGCGTGTCGGAGAGGCTTGTATTGTAGGGCATTGCTTGGCGTTAGGAAAAAAGGGAAATCAATACGACATGGCCTGGGGGGTTTGTTCCCATTGGCAACCATCTCGCAACACACCAATCCTCCCCTATTCCTTTTTGACTCACCCCCTCCGATTGCCTTTGTGCTTTCTCTCGCCGTTGCTATTTTCCCTTGCCGGTCTCAACTGGCGTATGTTCCGCAGCATTGAAGGGGTCAAGTCTTCCGTCATCATGTCTCGCTCACCGACTATTATCGACCTCGCAACACGAGAGACGGCACGTCCGATACATCGCCGAACGAATCCAGTTGCGCTCCCGCAGAGTAATCTAGGCTTTCTTGGCCTCAGCGAACGCAACGGGATGCCTTTTCTGGAAACGGCCACATTGATGCACGCACCACACACGTACGACCGACGTACCTCGACACGCGCGGCGGCGGCATCGCGCTCCAATCACATGCCGCTTGGTATGGCCACTGGTGTGCGCCATTCTCACAGCTAGTCCATTCGATCCCCCCGCAAACTCCTCAAGGGGGGTGGGTGGTGAGGGGGTCGAGTTTCAATGCGGTCGGTCATTGGCATTCTTACTCCAAGTCGCCAACTACCTTACTTATGCAGGTGGGCGTGTCTCATTATTGATTTGCATTTTTTTTTCCCTTCTTCTTTTTGCCAAATCGCGTAACGGTAAGAAACATTCGGGCATCACATGGTTCCGATTGTCCCGCCTCACTTTCTGTCTAGGGATATATGAACACATATCTATGCACGTGAACCTGGCCCATCGAGAGCTATCTCTGCTGCGTCTACCGGGATTTTCGGGCGAAGGCTGCTTGCGTGGGGAAACGCCTCCTTCACGGTCTCCTCTAGAAAATGGATTCGGCATACTGGGACATTGCCCCCGACGATGCGGAGGACGCCGACACGAGCGAGGGGGCCGGGGTGGGCACCAAAGACTCGTGCTCGCCCGACCTTGAGGTCCCCTGCGAAGAGTGCAGACAAGATGGAAGCCGGCTTCGTAAACAATGCCGAGAGCGACGAAGCCATCGCCAACAACAACGTCAACGACGCTCGTCGAGGTCGTCTCTCGAAACCGCCACATCCTCATTGTGCACGGCAGCATCGGCATTGGCAGACCACACCCCAGCGCCCCCCGAGCTCGCCGGACCAGAAGTCGTGCTCCGGAATCTACCCTCAGACGACGACGACGAAGAAAAAGAGGATTATGAGGAAGAGGAAGGTCCGGAGACGGCGCAGAAAAGCGCGCTCAGCGTCCCGGGGCCGGTGTACGCGTCCACGTACACTAACTCGCCGTCCTGGATGTCGACGTACACATCTTCCACACGCGCCACGACATACACCACCGCCCACGAGCGCTCGCGGCGGGACAGGGACGCGGACGGCGATTGGCTGGACGTGAGGAGCCACAGGCCGCCGTATCCCCGGCGACCGAGGACCTCGAGAGGGGACGCCAGGACGAGGTCCTTCGGGGCGGGGCAGGGACAGCGGTCTGCCGGATGGGGCTTCGGTACGGGGTCGGGGACAGGGTCGGGGATCGAGGTGGTGGGTTGGGATGCAGCGGAGATAGAGGGCGGGAGTTATTGCGTCCTTGAGGGGGCGAGGTGGGAGGAGCAGAGGGCCCCTTCGACGCCGAGGCAGCAGCAGCAGCAACAAGAACAAAAACTCCGTAGTAAGAAGGGTGCTGTCGGGAAGGGGAAAAGGTGGAGAGGCAAGTTCGGACACTTGTCTGATGTCTCGAAGACGAGGTCGCTGCCGCTTGTGGAGCCGCCGACACCGCGATACGTGTACGATGTCTTTGTGGTGTCTGCCTCGCGGACCGGGGCGGAGGGGCTCGGGGTACCATACATGTCGGGGAAGGGTCACGCCCGGGCCGTCTACTCAATGGCGTACGTCAGGGGTACCGGGTCCGCGAGAGGTCCATGGGGCATGTTCTCTTCCAAGAACAACGATGGAACGGGTGGCCTCCTGGAGGTCATCTGGCGGGAGGGTGTCTGGAAGGTTGTGTTGGGGTGTTTGCATGATGTGCTTGGCCTCGGAAGTGGAGGCGGTTGGATAGACGATGTAGACTAGACGGACGGCAGGACGAGATGGGTCGTTGAGCTTGCATTAAGCGTCTCTCTCGTGGCACACTCAACACTAGGGGAAACAATATGGGAAGTTTTAAGTGGATAGGGAAAAAAAGGATCTAGCGGCTAACACGATCGATGCGACACGGTACAAAGGCGTATATAACTATTATGATAACACAAGCACTTCCTCCTGAAACAACAACTCTTCTATCCTGCTTCGGATCTTTGTATCAAAGTTTTATCCGGTTGTCTGTCTGAGAGCAATTCCATCATCCTGTTCTCTATACATAGCAGGTCGCGCCGCCGCAAGTGCCGTAGTCGCGTCCATCATTATCATTGGAAGGCAGGCCCAGGACCAGAGATGGCAGAGATGCTGGAGCGGGGTCGGGGGCGGAAGTGGGAGCAGGAGCGGGAGCTGGTGCCGATGGGTGAGCCAGGGCCGGCGCTGCGGGTTGAGGTAGAGGTGGAGGTGGAGGAGCCGACGCCGGCGCCGGCGCCCCTTGACTGCGGAGCCCCGTCCTTGAACCCCTTGCTGCCGGCTTAGCAGCGGGCTTGGAAGAGGTCCCCTTCGAAGCCGTCTTTGCCTTCTTCGGCTCCACCTTGGCCTTCTTCTTCTCTGGCCCCTGATCTTCGTCATCGTCGTCGTCGTCAACCTCTTCCTCGTCGCCGCCTGTCTTGGAGACGCCTGTTCTCCCTCTCTTAGGCGCAGTCTTGGGGGCCTTCTTGGGAGCTCCCTTAGTGGTGGTGGTAGTGGTGGCAGTCTTCGTCTTGGATACAGCTTTCGGTGCGAATTTCGGCTTTCCCTGCTTGGCCTCATCATCGCTGTCCTTTCCATCGTCGCCGTTGCCACCTTCGTCTTCCTTTGGCTTGCAACCTTTAGCTGCGGCCCTTGGCTTGGTCTTTGCTGTAGCCTTCGATGCAGCCTTGGGAACAGACTTGGGCGCTGGCTTCGATTTGCTGACCGACTTCGCCCCCGGTTTCGGCTTCCCCTGTTTGTCCTCATCGCCGCTGACTTCCTCGTCGTCTTCGTTGTCGTCCTCACTTTCGTTGTCCTTGGAGTTGCAGCTCTTGGGTGCAGCCTTTGGCTTGGGCTTTAACCCGGTCTTTGATCCAGTCTTTGGTGCAGTCTTGGGAGCGATCTTTGGCTTCTTGGTCGCAGGTTTCGAAGTAGTCGTCGACTTTTGATCCGGCTTCGGCTCTTCATCGTCGCTGTTGCCATCCTTGGGGTCTTCGTCTTCGTCAGCCGCCTTTCGCTTGCGACTCTTGAGCAGGATCTTGGGCCCTTTGGTTGTTGGTTGCGTGGCTCCAGCGGGCTTGGTCTTGATCTTTGGCCTCGGCTTGGGCTTGCTTCCCTCGTCTTCTTCTTCTCCGTCACTCTCGTCGTCATTCTTTTTGTCCTTCTTATGCTTTTTGCTGTTTCCTCCCTTATTGGCATCATTGATGTTGTCGTCTTCGAGCTCTTCGGATTTCCTTTTTGAAGAAGCAATCGACGTTGGCCCGAGAACCGCAGTACGACCCGCCGCTGGAGGCCCGAGAAGAGGCCTGCTCTCGCCGCCCGCGGCGACGCTGTCACCCTCGACCTTAGGCTTCACTCCAGCCCCGCGGCTGCTGCGGGAGCTCCTCGATCCCCACGCACCCGCGAGCCTGCTGGGACTCTTGCTCCCGCCCCAGTACCCCTCGCTCCACGGAGGGAAAAGCCCAGCCGTGGCCGCCGTGGGTCTAGGGGGTGCGGACTCAGAACGGGTTGGCGTGCTAAGGTGTAGGCAGTACTCAATGTCGGCGAGACGGCGGTCCAGCCGCTGATGCTGCGAGGCAAGCACGTCCTGCTGCTCGCCCAGACGGTCCTGGCTATCCTCGTAGTCATTCTGTCGCTGTGTCAGGCTGGGTCTGGTCTGCTGGCTGCCGTGTCTGTGGTTGTCCGGGTCATTGTTGGGCAGAGATCTGCTCAGCTTGTCTTCATCGTCGCCACTGCCGTTGATGGTGCCAACGTAAACCTCGAGATCGCTGGCCCTTGTATTCAACTGGTTGTTGGAGTGGAGTAGGTCGATGATTTTACTGTAGGTTGTTTTCTTAGTATTTTCGAAGTCGATCTCAAGGCGCCTCAGTAGAGTCTCGTACTTGTGTTCACCTTTCTCTTTCTTGGCCGGCTCCATTCCATTCGCTTCGCAAAATGTGTTGTTGCGCACCATCTCGTGATGCTTTGGTGGGATCAGGACGTCGTCGTCCTCATTGTCAGTTGAGCTTGAAGCCGGTTGCTTCCCGTATGCTTCCTTAGACAACTTTTTCTCCAACAATGATTTAGACAGAGGACTTGAGGCTTCAGGTGAACTTGGGGGATCTGCCTCGATGCTGAGCACAGGGAAAGAATCTTTGTTGGAAGAAGATGGCATGTCAAAGTAGGACATATTGGCCTTCTGCGTGGTTTTGTGTTGCGCTGATATTCACTGGGGAGGTGCTTTCAGTTTTTGGGCGGGTTGTGTTTGATGGTGCTTGTCTTTGATTTTGATTGGAATTGGTGGTTGCAAGTGAAGTGAACTGGCAGGTGATGAAATCTTGTCTTGAGGATGGGAACCAATTTGTGAACTAGGACTCGGCACGCACACATTTTGTAGGTAAACCGACCCTTCACTTACTGTTTGTCTTGAATGTACTTGTTCGCACACACTCCAAGTGAAAAGGGTTGAGATCGTTACACACATGGTCAAAGAGGGCCTTTTGTCTACTGGCTGACATAGGACCTAGACTACCTCATTGTCCTAAGCTTTCGAAAGCAACAAATTTCATCAGCCAGTCAAAAAGATAGCTATAATTGTCACTTGCACTCAACCTCTGAATTCTTGGACCCAAAGATGAAAGGACGGAATATCGCCCGATCGCCACAGTCTTTCATCTTCAAATGACATATTGTACGCTATGCAATGTTTTCCCCGTTGTCTCGACCTACTCAACGTCCATTGTCATATCACGCAGGCGCTACATTCCTTTTTTTAAAAGAAAAAAATCTTGAGCATTGTCACCCCGACTAGCCAGACTTAGCAACATCTGCCTTTGACCGAACAGGTGTTAAAACCATAAGGTCAATCAAAGAGTAAGCGACCTCGGCTGCAGCGAGAACAGTGATCTCGCCGTTGTTGTCATATGCCGGGGCAACCTCAACAACGTCTGCGCCAACTATGGAGAGCCCTTCGAGGCCGTCGAGAATCGTGAGAAGCTCCCGTGTAGACCAGCCGCCTGGCTCGGCTGTCCCTGTAGCTATTTTTGATCAGCCGTAATTTTGAAGAGCCGTTTACTGCCATTGATGATGTAATACCTGGAGCATATGCAGGATCGAGTACGTCAATGTCGATACTGATATAGGCTTTGGAGTCGCCAACCCGTTCCTTGATCTTTGAAATAACTCCGGCGGAGCCAAGCTTATCGAGGTCACGAGCAGTGATGATCTCAAAACCGCAACGAGCATCGTTTCTTAAATCACTTTTCCGTCGAATCAAGGGAGCTCGTATACCGGCATGAATCGAATTATTCAAAACCAGATGCTACGCCTGTTAGCCTTTATGTAAGTACCTCGTAGGGGAAACCGGCACCAGTACCTCTTCGTAGGCGATGTGAAGGAATGTTCCATGGTTTAGACCTCTGAAAATGTTAGCCTGGATAAAGATCCTACAAGAATGTTCGCTAGGCCCTAACTTACGCATAATCCGAAATCCCACCTCCTAAATAACAGAACGGTCAATTCTTTGGTCAAGATTATTGCCGCATAAGGAACTAGCTTACCGAGAACTGCGGGATCCCAGGTATCTTTGGAAAGTTGTCAGCGTCAGAAACCAGCTTTATTACACCAAGGCCATATACCGATGTGACTATCGAAATGAATAACCGAGACAGGTCCCCATCTCTGATATGTTGACCGCAGCGCCGACAATGTCGTTGTGTGGTCCCCGCCGAGTGTCAGGATTCTTGGCGTCAAAGAGACCGACGAGTTAGCAGCTGGTCGACCGGATATCATCTTGTGCTTGTCAGCTTTTTCTCATAATGGGACAGTGAGAGGGCATTCCGACGGTATGGGCTTTGTCAAGTCTCTTCAAAGACACTATGTTGTCCAACCACGTGAGCCTGGCATCCCCGCAATCTACCACAGTGGCCCAGCTTTGCAATGGGTTTCGGCCTAGCTTTCTGGGTTAGATGGCGAAGATACGTGATAATCATTCTTAAAGAGTGGCATGCCTGTATAAACACTCCATTCCCCCGAGCTTTTCCTCTGACTGCCTGTCCGGATCGCAGGTGGGCCAAAACGTGCTCCTGGGCGACCTGTGGTTGTCTTTTGCTGTTATTCAAACGGACGGGAATTCTCCGATGGCAAGGAATGCAATGCTAACAGTATCGTGAGGGGCGCCAAATACGGCAATGTCATATATATGATTCCTGGTCTCTCGCGTAGAGAAACAGTCTACGTATGGAAGGTTCGCAAACGTTCTCAGTCCAGCGAATGCACTGGCGCCGAATGCATCCACCTCATCGTTGCTGGTGAGGCCGATTGGTATCTGATTCTCGTGAGACTCAAAGTTGCCGAATGCTGAGTGGGGAAGCTTCCAAGCAATGCTGCCCTGGAGAAGCAGTAAGATGGTCGTCCGTGAATGCAGCATCTCACCAATAAGTGTCGATTCTGGGGGCTTTCAGGTTAAGCAGTCAACTATCCAATCCAAAATTGCTGGATGTTTGGGATATTTCAAGTAGGAGGCTGGGAATCAAGATGCTCCAGTACGGATGCCATTGAAAGCATGCCGGCAATCGACGTCACCGTCCTATCGGGCCTTCCTTGTTCCTTATCACAACCCCTCAATCTCCCAATGAAGTCGTCACCAGCCACAAGTTTGTGTAAGTGGAGGCGTGGCTTGACTTGTAGGTTTGAAGATCTTGAAGATCGTTCTTGCCCCAAGATGTCTGGGTGGTAATTAGGCATCGAACATGGAGAAAGGGAAGGTGCGCTGGATCAGAAGGCACGTTTTGTCAGGGGAGACACGGGAATCTCCATGTTCGTCAACTCCAACTACCACCAACACTAATATCCCTCGCACCGCCATCCACGCGTAAAAAGCCCGTGTCTCCTTCAATCCCAGTGGTGATGGCACCAAATACCTAAACGAGACCTCTCCCTATCGAATCCGAGTTACAGTATATATAGAGACTCCCTTCCTCAAGTAAAGAGATACACGCCTCTCTTTCTGTCCGTTGCAATGAGCATGTACTCTCCACAGGTCCTTCGAAAACAGATGCGATTTAGCCGAGTCGGACATGACGGCGCTGTCGATGATGACGATAACGAGGAGGAAGGTCCACCGAGGCCTCTTCCGAAACATGACTACAGGGCCATCTACAAATGGTGGAACGACGAGTACAGACTGGTTGTGGTCTGCATCCTCGGCGCCATTGCCCTAGGCATCATCTTCCAAAAGTTTGACAAGAGAGTAGTTCCTCAGCTACGTGGAAATATCGATTTCGACGTCATCATCGTTGCCATGTTCACTTGCGTCCGCGTCGCCATGAGTGGCATTGTCGAGTCGTCCATCAGCCAGGCCGCCTGGATCTGGGTGTCCGAGTCGCGCCAGCGTCGCACAAACAATATGCGCGCAAGGCTGCAAGACTTCAAAATCTATGACGAGGCATCTCGCGGGCTCTGGGGAAGTCTGTGTCTCTTGTGGAGGCTGAGGGGGAGGTGAGCAGCCGTGGCTTGGTTGGTTGATGTCTGCAGTCTAACTAGAAACTGACCACTGGATTCGCAGACACCTCGCCTGCATCGGTGCCCTGATCGTCATCCTCACCCACGGACTTGAAGCCTCTTCGCAGCAACTTTACCGGTACGAGGGCCGCCCGGTTGTAGTCAAAGGCAACAATGACCCCCCCGTTCCGGCACCCCCGAGAAGCGACCTGTAGGACTCCACGGTATCCCGGGGTCTGGACCCTCGTAAGTGCCATCTTGTGCTTGTGTGCAACCGGCCTCTAATACACCTTAGTTCCTTCTCTCAATGTGTCAACCAAAGCAGCCATTTATAGAGGCATCCTATCTCCCGACATAATGGAGCTCGACGTTGAGTGTCCCTTCACAAATTGCACGTGGCCCGTCATGCCAACACTAGCCGTCTGCGGCGAGTGTAATTCTGTCGACGTCAGAACATTTTGCGCCGACAAGTCACAGAAATGTCTGTACAGCCTGCCCTCCGGCACTTCAGTCGACATCAGCCACAATGCGCCGGCCACCGAGCGATTTCGGACGGCCTCATCGCCAGGAATCCATCACCACTTCAACTCCACCCTTCAGACTTACATCTCCGTGTTCGACGTGCTCTGGGTCATGAAGACAAGAAAAGAAACGAAAACAATGGGCCAGGAATGCGCACTCTGGTTCTGTATGATGAGTTACAATATCACAGTCACCGAAGGGCGATCCAATCAAACAGTAATCAAAATCTGGAACACGACACAATTCGAGGCTAGCAATAGTGCACATGATGACGAGTATGTCTTTGTCGATATACCAGTCGACATGAACGCCACGAGTACGTCCAGATACAGCACCTCGAGAGTGGCTCTGGCGGCGTTGCGGAGATTTATAGCCCCGCTGATTGAAGGAACGTACGAGAAGCAGTACACTATTATCAACTTCTCGTCGGACTGGGCTGAAGGCATGTACAATGCACGATTCAATCTTCCATCGTGGATCAACCGATTCGGCACCAGCCTAACGAATGAGGTGAGACTTCATGGGCAAGTTCGGGACAAAGAACGCCATCAATACAGCGGACAAGCCTACAAGATTGCGCAAATGATCATCGTGGAGTGGAAATGGCTGCTATTTCCTACAGGCCTGATCATCATCAGCATCTACTACCTTTTCCACACCATCATCAGGGGTGCTCGCGACGGCATATCGGTGTGGAAGAGCGATTCGCTGCCGATGCTATTCTGCCGCATTGACGCGTCAATTCTAGCGAGGGTTGGCGATGGCATGGATGTGCCCAACGGACTAGACAATGCTGTCGGCGAAGTGAAGGTGTGCTTGTTGAGGGAAGAAGACGGCGATTGGGTCTTCAAGCCGATTGAGAGCGAAGAATCTTCGTCCGAATCCGATGCTAACTGAGAGGTGTTGAGATCATGTTCAATGACTGACAACCAGAATGCGCATCAACACATCATTATCCTCCAGCGAGGGGGGGGAGGACCTAAGAAGTTGGAGTAGATGGGGGGTATACAAGTGAGGATTGCTTTCCGCGCGCTCCTGTTTACTGGGCGGAAATTCTCCGACCCTTGGGGTTCACCGTTGTCAATGACATGTCGCGAACGACTCAGGAAGGCTTTTTTCATCTCCGATTGGTCCGGTTGGTCTAGGATGCAGAGCCCGTGTGGAGCTTGCTGGGATGTTTGCGCGGAGGTGCGTCGGCAGAGGTCTTCGGCAAATAGGGGTAGTTGTGTTTCCTCAACCAGAACCCTCCCTTCCCCTCTCTCTGTGCCTCGCCGCCTTTCGTTGGCTAATCGGTCTAATGCACGGATACAAAGAAGTCCTAACAGCCTGAAATATAAGTTAATTGCAGACGGTTACCTATTGTTTGGCCAAGCAGACGGAGCGGACGGGTAAGAATGGGACGAACAGATGCCAATCCATGCTGATGGTGAGCAGCTCTTCTGTTAATTTAGACCAAGGTCCAGCTAGCACTGCAAAATGCTCCGTGTCATGTCGTATCGCGTTGTGTCCACAATGATGTTCTCAGACATCTAGTGTCAAGGAGATCGTCGACTGCCCCCTCTTCCCCACACCCCGCAAATCCTTCCCGCCTCCCGTTTACGGTCTGAGGTCTTCGATCTGTCACTCTTGGATTTGGGGTTCTTAGCTTTTTTCAACTTCCCTTTCGCGTCATCCTGTCCCGCCCTCAAGTCTGTGTAGACGAGCCAATTCTCTATTCCTGTGGCCCCCAAGTAGACCGCTCCTTATCCCCCGAGTTCAATCTCCTCGACTATGGCATCCGACGAGACCGCCATACCTGTTGAAGCTCCAAAGACCAAAGCTCAGAACAAGGTTCGGAAGCGTGCACCCAAAGCCTGCCTTTCATGTCGCGCTCGCAAAGTGAGATGCGATGTGTCCCAGCGTGGCCGCCCATGCATGAACTGCTATCTCGACAGTGAGACGTGTGTGGTAACTGGACGCGCATCTAGATTGTGAGCTGGCGTACCCCCTTTCTTCGCCACCATCACAGAGGTGCTAACTGTTCATAGTCGCAGAGCACAACAACGAAGAGATGGAGTAGACGACGCGACGGCATCGCACCCTCCATACAATGCAGACGACGGAGAGCAGCGTCATGTGGTCGACCCTACTGCACCATCAAACGACGATCTTCGGTCAATACCCTCTAACGAGTCCGACCGTCAACCTCAAGCTTGCCATCATTCGCATGATGACGACGCTCCGACACCTTTCCACGCCGTGAGGCCAAAGAGTCCGACACTGAATCACACGAACAGTGCTCACCATGACCATGCCAAACCAGCCCATTCCCATAGACCCTCGGCTGCGACAACGGGGACGCATGGAATGCCATCCCCTGCTCCTCTGTCATTCAACAACCAGGCCTTCACGACGCCATGGGCTAATGGTCAGCAAAACAGCCTAGGCATAGACGTCACATACTCGTTCTACCCATTTCTGGCTCTGAGCAACCTGCACGGGATTCCGCCTCAGGATGTCAACTACCTGGAGCTACAGGGGTGTCTGCGGGTGCCCACGCGTACCATCCTCGACGAGTTTGTCCAGCAGTACTTTCTGCATGTCCACCCGTTGTTTCCCATGCTCAACGAGGGTGACTTTTGGGATTTGTACTGCGCAAACCACAACAGCCATGTGCCTACCGACAAGTTGTCACTGCTCGTCTTCCAAGCAATGCTCTTCTCCTCTTGCAATGTAAGTGCTCAAACGTAGGTGGACGATTTCATGTTGTTGACGAGGTCTCCAGTTCGTCTCCCGACAAACTATCAAAACCCTAGGCTTTCCCACGATCCGCGCCGCCCGGGCAGCCTTCTACCGACGCGCGAAGCTCCTCTACGACCTCGAATCCGAATCTTCTCCTCTCGCCATCGCACAAGCCGCCCTCCTGCTCTCCTTCTGGTCTTCCCCCACGTCTCCGGCCTTCCGCAAAGCGAACACCGCCTGGCTCATCATCGCGATCCAGAATGCCAAGATGGTTGAAGCGCACCACTACGCCACCCGCACGGCGCCCCCGAAGAAACGCAACCTCCTCAAACGCCTCTGGTGGTGCTGCATCATGCGCGACCGCATCGTCGGCCTCGGCCTGCGCCGTAGCTTGCAGATCACCCATAGCCACTTCAACTTTGACTCGAACGAGGCGCTCGGGTTCTCTGACTTGGCCGACGAACTAGAGCGGAGCCGGGTGTACAACCCGGACACGAAGCGGCGCCTGGCTGAGATCTTGGAGCAGTTGGTTGGACTGTGCGTCGTGCTCACCGATATCTTGATCCTCGTATTCCCGCTGGATGATCGCCCGGGCTGGGGCAGGGAGATGCGCACCGAGGAGCAGGACAAGGTTCGCATGTGTAAGGCAGCGCTGCGCACGTGGTACAAGGGCGCGGCGCTGCGGTTCCCCATGTTCGGAGGCGGTTCCGTAGCAAGGGTGAAATCGCCCGGGAACGAGTTCCAGCACGACTCAGTCATTCTATACACTAACTTGATGTACATGTACTACCAGTAAGTCGTTATTCGTCCCAAAATTTTGAAAGTCAAGTGTACTAAGCTATAACTCACCAGCTCGTCTCGAGTCGTCCTGAGTCACCACGAAGTCCTCCACCTCGCCATCACCGCTGCCGCGCCAGCTTTCAACGCGATTCCTACATCGGACCTGGCCATCATTGGGGAGAACCGACATGAACTTCAGGACGCCGCGTCGGGGGTCACCGAGTGTTTGAAGGAACTCATCCACCTGCACCTCGCACGCTGGCTACCGATCAGCGCCGTCGCCTGTACCGCGCTACCGTTGGTCTTGCATATTCTCGACGTTAAGCTGTCAGCATCGTCGAGGTCTTTCGACCCAAACACGCAGTCAGCACTCAAGCAGCACCGTCTCAATATCCTCATCGAGGCCATGAAGACCTATCAGCCGCAGTACGACGGCGTTGACTGGGTGAGCGAGACGATCCGGCACATTGTCAATCTCGCACAGATTGACTCGCCGCCGGCGCCGGGAGAACTAAAGAATGCCGGGGGTAAAGCTGCCATTGTGGACTGGACTGACATCCTCGCCTCCCAACCAAGCTCCTATCTCCGCCTCGCGCTCACGATGGATCTGTCCCTAAGCAAGGGGCGTCTTCCAGAGGACGGCGACTTCCCCGTCAGCCTCCGCGGGCTGTTCACCGGCGGGTTCAACCCGCTCAAAGCGCTTCTCGAACGGAAGCGGGAAGACGCCAGGATCAAAGACGCAGAATCGCTGACGGACTTTGATGCCGCGGCGATGCGCGTCAATCTCTTCCGCATGCAGCCGGGAACGGCGGCGGTCGTTTCGTCCGACGAGGACACCACCACCTCGCCGTCGTCAGCGGAAGAGACCATCCAAGGCAGCGTAACGGACGCCACGTCCCCGAGGACCGTGGGGCCAGAGTTCCGAGCCTCCGCACCCGGGAGCAGCAGTTGTGCGGACGTGGACATGGCGGACCGCCCGCCGTCGACAGGGATCGACGGCCTGGCGGCCGAGGTCTTGGCGGCGTTCCCACTGGATGAACAACCGGCATTCGCGGACGGTGACTTTGATGGGATGTATTTTGACGGGATGCCCGGGTACGACGGGCCTACAGGGTGGATCGAGACGGCTTGGAACGAGCTCACGAACGGACCGGGCGAGGAGCGTGCGGACCGGGATGCGGCGAAGATCCTGCTGGATGCGTTCAGGGAAGGGGACTTGGCCGGGTGCGCGGCGTAGGTCGCGCGAGCTACGCTGGTGATGCACGTCGTCTGCGCCCACGTTGCTTGTCAGGTCCTCGGCTATCTTGGCCTGCAAATGATATTGCCTGGTTTGCAGACTCTGAAGGGTCATGGATTATGAAAACGGCGCCGGTTTAATTAGTGCAAAGGCTTACCTATGGATGGTGTAGAATGAATGCGCGACAAAGCACCAAAGTGTGTATAAAGAATTGGACGTTGTCTTCGCTGAACGATACCAAAGTTGTTCGCCCTGAACAGTGCGATATTTGACCTCGTGAGAGTAGGTTACACTTGCTCGTCATACTTGCAGTTGGGATCCAAACCTGGCTCGCGGAAGAGGGGCGCAGTAGTTGTTACGATCAACATTCCAGGGCGAACGATGTGTTCAAAGATTGAGGGGGCTGATAGCAAAATGTGGCTCGTAACTATCAATCTCTAGGACAGCCCATGGCTACTTCTTACAAACATAGATTATAATTCCGGTTCAACCTGTTAGCATGGGATCCTGGAATGTGTCATAGGACTCCCTTCCCTCATTGATACAAGCAACGACGAGTTTCAAGCACACAATCGTCGAGTTTCCTGGACGATCTGTAACACCTACAACTCTTCCCCAACAGCAGCAAACTTTCATCAGCAGGACGGACTTCTGGCAGAATCTCCAGTACATTTGATAATTATTTGAGGTGTGTGTGTATGGGTGATAGATAGAGAGAAGAAGTGAAAGAAAGTGAGGGAAAGATAGAGTCATCGTTGTGTGTCGAAATCATTGCGCCTGCGTCACCATAGGGCGCCCATCGTAATCCACCATCTCGCGCACCAAGAAGCCCATTTCATGCACCGGTTTCCGCCATAGTGTACGTAGATGCGCCCTCCAATTGTTCCTCGTTTTCTCACCCATCCCTCCATCCTACGACGCTGGACTGTGCCTCAGTACCACTCAGATGTCATCGGGTCGAAGCCTCTGCAATAGCCACACTCGCAGCCGAAACCGTACTTGTAGTACAGGACGGAGGGATCTTTGCCGTACGAGATGGTCAGCTCGTCGCCCGCCTCGATGATCCAGTCGCGCACGGTGAAGACCAGCGCGTCGTGCTCGGGCCGGAAACGAAAGCTGACCTTGGGGAAGCAGGAGTGGTTGAAGCGGCCCGCAACCGGGAAGAGGCCGGCTACATCCTGGGAGCCTGGGCGAAGGCCGTTAACGGCGCCTGCGTCCGACTTCATCTGGAGGCGAGAGACAAACCTAGATGTTTCGCTCAGCAATCACGTTTCAAGGAGCTGTAGAGAAGACGTACGAGTTGGTGCTCCAGATGGCCTCTTGGAGCGTCTCGCCATCGCGGCTGTAATAAGCGAACATATCGTTCGCAACCGCGCGCTCCTTCTCCGGGAGCTCTTGGACCGAGGAGGTGACGTTCTCATGGGTGGCGTGGTAAAGAGCCTTCTCGACAAGGATCTGGTCGCCTCTGCTGAGCGTCTTGACGGCAAAGGCACCCCATCCGGCTGTGGGGGATCGACGGATCTCGAAGAACTCGTTGGCGAAGATGACCGATCGCTCCTTGGTGCCATTTGACCCCTCGAAGGTGGTCAACTGGGGCAAGCCAGCGGCTTCGAGGGAGACAGGGCTGTCATTACCGCCGAGCAATTTTCTCCTCAACGTGAGCACAGGGCACAAAATATTCAACAAAACGAAGCTTACCCGATGAGGAAGGTTGCACCTGAGCCGTCCGAGTTAGAGCAGGAGTTGCTGGAGCCCACACCAGACGACAAGAGCGTGTGGTTGTCGTCGTCGTCGTCGTCATCGTTGTCATCGTAATCAATCTCATAGGCCTCAACCTCTTCGGGATCGCAGCCAACGGTAAGGTTCTGAGCAACATAGACCGTCTTCCATGTGATGTCTCGGATGGCAATGGGCGGAAGCTTCATGCCAATGAGGGTTGCAAATTCGCGCAGCCCGTTTTTGACTTGCTATCAATGCTTCGTCAACGACAAACCATCCGGGATGAGCTAAATCTTATGGTATTACTCACCTCGAGCGGCTCACTCAGTTCTAGAATTGAGTTGACTGGCTCAGGATCGATGTCAAGCATGGCATCGAGACTCATGGGATTGATTCGGGCCTTGGGCATCGGCTCACTAATGCCCACGTAAAGATCATCATGGCTTCCTGAGTAGCATCTGGTATCCTGGAGATGAGTGACAAGCAATTCATGTGAAATGAAGACCGGGTCCAACTCATCCTTGGGGGAGAAACCTCCCTGGTCCATGCTAGTGGCGAGGACCGAAGATTCGGACATGCTTGCGGTCTCAGAAGGCACCCGAGGTAGGCTTGCGGGAAACAGATAGGATAGAAGTGGCAGCCAGGCTACCTGTCACTCTTTGGTAAGAGCCGCCGAGCTTACTGGCAACCAAGATGGCTGAAGATATGGGCACTTGTTGGTCTGGATTCAGAGATGATGTTTGTCAGTGACTTTCTCAACTTCACCTCATCTGCTCCTGCCAATAGATCGAGGCTCACTCTGGTCTCGATAGCAACTGTTAGGGTGTAATAAATATGTCGATTGAGAAGTATGATGTAGATTAAGTAAGATCTGAGTATCTCCGCGTATTGAAAGAAGGTAAGGTCGTATGGCTGAGTTGAGTTGCGGCAGGTTCAAATAGCCGTATGAATGAATATACTACAACATAGTATTCACTTTGTTGCCTTCCTGAATCATTTCCTAGCATGAAACCAGGCGCCCAGACATAAAGGCTGTAAATGTGAATCGAACGTGAGGTGAGCTGTCTCGGTTTCTTTTCTCTAGGAGACATTTCAGCTGTCAAAGAGCCTAGGAGTCGAAAGCCGGAAGCAGCAAAAAGGCCAAACAGGCAAGAGTTACCTCGTCCTTTCCTAGAAGGGTATGTCCGCAAAGAATTGCAATAAGTATTGGGGATATACGCAGACAGAAGCCGGCTGAGCCCGCTTCAGATTTCCTGGTAAGCTTATAAATAACAAATAATTTGACATCATTGAGCCGAGAAGTTACACTATGTGGTAAGCATGGAGAATCTTGAGGTACATGGCCCAGAGAAATAGTCAGAATTGCCTTCCTGTGTGGTTGAACTGAGACCTAGACATATCAGAAACTGCATAGATGATGCAGGCAGAGGACGTCAGCATGATGAGCTTTTGCTTCGTTTTGAAATGCTGAGTCATTATGTCACTATGATCTAGACGGACTACTGGTGTTAAAAGAGAAAAAAGATTCCCTTTCGTGCTCTTCAAAGCAAGAAAATCAAGTTCACAGCTCTTGTTATTCAAAGCTCTTTGTCCGGACTGACTCGTTACTCTTGGCTTTCAATCAATTTCCCTTGGGGTGTTTTCTTCTTCCTTTTCTCCCTTCCTGTTGTGTCTTTATCAGTCTACCTCTGTTTGGTTTTGGTGGTACAACTTCATATCCTGCCAATTATTGGCAAGATGAGAGAGGAGTAATTCATAAAGGGAGTAGGAGAGATGCCAACCCTCTGGCAAGGCGCAGTCATAGCCTCGGCAGAATACGCAAGCCCGGCTGACAGACACGGAAGCATGCAACATGAAAACCTACTAAATGGTTCGACAATGACGGTTCCTGCCCCCCTCGAAATAGATGCCAACAAGGTTCTGTTACTTTAGGGATCATGCTTGAATGGGGCAGTACAGCGCGCGGCCTCTTTTTTGCATTCTTTGCTCAGTCTTGCTCCCGAGAAGCGGATATTATAAACCAGCATACTCGATCCTCCAAGATCCAGGGCGACTTGGGCATAGTTCCGGGGAGGTAACCCGGCGTTCCATGGCCGTCGAATGCAACTGTTCGTCTGTCATCGATGGGCTCGGGTGCAGTTGCAGCGTCGCAGGCCCTCCTCAACAATCCGGGCGCTGCTGGAGTTTCAAACAAGACCCGACAACGCTCAGTCCATGGGCCCAACGAGCCCAAGCAAAAAAAGGCCAAGCTTTGTGAAATCGGGAAACAGCTTGACAGGTACCTCCCGTTGCACCGGCATCGGAGGAAACATTGGCAAGGGCATCCGCTTGAGCAGCGTTGCGCCAGCAAATAGTCCGTCCACGATGGCTTGCTTACATCTCGATCTTGGATCAGAGGCGTTCTGCCCTTGCTGCTGTTTCGTGATGCCGGAAGAAACGTGAACCAATATGGGCCTGAAAATACCACACAGAGTAAGATGTAAAACAGTCACTCTTTCTTCAACGCTATCCACCGTGTTCAACAATACGTCCTTTGGGAAGATCTCTGGTGGGAGTGACACGTGAATGCGACCGAGTCTCTCGTGAGTTGTTGAGGTGACGCTTTGCGCTTTGACTTTCAGGCTCCCGAGCTTACACAAGGTTGCCTGCCGAAGATAAGTCTCTCAATGACACAGGAGACACTTGGTGTCGCGCAGCTATGGAGCACTGGCTCATGCTGATGCAACGTCGATGTAATGCGTACCGGGTGAGCCATAGAGCAAAAATGGCATTGTCTTGTGTTGAGCATCCTATTTGCTGAAGGATCGTGTACGTCAAAGTTGCCGTATGAAAAACTAGATATGACGAAACACCTATCGGACCTCCGGTCAATGAGTTAAACGTATCCTGCTGAGACTGTAAGGCTGATGTCAGCCCGTCAGAAGTCTACTGCTTTTAGGGTGACCCAAGATGAATCTAGAAGGGAGCGCGAAGACTGCTATACCAAGTAAAGTACCAAGGAAATAGAACGGATGGAAAGCAAACGATGCGCCTTCGGGTGTGTACGTATACTCTCTCTTTCTCTCTCTCTTGGTGAGACTAATTCGGCGAAGTGAGAGTAACCCGGCGGAGTGAAATCCGGCAACGATGAGCCTGCGATGCGCTTCGGATCCTTACGTCCTCTTTTCTAACTTTGCACCACAGTTGCAACTCAGTTCCCTTGCGCCGCGTTCGCGAGACTCAAGCGTTCGACTCCCAGACGAGAAGTGTCGTTGGGCTCCATCCAGGAGAAACTATCCAAGCTTCGCAATGGCTGCAGGACGGCAAACGCGGCTACCATGCTCGCATCCGGCCCGATGGCATGGCTCCCTTGCCTATAGCTCCCGTCCCGCCCTTTGAATACCTTGCAGGTACGGTGTACTTGGCCAAACTCGGCGTTTAGCTCCTCAGGCTCTCTCTCTACTGGCAGGGGCTACTCCGAGTCTAAGGTTAAACCTGTCCCTGAAAATGTTGTTTGTTTGCCAAATCGCTTGTTACAGAGACGGAATTGCATGTGCCATGCCCTTTTCTCGCACACGCGTACCATAGTCCACCTGTTTTGAAGCCGGAAAAAGCCCAGTAGGCCCATGCCGTCTCCTCTCTGTCCATCGTCCGGCCTTGCTGGCAAGCCCTGTCTTGGCCAAGAAACATGCGGTGGACATTAATGTTCAGACGAAATATGCATCCATGGCTAAGCCTAGTGGGGGGGAAAGGTACATGCGTGGCACATGTTATTGAATACCTGTTCAATTCAGAAGTAAGCTTTCCTCTGCCGTTACTATCATTGCGTACAGGAATCCTTGCTTCGACACCCACTTCGTCATACCATGCGATGGGATGGCAACCAGGCCATCTACTCTCATGTGTCTGTGTTCCAAAACTCTCTTCAGGATGCTGACTATTGGAGGAAACATGTGTGCCGTGGACACCCTGACCGTGCTTCCTCGGACGAGCCTCACTTCTCATGTTACATGTTTGCCAGAAAAAAAACCCTATGGCATTGGCAGGATGGCTCGTTCTCACCAACGTAAACTCACATAAGAGTGCCATATTCACCTGCACCTCATCACTTGATTCGAATCTCTCAAGTATCAAACATTGATCAACGACCGCAAGATAGACGCTGTTTTCCAGGATTTACTATATTACAAGCAACATTTTCACTAGGTAAACACGTTCACCTCGTGATACAAGAGTGGCTGTTGACCTCGGGGAGCAGAAACAACACAATGGGTTACAGGCGCTCAGCCAGACAGAGCCGCTCAAGCTCTGAGCCATCAAGACACAGAGACACCAGAGCGAGGCTCGACGAAGGCTCGAGCTACGTCAAGACATCGAGCAATGAGAGGCAACGAGAGGTCCCCCAAGGCCGCAGCGGGTACAATCGAACCCGTGACTACTACACTTCTGCGCCAAAGGGGCGATCCGGTTACAACTAGAGCGATGGTTTGCAAACGCTCATGTCATTTTGCACGGTCTAAGGCTACCTCGTTTCGAAGAAAGACTGCTAGAGGCGTGCTGTTGGTTCGGAAAACTTCAGTAGACAGAAAACAAGAAGACACGATGTAGACGAAGAATGATACAATACAGTTCGGATAGCTGGAAAAGTTTCTGGAACAGAGGGGAGCGGGGTGATAACTCGTAGTTGACTAGATAAAATTGTTACATCAATTCAAAAGATTCGTCCCTGTTCACATGCCACACTTCCTAGCCCAAGGCTAATATTACACCCCTCTATTCTCTGTTTTCCGCCATTCGCTGGAGTGCTGTTTTCCTCCATTTAACGCTTCCGAGATCATTCTGTCGTCTTGCGTGCGGGCGTATGGATTGCCCTCCCCACCAAGTCCTCGAGCAACGAAAAGACAGTTTCATCTAGCACCAACCTCCTGACCACCCAGCAAGCGATACTCAAACAGGAACTTTAACGCCAAATGGCCCGTGTTGCCAATATCACAAATCCCCTATCGGGGATGTACATCCCAGCCCATAGCGATCCCGTTTCTTATCACTCCTTTCGCACAATGAGCCTCTTTCTCTCTGAGCCACTCACAACACGGGCTCGAGTAACCGGCACCCCTACGGAGAAAAACCACCTGATGAGACAGAGGTTCCGTCCTCCAGGACCAGCGACCTGAAGCCACTCTTCGCCAGGCAACGTCTGCACCTGACGTACGACTCAGGGGGCGATATCCAGTGCAGGTGCCGGCACTCGCACACCCACCACCTGTCCCCAGTCATCGAATGGACCAGCTCCGTGCTAGGATACAGGCCATCCCTGACGCCGCACTCTATGCAAAACCGGCGGAGGATACTCTCTCCCTGTCTGATCACGGGCAGGTCTTGAGTAGTATAGGCGTACATACTGAGACCTCCATGGGGGGATACGATGATGTGGTGCGGCTTGTCTTCGAAAGCGCCTTTGGGTTTTAGGGTGTAGCAACGGTAGCACGCGTGCTGTTGCCCCTCAGACTCTTCACGCCCGCATTGTATTTCGACTTGGATCAGGAAGGCGAGTTTGCAGGATTCTGTGGCGTACTGTGGATCGTAGTGCTGAGCACGCCAACGCTCCTCTCCGTTGACACCGGCGTTCTCGATCGCCTTGAGAGACTTGTCCCGTATTTCGAACCCGATGGTCCGAAAGAAGTGCGAGAAGTTGAGGTACGTTCGTGGAAGAGTTCGGACACCGGCATACGGGACACCAGGGGTTCTTTCGACAGGGAGGGCGAGGGTAGCAACATCAGATGGAGTGGAGGCCTGGCGGCTCCTCGTAGAAGGAGTGGAAGTGCTGCGACTCTTTGGGGGAGGTGTAGAGTCTTTACGACGCTTTGCAAGTGTCGTGATGGTAGCGGAAGAAGCCGCACGACGCTTTGCTGCAGTTGTGACACTCCAAGCGGCGGGGTAGGACGAGGTATTAGCAGGCATGCGGGTTGCTTGCATCCGCCTGAATCTCTCTTCAACCGTGACAGCCATTGTGACGTATGTGAGGTCGTTGTAGGGCCTTGTGCAAGAAGCAATCCAGTTGTACGAAGGCCAGAAATGTTCTACCAAGTGTTAGACAACATCGCCAAGCAGGGGTTCAAAAGCCAGACTCACGATGAGTAGTGCAGAAAACGGTATGTCAAGCTTGTAGGACAGTAAAGATTGTCAAGATGTCATAGACGGATGAGGGAACAGAGAGGGCCAACTTGAGGTCCGGTCGACGAGTTCTTATACAGCGGCCAGACCAAGGCCCCATATTCCTATGCAGAGGATCGGCGCTGGTGTTGGAAGAAGCGTCATTCTGAGGCAAAGATACAAGAAGAGGACCAAGCAAGGACCTAGAAGCGCACCCTGCACTCTAACAAGAGAGGCAAGAGGAGCACGCGCAGCAATGCCCGCAGGCGTGACAAGGGGGCGGTTTCTTTGCGGCTTGCAGATGATGCATTTGAGCCACGATTCACCTACCTCTTTGGATCTTCAGGACCTGGCAACAAATCTCGACGGGGCTTTGTTCGGCGCCCTCGACCCCTCCGGCAGACTTCAGTAGGTCTGTAGGCGATCCGATTGGGTTCAGGGTTACCGTCATCCCGGTTCCTTCTCGAGGAGCATGCAACGCAAACACCGTACACCGGGGCATCGAGACTCCTCACGCCCGCGCTCTTGGTGACATGTGGATCTCTTGTTGGTTCAGTCCTACGTAGACGGGTGACGATGGTTCGAGCGCCTGCCGCATGCATCTCATCTCTGGTTCACCGGCCAGACAGGGCCGCCCTTGTGCGGTTACAGATCGAAGAGAGCAACCACCGGGGCTAGATGTTCCTCTGGCCAGGGCAGCTGGGCGAGGAGTCTTGGCTGAACGGCGCGAGCCTGCACTGATGTGATAGCAAAGAGGGAAGAAGTGGGGGGTCTCTAATGGAGACTGATATGGTGAACCAATCGCGGTAATAGATGGATGGCTGGTGTCTCCTCCGATAATTATATGAGCTACGGCTCTGACATGGGGATGACATCCTTTCCAATCACAATCTGATCCGGAATTAGAGTGCTTCTGGCTGCCGGGGCTCTGGGACCGCTTGTGCCTGTGGCTTCCGATCCTAAGAACCAGCATGGGGAGTATGGGCAAAAAGAGGGTCATATCTGGGTTTGTGCAAGAAGATAGACATATAGGGCTGGCCGTGCTGTTCACCTCAGACTATCTGCCCATCGATGGTGGGCTGTCGGGGTATGCAAGCCATCCGAATCGAGTAAGCCGGGCCTCCGCGGAGAGCCATTCCCTTGCATTCTCTTAGCTGGGCTCAGTTTTGACTCTGTGATTGACATTCCAAGATGGGGTTTCCGGGGACGACTGTTACTGTTATATTGCCGCGGCGGCTGTCCTGACGTTGTTCATGAAATTGTGCAGTTCCCCTTCCCTGGAGGTACCGAGTTATGTCCAGAGCATCTCCCATGAGCGTAGGGACGCCTTCTCCGCAGCTTGAAGTGTCTGAGGACTGTGGTTGATATCTGTCCTGTCCTGTTGTTACACCAACGCCACAATGCACGATGAGGATGGTGATATGCAACCTGCACAACCAAAGGCCGCGTACCGCATGGTCCAGCCAAAGGTCTTTGGCGAAACAAGTGCTGGGAGTCCCACCGTTTTCATGGACTTTCGACATGTGCTTGAACCGCCAAGACGTTGCCTAGAGCAAACTTGTCTCCAGGTCTGTTGGCGAGCCGGGGAAAGGGGTAAATTACCCGGCTGTGACGACGTCGCGTACATGTGACAAGTGTGATGAGTAACATGTCTGTCGCAACTTTCCTCACATTTCTGGCCTTTTCCCGGGGCCTAGCGTTATGCCCTCGGCCGAGAAGAGGTGAACGACGTGTGGTGACTTTGGCGCAGCCCCAGCCGCTGGCTGAGACCGACGCGCCTTGGCCGTGGGCGACCCCGGTTTTCGTGTTGGGACAGAATCGCAAACAAAATCTGACGATGCGGGTCTTGGCCGGTGCCAATTGATATAGGGCCCACCTTCTGGCCCAGGAATAGTCGAGCTGCAGCCAGCATCGAAAACAAGGGTTGATCAGGGCGTCTTCCTCGGGGCGAGAGATATATGCATCCGAACCACAGACTCGGACTAGCTTACCTGTAACCCGGTTGAGCTTCACGAATTTAATATGCGCATAGCGGACTAGGGGCTGTCATCGACACTTGACTGTTGGTGGTTCATCGTCCCCGGCGTTGTTTGCGGTTCCTAACTCCCCTACACGCCCCTCCCCCCCTCCCCCCCTTCCCCTTCCACCTACTTGAGGCTTCATGGTATCCCTTGGGTTACCGACCGGGTAGCTGGATGGCGAAAGGGGTGCATAGCGTCCTCGAGGCTGGTTAATTCTCCTCGCGGGTTAGTGGTCATCGTGCCGCGGTGATGTGAAGCCCTTCCTCTTTCTAGGGTGCGAAGGACCCCATACTGCACGGGGGAAACGCGACAGCATGATATATCGACCGTGTTTCTTTGCCCTTTGGGGAAGGGGTTTCTGCTCAGGGGTTCAACGGCTCGACAGGCGCAACCGTCCTTGGTTGTCTTGAAAGTCGAAGAGTCCGACGAGTCCGAAGATCAGAAGCGAAGAGCAGCACGGGCAGGGGAGCTGTGGCCTCGCTTTGTTTCCGTCGACGTTGAAAACGTGATGATACGCTAATGTGTCTGCTGTGCCGCAAAAGAAATCGCTCGTCTGTCACATCGGCGGCCGCTGCGCATCTCGGTTCACATTTGCTCTCATTAAATGAAGAGAAATCGGCATCCTGGAGGACGCACCGGATTAAGAAAGGCCACCAGCATGGGCCCCCGTTCTCCGCTGCCCTATCTTGTGGGCGAAAGGCACGTAAACCAAGCTAGGTGGTAACCCAGATTAGATCCGCAGGCGGGCCGACGACGGGTGGGCGCCAGCCGGACGCCAGCCGGACTTCCCGTTTCTAGCTTGGCTCCCGATTCGCTGCCATTTCAAGCCTCCTCGGTCTTGCTTGTCCATCAACCCGCCAGACCCAAGGATGTCGCGGGTGAACTGATGAAGTCCCAATGAGGCATCGAGTTGGCAAAGGCGATACGCATAACAGGCGGACGAAGGAGAAGACAAAGGAGAAGTGGAAGGAAAAGGGAGAGCGGAACGGGGTGAGGATTGGGTTGCGATGTAAATGGAGAGAGAATGGACCGCTCCTAAACACCCCCCTGGTCCGCGGGCTGCATGTTGCATGTTTGTTTGCTGCAGCTGCTCACATACGACCTGATTGTCCACGAGAGGCAGACGTCTGGATCATTTTTGCGCCCGCTCACGTCAAAAGCGCAGCTCATCCCGGTCACGAGACACAATCCCGACGCGGTCAACGACACTGACACCCATCAGCGCTGCTAACTGCATCTGGTGGTGTGATACCATGGGTTTTAGATGAGACAAGGCTATCTCGGACTGGACCTTTTGGTCTGATGATTGGCGATATCATATGCGGCGTCTCGATTGACGACTACCCGCCCATACCAAGGCCGAGCAACTCGACTGGACCTGCCTGTCGACTTCCCTCGGGACTAGTACGCAATGAAATGGGCTGTTCGAGGTGAGGGTCGGGATTACAGTGACCTTGTGGTGGTAGCCAACGCTCATTTCGTTGGACCTGCAGCCGCTGTGTCACTTTGAGCCCTTCCTAGGCATCGAAAAGCCCCATACTTATATGAGAGATTGTAGATCGGACTCCTGCTCGCCCCAGCATCCCAAAGAGTTGGGCCGGCGTGCTGCCATCGCCGCAGCGGAGACTTGGTCAGACGGAGCGGCGACAGATGTGTATCCGTGCTTCCCTGGTGCGAGGCCGTCCCGGCTGGGCGACGCCGGTGCCTTTTCCTGACCTGTTGACGGAGAGTCGGAGTGGGGTAGATGGGGAGGGCGAACTGAGGGGAGACAAGGAGAGATATCTGGCGGGCTTCGGTGCAACGTACGCGAGACACGCGCGACGACAGGCGGTCGGGACCTGTTGAGCAATTTGATCTCTGGCTCTGCGTAGCGAAGGGCATGTTTCAAACTTGGTGGACTGTCGACAGGCTATGAAAAATGAGAAGGGAGATTATTATGTATACTGATGCTGCGTTTTCTTCCTTTCGGCGTGCCGGTCCACGCTTACGAACGACACGTCATCTGACACGCGACAGGGTGAGTGCTTGTGTGTTTGAGTGAGTGAATGAGTGTGTGTGTGAGTGTGTGTGTGTGTGTGTGTGTGAGTGAGTGTGTGAGTGAGTGTGTGTGTGAGTGTGTGAGTGTGTGAGTGTGTGAGTGTGTGAGTGTGTGTGTGTGAATGAATGTCAGAGTGATTGATGGGGGGAGATCAGAGACAATAACCAATCGGGAGGCCTCGGGCGCCCGAACTATGTACTATGTAGCAGAGGGCGGCAGGGTTGAGTGTGTATGTAAACCAGATGGGAATCAGGCTGACGCCGGTACGCGGCGCGCGCCAGCAACAGCGCACCCGATGCCCCGTTTAGGAAATCGAGTCCTGGTTGCTTGGCGCGCCAACTCCTGATGCAGAAGCTGGCAGCGGCCAGTGATAACGCCAAAGGGCATGACGAACTCGGGCCGACACGAGGGTGGCCTCGAGTGAGAGCCGACGTATTCGACCCCCCCCCCCCTCCGTTCCCAGGCCCGGGACTTCTGCGAAAGAACTTCTGTAAAGGGACCTATGTGAAGTGAGACATCGTCGAGAGACAGAGCCTGTAACGTTCACCCGTGACGTCGAGAACATTGGATAAACGCCCTAAAGCGCCACATGGTGGTCGTGGATTGGGTGACAGCAATTCAGATCTCTCTCGCTGCGCGTCTTTGACACCCATTACTTGGCCCCCTTCCTCATTGGTGCGCATCCCGCGGTCGGCGTCTCACTCACTTACGCACTCATTCTGCCAATATCCACTCTTGTCTTGAAAGTTTCTCCGTCTTACTTTTCGACTTTCTCTCCCCTCCCCGTTGTAGGCCATCTATGGTAACCAGTTACGCCTTATCGCTATGACGCCTGCAGATCTGACAATGGCAAGACAACGCAAGCCATTCAGAGCCGGGCAGTTCGTCGGTTGGCCAGGGGGGGAAACATAAGCATGGAGAGAAACGGAGCCCAGCGTCGTTTCGAGCCGCGTGTCATGTCCCAGCGGGCATCGCGTCCTTCCAAAACGGGTATACAGCTACGCCGCTACGCCGTTCTTTTGCTTTATCAATCTCGCTCGTTGTCGAGTACAATTTTCTCTGATTTCCGTCATCAACTGGACATCCGGCATTGACGTCTCTTTCATATGTGTTGAAGCCGCCCACCCACTCAACCCGTCCGCCTTCCCAGACCGCTTTCACTTCTTTTCGTGCCCGTACTATCTCATACCGCCGGCCCTCAGAGCTAGCGCGGCCTTATCTTCCGTCGGCCCCTCTCGACACATCCACACCACCCAAACCCTCGGGAACGTCACACCGCAGTCGGGATGGATTCACACTCCGATCCACTCTCCGACCAAGACACCGTCGTCGACGACGCCGCGCCGTCCAGGGCATCAACAGACATGCACGATGTAACGGAGTCGACCCCCCTCCTCCTCGCGAGTGCCCCGTCCTCCCCACTCCGACTCAAGCGGCCCGGCACCGGCCGCAGCAGGACCGAGTCCCTCATCAAGGCCGCCGCCGCCATCCACGTTCCCAAGCTACACAATGCCGATGCCATCGCCGCCCTCTTCTGCGCCATCATCGGCATCGGCTGCAGTGCCTCGGGTCTCTGGGTCGTCCCCAGCACTCGCCTTCTCGAGGACGTTGTGTGCAGGGAGTACTACGGCGTCCTGGGCTCCGGGGACGCCAGCGCCGACGGCCCAATCGACGAGCGCCAGTGCAAGGAGGACGTGATCCAGAGCAAGGTCGCCATGCTTTTCGCCGTCTACGCCACGCTGGAGGCGGCCGTCGGCGCCTTGGCCACATTTCCCTGGGGCATCATTGCCGACCGGTTCGGGAGGAGAAAGGTCTTCTCGTTGGCGGTGCTGGGCATAATCCTTGACCAGCTCTGGTTCCTCTTGGTGTGTGCGTTTCCCAGGACGTTTCCAATGAAGGCCTTGTGGGTCGGCCCTTTCTTCTTGTTGGTTGGCGGGGGTAACGGCGTGCTAAGCGCCGTTGTCTTTTCCATGATCTCGGACGTCACGACATCAGAAAACAGGTTCGTTGTTTCTTCTCCGATATGAAACCACCCTTACCTTGCTAACTCGTACGGCTAGAGCCAAGAAGTTCATGAACGTCCATGTGGCGTCCATGACTGGAAACCTCTGCGCCCCCGCCATCGCCGGGTGGATGATGGAGAGAACCGGGCCGTGGCCGGTCATGTGGGTTGCCCTTGCCGCCGGCTTGACTATGGCCTTCACCATCCACATGATCCCGGAGACGAAGCCGGCGGCCCAGATCGAGTCGGACCCTATCGCGAACGAGCCGGAGGCCGACTCGCCCGTCATAGGCGCCATGCAGCACACGTTCCACCGGCTCCGGGAGTCTCTGGGTCTCTTCAAGTCGCCGTCCCTCGTCGTTTTGGTGGTGACGCTGCTCGGGTCGTACCCCGCCGCGATGTCGACCTTCCAGTTCATGAACATCTTCGCCTCGAAACGCTATCACGTCTCGCTGTCTCAGACGGGGTACCTCTCGTCACTCTACGGGCTGGGCGTTATCCTGGCCGTCGTCGCCATCTTGCCGGGCATCTCAAAACTGCTCGCCTCACCGAAGGCGCCGAAGCCCTTGCGGTTCACCAACGACAACGACCGCGACCTCTTTCTCGCCCGGATATCGTCCGTCACGCTTATTATCGGCGCCTTGGGTCTAGCCGCGTCGCCGAGCATCGGTGCCTTTATTGGCGGCCTCGCGATCTTGGCTCTCGGTTCGGGTTGGGGCAGCTACGTGCGTAGTCTCTGCGCGATATACGTGGACGCTGCGCATCGGACACGGCTGTACTCATTCATCTCGCTCGTTGAGATGGTGGGCACGGTGTACACGCAGCCCATGCTCGCCGAGCTTTTCAGAGTGGGTATGCAGCTCGAGGGTCTGTGGATCGGGTTGCCGTACCTTGTTGTCGCTGGTTTCTGCCTCGCTAATTTGGGGCTGCTTCTCTTGGTCCGCCTTCCGCCGCCGGAAGCCATGAAGCGTGCGCCTGGGGATGAAGCCGAAGCCGAAATTGCTGCCCAAGCTAAATGAGGAGTAAATAACCGTTTTCCGTTTTAGATTTGATTCAGCGCCTGGTAGTCCTTTGCATTGAGACTTGCAGTAATATCGACTTTTTATGTATACGTCATAACATGCCTATTAAATTGCACCGCTGTTGCCAAGCGTCAACCAACATGGCGATCGTCCATTTGTCTGAGCCCAGCAGCCCATGAGCCGTTGTCCAGGCTATCTGCCATCGACGAGCCGGGACCTACATCAGCCAGTGATGGTGTTTTGGTCGTCCGAGGGCGGCGGAGATGGTGAAGAGCAACCCATCCGAGATTGGGATGGCCTCGAGGGCGCTTTGGCCATTGAAGTAAACATGGCACATGGTTCGACAGCGTTGGCAAACCAGAGCATGTTGGATGAAGGCCTGCCAATCAATGACAGCGTGTGGTGTAAACCAAGTGTATTGTGGCTGCGATCAAGAGATCTGCAGGCGACAGCGATGGGCGTTAGGCGGTTGGTGGTGGGTATGGGTGGTGGTGGCGGCGCCCTTCCCGCAGCTAGCGCTAGACTGTAGCCTGTAGGAGCATAGCCACGGCGCTGGCCAATCCTCGACGTCGCCCCTTGACGCTAACCAGCGCCAGGTCAGGGCATCCATCTTCACTTGCAAACGCCAACAGCCACTCATCCACAACCTTTCAAGGATCTTCCCCAGCGGAACGCCGTTTCAGACGGCGGCCATGGGGGGGTGGTGCGTTGAAAGGCAGCGTAATACGGCGCTTGCTCGGTACGTCACTCACTCTATTGAACCAAGATGCACTGTTAGGAGAGAAGGGGAAGGGATCGGTCCCAGAAAAAGAGGAGGAAAGGGTTCGAGTCAAAAGATATGGAGTGAAGGTTGAGGGCATTTTCCCATCCATCCATATGCGTCACAATTTGCCATCTTTCTCATAACCACCAAGAGCGAGGTGCGTCCCAGTCGAACTGGACCAACTCGGTGGGCGGCTTTCAACTTCTTCAAACCCACCAACGACTAAGACAAGGAAGACAATCCGATTCAGGCTGCGAGGAACGCCTGTAAAGAACTATCGACTAGACCCCGACAAGAAGAAGATCTTGACGACAGCCATCGCCGGCCGGCCCACCACCGAACGAAAGGAAAGGGGGGTGAAATGGCATTATTCGAGCCGGCCAGCTGCACCGTCGGGCCCGACGTCCCGGTGGCCAGCGACGGTGGCGTCGCCGGCCGCGGCGTCATCCTCGCGGCCGTCATCACCGCCGGCGTCTCCCTTATACTCAGCATGTCCATCATCATCCACGAAATGTACGGCAATCCCTCGAGGATCCGCCGGAAGCTGCTCAACAGCTACTCGGACCAGCAGCTCCTCATCAGCATCGGCATCTCGTGCGTCGGCCTCGCCAAGGTCCACCAGATGGTCCCTTACCACTTCTTCATCATCTGGATGCTCACCAACATGGCCCTCGCCGTTCACAACGCCACTCTGTTGGCCCTCGCCCGCGACTTCCGCCGCGACTGGGTCCTGCGTTGGCTGCGCCAGATCCTGATGCTGCTGAGCCTGTCCCTCAACACCACCTACGGCGTCTTCATCCTGCGGGGCGTGTCGAGCAACATGCAGGAGTCCAAGCTGCCCGTCGCCTGCGTCTGGATCGTCGGCGACGCTGGCAAGGGCTCGCAGACGGGGCTGAGCTACTTCGGCACCATCGTCGTCATCGCCGCCAACATCCTCGTCTTCCTCCTGGCGAGCTGGTACCTCCACCATAAGAGCTTCCGCTCCACCCGATTGACGCGCATATTCCAGGTCGTTGGCACCTTGGTCATGATGGGATCTGCCATTGGCGCCGCGATCCGTGTCTTGATGGCCTCGGATGCCTGGGGCAACGGACCGGCCTACGAGCTCAGTGACGACGGCGAGAAGCAATGGAACTTCGGTCAGCTGCTGTCGATGCTCGTGCTCATCTTCCCCCTCGTGTCCATGATCGAAATCATCCGCGGCGAGATCGGCGTGAAGGAGTGCGACTTGTCGAGCAACTTGGGTGGCGACACGGAGATGGGCAAATACCGCAGTTCGGCCAACTCGTCGGCCCAGGGGCTCGTCTTCATCGGGGAGCAGAACAACGTGCTCAAGTGAGGGATGGGGGGAAGGTCCTACGCCGTTCGGACCAGACAGCCTCTGCTGCTGATGTTAAATGATTGATGACGGGTGCGGGAAACAGGAATGATACCCATTAGAGGAGACCACGTCGGGAAACGACGATACGGCTCCCATATTGTGGAACGTAATGCTGAGATAACATGTACGTTTTGATCTCGAATTCCAACGGTATGGGGTGCCTAAAGGCCAGGCTTTTATTTTCAGAGAAAGGGCCTGCTGCTGTCCTCCATGCGTGACGCGACTCGTGCAGTGGAACACTGAGGTGCAAATAATACCGGGCACCATGTCCAGCCGTACGGCGAATGTCCCAATCTCTTTTGAGAACCGTATTTGCAAGTGAGCATCTCCGAGACTACTTAACCCCAACACTTGGTAGATACATGAAAGCGTCGAGCGAGGCTGGCTGCCTACAGCGTGGCCGTTGGCTAGGGATGTGGGATGATTGACTCTCGCGTCACCCTGCCGCCACTTGGTGCTCCAGTCCCGTCCCAACGTTGAAACCTTGGACCAAAGTTGGATTAATACAACCTCTGATAGGTAAGTGCCGTATCTCTTTCAGAAAACCCCTCACGTGCGATGGCCGTTAACATCACGCGGCGACCTAATCTACAGACAAGCATACGATACTCGTTGCTGATGGCATTTCCCCCTGGCTAAGCCAAAGGCAGTCTCTTTCCTCATCCCCTCTTCCATTAGAGCGAGCGACGCAGGTGGGTGTCGTTAAGCATGTTTTTGTTCTTGTACAAGTATTTACTTGCACCCTTGTCGTTAACGTCAAACACTATTGGTTTCGGTGGTACACCTATCTCGGGGAGGGCGAGGGCGAGGGCCACAGATCGACGGGCATTACAGAGCAATACCACGTTCTTTTGGATAGACGCATCATGGGGGTAACCTGGCAAAGCCCTGAGAGGTGCTTTCCTACATACCTACTCCTTATTTATACTACTAAAAGCGAGGAAGGCACGTGCACCGCAGGCTTCCCAGGAGATCTCCTGCCCAACTCAGAGAAAGCAAAGCATCGTGCCTGGCCCCAGACCTTCTCGGGTGAGGTGCGCATACGAGTACTTGGTACCTAGGTAGGTACAAATCAAGAAGAATCCTCGTAGCTCCTTCCTGTCTCGACGTTCCAGGATTAAGCAGTCTGAACTTTGCGAACCGTGCCAGCTGGCTCCAGCGTCAGGCGAAACTCTTCTTTCTGCCATCGTCTACCACATCGCTATCAAGACTTCTCGCCGCGACTCTGTCAATGACTACGACGGCAACTTGATTCCCATCTCATTTCTAGTCGACAGCACACGCACACGTACAGCAACGGTACCGAGTCTCGACCTGGACACAAAGCCCGGACAAGGCGCCCGAGTGTAACTCTATCCGCCAAGAAACCCCCACGACAGATAGCACAGCTATGGGGGGCAGCTCGAAGCGCATCTTCCAGTTGCTCTGGCTGGCCGCCGGTCTGCTCTTTGCCTTCGCTTTTCTGCGCTCCATCGGTGCGCACGACCAGGCCAAGAAGTGGGCTTCCAGCCAAGTTGACAGCCTCGTGAACAATAATGGCGGTCGCATCCCAATGCGCGAGTTCCTGATCAACGCCGAGGCAGTATGGGCTAAGACCGTCCAGCAGCGTCATGATACGATTGCTGCCGACTGGGGCGATGCCTCCCACATGCCTTTGTAAGTCGGCTTCTTCAATTCTTCTCGCCCGAGCCCTTCGACACCATGCGTATACTGCGACAGGGTCTTGTCAACAAGACAAAAATATCAGACAACTAACTACCATCCTCTTGCAGCTTCCCCGCCACGAGCGCCTCGAAGTACAAGAAGCACCCTTATTCCATTTGGGACTTCACTCCGGCCTCTTTCAGCTGTCCCCACGAGATGGAACGCGTCGGCCGTTTGGGCGACGGTGGCAAATGGGTTTGCGGCATGTCACGCTATGTCAATTTCCCACGGAACCGCGAGTGTATCATCTACTCTTTCGGCGTCCGCGATGAGTCCAGCTTTGGTGAGTAGCCTGTCACCTGACCTATCACCGTACAAATAAATGGGCGTCTGACTCGTGAATTCTGGAAGAAAACGAAATGCTAAGCCGCACGAAATGCCGCGTTTGGGCATACGACTTTTCCGTTGTCGACTTTGGCGAGCAGCTTGAATCCGGCAACCGCGAAAGAGCCAGCTTTCTTCAGGCCGGTATAGCTGGTAAGACAAACACGACGTTGAAGCCTCCTTTTTACAGCATCAGCGACCTGATGGATATGAACGGCCATGAGTACATGTAAGCGGTTCCTTCGTGGCCGAGGCACACCGACTATTCGCTGACATCATGCCAGTGACATTCTCAAGATGGACATTGAGTTTGCCGAGTTCGAAGCCGTGGAGGGCCTTCATAGGGACTTTCCCATCACTGCTGGTGAGCTCCCGATCGGCCAGCTGATGGTTAAGATCCATTTATTCGGCGGCCTGACAGCCTTCAAATACCTTGACTGGTGGCAACGCCTCGAGTCTCGCGGTCTGCGCCCTACCTGGACCGAGCCCAACCTTCTCGCTGTTACACTGAACTTGGGCAACAAGAACCCGCTGCTCGCCGAATACACCATGATCAACGTCCATGACAGTAACAATATTTTATTCGATGGAAGAGGACTGTAAACATTGCAACAGCGAAACAGATGCCGTATCGAATTTGCCATTAGCGAACGGAGTATTTAGGGTGTGGTGAGTGCTGGGAGCGAAAATTGCATGGTTATCGGCGTTATTTATGAGCCAAAAAATGAACTATAAGATAATTAGACCAAAGCTTCTTGAGAGTTTCCTAGGGGGCTCGATTATATTGATAAACAGATTTTCGTCCGAATGTACAAAGCAAGCAAGCATCTTCTCGGCGTCGACGCACTATTAGTAGCGGTATGGCCGACTTGTCGAAGACCGTCGCGCCACCGGCGAATTGCAGAGTTTGCCAGAAAATGTATACTTGATTCCCCGGCCCCTACGGACTTATCAGGCAATACTCCAATGTTAATTAGGAAATGGATGGCGATCGAGCAAGGTTCCTGGTTTTTTTTTTTTTAACTTGGGGTCAAGGCGGCGTCTTTCTTCTACAGACATGGATGGGCATTGCCAATAAGAAAGATGGTCTCCTCTCCTTTCACAAGTCTCGACTGTCTGCGTCGAGCCGGCAAGCAAATTAGGCGGCATAAAAGCTGCTAGAGACCTTGCAGCATCCAGGTCTCACTGTACTTACTCTGCGTACACACGGCAATCAACAAGACTTCAATGCCTGGGTATTCATGGTAATTGAATTGTCTGAAAGGGTATGTGGTATCAATTTACTGTTTTTTTTTCCAGCGTAGATTTAGCGGCGCAAATGTTTGGTGCAAATCTCATCTCATTGCACCACGCACTTGCTCGGCAAACCGCAAGGTCCCGCTTTAACGTCCTTCTTGTCCAACTCTTGCGGCGTCTTCCGGTCGTCCTTCTTCACCGGCGCCGCCTTATCAGACCCGTTGACCCCGTTGGTCGTCTTCTGCTTCTCCTCCTCTGTCTTGGCCCCGCCTTCGCTACCATGCAGTCAGCCGGAATGCTTGGCGACCGTCTGGTAGAAGGTCTCGCCCTGGATGGTGGCGATCTCGAGCTCCTTGGCGCTGGGCTGGCGAGAGCCGTCGGGGCCGGCAAAGGTGCCGGCACCCCAAGGGCCGCCGCCGTGAACCTCGGAGAGGTCGGTCAACTGGCCGAAGGCCTTGGCATAGCCGAAGGGGACGTAGATGATGCCATGGTGGGCAAAGGTGGACATAGCGGCGAGGGCGGTGGACTCCTGGCCGCCGCCGAGGGAAGCGGTGGAAATGAAGAGGCCGGCCATCTTGCCCCAGAAGCCGCCGGTGCTCCACTGCTTGCCGGTCTTGTCCCAGAACGCCTTCCACTGGGCGGGGAAGTTGCCGTATCTGGTGGGGATGCCGATGAGGAAGGCATCGTAGGCCTCAAGAGTGGCCGGGTCGTCGAGGACGGGGACGTCGGTGGGCTTGGGGGGAGCACCCATCTTGGCGAGAACATCCTCAGGGAGAGTCTCGGCGATCCTGGTTGGTTCCATGTTAGTCTACACATATGCGTGGTTGTTGTCAGGGCAGAAAGGGGACGTACTGGAAAAGGTCGGCAGAACCACCGGCCTTCTCAATGCCCTTCTTCTCGGCCTCGGCCAATTGGCGGATGTGGCCGTACATGGAGTACTGTCAAAGACATGGCGGTTAGCAGAGTGGTCTTCTTGTGCGGGCAGTAGTATCAGGTTTAACAGGGAGCATCTTCAGAGAGTGTTGCTTCATCCGTACGGGAGAAGCAAACCGAATCTCTCTTATAGATACGGCTCGGCCGAGACGGTTGGGAAGGTTGAGCGAAGGAGAAGGGGTAAAGTACAAAAAATGCCGGATTAGATTCAGTGGTGCAAACTTACGTAGACGATGGCGATCTTGGGAGCCATTGTGAGTGGTGGTTGGGTAATGTTGCGGGAAAATAAGGAAGAGAAACTGGGTATCGAGTGTGTAATTTGCAGTGAGGAGTTAAGCAACATGCAAAGATAAAATCGGGGAGGACGGCATGATCTTATATCGAGGCCAACCCAACCCGCAGCTCCAATGGCCCCATCTGGCGTTCATGGGAGCGGAGAAGCGAAGAGAGGGGACTGAGACGGGGGCGTCTTGCATCATCAATGATACGCCGCTTAGGCAGCTTGTCGGGGTGGGGGATCGATTAACGGGCAGAAGAGGACGAAGGTCAGGGACACCCCCTTGAGGATGGGGATGCGGCCGGTTCGAAAGGGATGGAACGACAATGGCTGGCCAACTTCATTAGGTCCATATGCCAAGTGGGATCAGAATCGAGACACATGCCAGGTAGTGTAGCTCAGGTAAGGAGATGTCAGCAAGTCGTCGCGGGGGAGACAACTCCTGCAGGGGAGCTATCCGGTACAGGCAGGCTAGGTACGTGTCTATCTGCCTCTACCGCTTCATTGAGGGAGGGGCATGGTATTAATGCCGAGTCTGGAAAGAGGACGTACCTAGGTACCTAGGGAGGTAGGTACCTAATTATCTACACAAGTACGTTATACTCGACGATGTATGTATTTTTTTCTCTTTCTTTCCATCTCTTCCCCCCTTTGGTACAAGCTATCTAAACAGCAGCAAGAGTAAAGAAGTACATCTGCGCGATGTGTACCTACTCGGATAGTACAGGTAGATCTGAGCGATACTGTTAGCATCTAGGTATGCACGTAGTAGGTGTGCAGCAGCTCTGCAGGTGGAAAAAGGCAGGCAAACAGACATGTCAGATCACAGTTGGCCCCTCCACCTCCCCCGGTCAAGCTGCTGCACTGCGTAGCATAGCATGCGCCAGAAACAAGTCGTCACAACAATGGGTCTGTGGAGCCAAGTCTGGAGAATTCGACGGGTGCTGATTAAGCGCTTAACAACGCATCCGGGGCATGATAGATAAGCCTTACGAATGAATACCTACCTAGTAGTACACATATCGACGCCTCGCCGACTGTCCTGTTTGGGCACCTTCATATGGCATGTGTGGCACCTGTCGAATGCTAGTGCAACGCTACCAGAGAGGTAGTGTACACGATGCGTGAGTACCTACCTACCTAGGTACAGACTAGACTACCTAGGTACAAGTAAGTAGGTTACCTCGCTAGGTAGGTAAGTGTGTGGTTCTAGCTTTAGGCTTTTTGTAAACTGCACGTAGTACGATTATCGAGAGTTTTGGATTTCGGGTTAAACCGAGGGCTGCCGACACAGATCAGACACAATCCTAATCTTCTGCCGCCTTCAGTCCACGCAACAATCGGCATGTATAACAGACGAGACGTCTATGAATTAGGTAGAGTATTCATCTCATCTGTCTGCGGGTTCCAATTCCGAGTTCATGCATGGTCGCTCGATCGACGGCGAACGTCATCTGTGCAATGTGCAATGTGCAATGCGCAAGAGCGATTAGTAGTGACTGACAAATGTACGTACGACACCGTCCCCCACGAAGCTGACAGGTACGGCCATGGCGCCAAGGAGGGAGGGAGGGAGAGTAGGAGCGAGGAGAACCCAAGAACGAATCGGAACTGCTGTAGAAAAACGCAGACCGGCATGGAAAAAGGTAGGCACGTGGGTACGTGGGTACCTAGGTAGGCACGTGGGTAGATGAGTACCTAGGTACACAGCAATCTTGTCGTCGTCTCCTTCCTTTCGTCCCATCAAGCTTGCCGGTGCCGATTCTCCCTGCTTCCCCCAGATGGTTTCTCCCACCTTCCGCTGTCAAACGGGCACTGCTCTGCACAATGAATCGCAATGTGCAAACGCGATCGACTGTCAAGCCCGGATCAACAGGTGGTGGTGGATGTAGTGGGGCTCGTCCCACTATACCAAGGTACCTGGTTGACCTCGCGCCTGAGTTAAGCGTTTATTTTGTAGGTACGGATACCGTAGTGTAGTTTAGGTGAGCTACGTCCAAAACATGATCCAAGGATGAATCAGCAACACGCACATGGATGGGGACCGGGGTGCCAACCCTTGCCCATCACCGCAATTAACTCCTGCATCCGGAGCGCCCCTATCCGTCTCTGACTCGCGCAAGCTCCCAGTGAGGGCAACATGCGAAGTTGCATCATCGGGTCTGGAAATTGAGACGACAACGGCACGCCTCTACGACGGTTTGTATGTCTACCTGGTTGATTGACGCAGAAACTGTACAGTGCACAACCCAAACAGACTCTTTCTTCCTTACCCCGCTGCACTGGTGGTATAAGTCGGAAATGCTTCTCCAAGCATCGACCTCGCGAGACTCTTAACAAAAAACCCACCTTTCGGTTGGCCACCGTGGGCCTATCTGTTATTCCAAGGCATTCTTATCCCAGAGATGACTTCATCAGGCTGTAGATCTTTCAAGCATTTGGCCCGGCATCTTCATTGCTGGCGCACCATGCACTGCAAATCTTCACTTTCAGTAGACCAAGACTAACGACTTGTTTCCAGGGAAGGGGCACATATCATCCATGGCCGGAAAGGCCGTTGCTTCCCATTCTAAATTCGGTAGGCATTACATACATCGTACATGCATCCTCGCATCCTTAGTCCTTTAGACTCCGAGCCGTCTTCAACTGGAAGATCTTTGCCAAAGTCAGACACATCGAGCCGACCGTCAAAGCCGCGGCGCCGTACCCGATCATGGACTGCCACGCCACCTCGCCGTAGTCGCCCAGAATGGCACCGGCAATCGGCGTCCCGACGAGGATGGCAATACCCGCGATGAAGTTCATCATGCCCATGCGCGTCCCCACGCGGCTCAGGTCCGGCGAGAGGCTGACAACGACGGTCGGCGAGATGCTCACCAAGCCGCCGGAGAAGAGGCCGTACAGGATAGCGAAGACGATGAGACCCGCCATGTTGCGGATCCCCAGCCATGCGAACATGAGGATCGCCGAGCCCGCGGCGACGGCGATGTGCATGTACAGCGCACCGACCTTGTCTGCCAGGTAGTTGGGTATCACACGGCCCGGGATGCTCCCGGCGCTGAGGAGAGTGACAAAGTAGGCCGAAAAATCGGATGAGCCAATACCATGGTTGACGGCGAAGAGTTGGATGTAAAAGTACGGCACATACATGGCTAGGAACGCGATGAAAGAACCCACCACGACGAGCGTGAAGGCCGGGTCGCGCAAGGCCGTTTGGTCAACAAGCGAGCGCTTGTGGCCCGAGGGCGGGAGGCGAGTGTGCATCGTGACGGCAGGGATGACGGAGAGGCCCAGTAGGATGAAGGCGATGATGCGGGTGGCCCAGCCGAAGCCGATCTTGGGCTCGAGGTGGCCGAAGAGGATCGGGAAGGTCATGCCCGCGATGGGCGAACCCGTCGCAGCAATGCCCATGACGAGGGCGCGCCGCTTGTCAAAGTACTGACTGAGGATCGCGGTGGAGGGGAGGAAGACCAGACCGCAGCCGACGCCGACGCACACGCCCTGCGCGAGGAGGACCTGCCAGTAAGCGGTGCAGAGGGACGTCATGAACATGCCCAAGAGGATCAGGAACATGCCGGCCCAGAGAAGCTCGCGGAAGTATCCAGCGTCGTAAAGGGGTCCGGAGATGGGCCCGACCATCATCAGGAGGGCACCCTGCAGGGAGCCGATCCAGGAGATTGCCGAGGGGGCGACGTCATGGAGGGTGCGCTCGTAGTAGGTCTGGTAGACGCCGAAGGCGTTGACGAGGCCCCAGGTTTGCGCGAGGATGACCCAGGAGCCGAGGACCTGGAACCAGGCCTCGAGGCCGCCGTCGGGGACAGGGCCCGGAGCGGAGGGTTTTGACGGTTGCTGGGCGGTGTCGGTGGCGGCTCGACTTTCTGGGTCGACGGCGGCGGGGGTGAGGGATGTTTCGGAGGGCGTGCGCGAGCGAGAGCCCGGCACCGAGCCGGATTTCTCGCCCGCGACGGAGGTTCGGGCCGTCATGATGCAGGTTCGTGTGATTGTATGGATGAGGAGGCACTCAAGTTTTATGGCCTTGCTGGCTATAAGGAACTCCCCGTCGTCGGTGGCAATATCTTTGTTTGTTGGCCTGGCAGATCTATCTCGTCCCAGCTACGTCAAATACCGAGCTTCGATTGGCGTAACTAAAGGTCAGAAATTGCTGCGCAATGAATGAAAAGGATTAGACATTAAGTATTGTCCGTCATAGAAATCTTGTGAGGGAAACGAGGCGTCTCGTTTTTCCCACGCAACAGAACAGAGCAATCCAGAAGGATTTGAACTAGAAAAGAGCGGAATGGTTCAAGAAACCCACCGAGAACGGCGACGGCTCAGGGTGTGGACGACCCTCTCGGATATAAAAACCGGGCGAGCACATCCACGATAGACGGTGAGGAGGGGAGGCGGCTGAGAATGAATGACCCAGATTGCACCACCAGGGTCCACTCTTTCGCACCCCTCTATTTTACATAGTATCCGTAGATTGGAGGACACGAGGAAGAACACTGGCTGGGGGGGGAGGGGGGCAAAGAGAGAAAAGTTCTTTTGCGAATTTGTCTGCTTATCAGAGGTAGGGATCCGCCACCTGACTGGGCCCGGTTGGACGGCATGTGGGCGGGACGGTTACGTAGGAGGGGATCCAATGATGTCTGATCTGCCAAGGGTTTTTTTTTTTGCATTTGACTTTTGCTTGCGGGCGACGAGCAAAGCAGACGCGGCGAACGGGATCTACAGCAGCAGCGCATTGGGGAGGATGAGAAGGGTTTCAACGGCACCTGGCGTATCAACGAGAGGGAAAAAAGCCACAATATGCGTCGATAGAGCAAGATTGCCGATGTCAACTCCCGCGCTGGAGTCGACTCCGCCGTTGGTGACTCCCACCGGGCGTACTGGGCCTGAAGTCTAATATTTCGAGGGCAGAGTGGACCGATTCTTTGTCGTCGACAACGATAGCGGTCCGATTCTGAGCTGAGCCGATGAAAGGGGGTGTCGGCATGTGTAGCGGTATTCGCCGAGGTCGGGATCCACTCCGAGGCAAGACAGGCTGTTAGACGCGATGGGGAGATAAGGCGTTCGGGCAGTTTCCTTGATAGTCTCTTCTTGTTGGCCCATGATAAGCACCGCCGACGTGTTGAATCAGGTGTCAGTCATCTCGAAGAGAGATTTAGGGAGTAAGAGAGAGAGAGGACAAAGAGCAAAGCTGGCAAGCCATCTTGAGTATTGTTTCTCGATACCTAAGTTTAGCAAGGCGACTGTGGAATAAGGTCGGAAGACTGACAAGGGTGGCGGACTGTCGATCCCTAGAGTCAAACTATAGCTTAATTATCTTTGTGCCATTGTGTCGGCGTGCTTCGTAAGGTTGGGATACGTGTGGTGTCATCTGCTTAGGGTTCTTGTTTCGATATCCAGCAGTAACAATCATCAATCGGCAACTTGGCCGAGCGGTCTAAGGCGCCAGACTCAAGCGTAAGCTTCACCCGTCTCAACGGATGAGTATTCTGGTCTCGAAAGAGGCGTGAGTTCGAATCTCACAGTTGTCAATTTTGTTTTGTTCGCAGGAGCAGCCGCCTTTCTCTTCTCGTTGGGCATTCCGCCAGGTACTTTTGCTGTGCCTCGTGTTCCTACGCCACTGGAACAATCGTTTTGTGACCCTGTTGCGTAGCTGGCTGGTTAGCGTAGAAAATCCTCGCAACTCGTCACTAGGTATTCGACGAAATAAACCTTCGCTGTTCATCCCATCTCGAGTTCAGACTCACAATTAATTCCAGCTCGCCACGAAGACAGCCCGAAAGCTACCGAATGCTATATGCGAACGCGCGACATCGACTCCATGGCCTTCTCGCCAAGCCTGGGCGGCCGATGATGTACATAGGTACCCGAGAAGGGCCTGTACGGCCTACGGTCCCAAACACGGCCCTGTGCTCCGCCAATCTCAGACACGGAGTGTCGGATCTCACCAGATCACCACTGCCGCCATGCGACGCTGCCGCTCTACTGCGTAGGGATTAGCTGTTGCTGTTTCACATCGACTCGTCCAGGCCCATGATGTCGCCCTCCTGTTTTACCGGCCTACGTAGTAGGTGGCTCTCCGTAGTATGTAGCATACGCAATACGGTGTTTCCTATCTGCTTTTCATTTGTACATACTGATGTTTGATTGTTTTATCAATCCGAAGCCTGGCTGGTTCCCATTTCGGCCCCTCTTCTTGTTTGCTTTACATGAAAACTCGTAGAGTGAGAGTCGGAGCAGAGACCTGTTAGGTTTTATAGCCAATCGCATCTCAAATCACACGCAACGAGGCCCAGAGCCGACGCCATGAAGCCTGGTGCCATGCCATACTCCGACGTTCGCCGCGAGGCTCAAATCCACGATGATCCCTCTATGACCGACGTCAGCGTATCGCTCCTCAGCGACGACGGCGAAGGCAAGCAGTGGAACAGGGCAGATCTCGAAGATGGGACACGGACGACGCAGCCGAGCCGATGCGCGAGGGCCCTTGGCTTCTTTCCTCGCTGGCGCGGACTCATCGATACGCTTATGCTGGTCATCATTCTTGGTCTGCTTCTCGAGCGGAGGGCGGGCCTGCAGTCAACAGCACCCCGTGATAAACGTCTCGAACCCGTGGGCGACCTCACAGGATTCGCGCCAGAGTGTGAGTAACGCTGTTCCTCCCTGCCCGGTTGACCGCGTGACATGCTGACACGGCGCAGTCAATCAGCAAATAACCACGTTCCACCCGACGACGGACTTCGTCCCCGACGACCCGAAGAAGTTCTTCACCGACGCCTCGATCAAGGAGAAATGGCTTTCCATCGTGCCCAGGGGCCTGGGCTACGTCGTCATGAACGACACCAAGGCCCATGACAACCTGCCCGTCCCGCTGCCCGAGTTCACGCCGCGCACGGTCTTCACGACGTCCATGACGCACCAGCTGCACTGTCTCTACGCGATCCTCGAGAGCTACGCGGGGCTCGCCGTCAACGGCAGCGGCGCCGTCGACATGCACTCGCACATCCCCGAGGGTGCCCAGGGCGCCGAGGAGCCGTGGCATTTGCAGCACTGCTTCGAGTACCTCCGACAGGTAAGTGGTGGCGATGGGGTTTTCCCATCGATCTGGCTCCCATGAAGCTGACATATCCTCCCCTCCCGCAGGCCATCATGTGCGCAGGCGACGTTGCGCTGGAGGGCACACAGACGACGTTCCCTCCGGGTTGGACGGGTAGCGACGGTTGGGACGCGAAGCACGTTTGCAAAGACTACAAGCAGGTCTACGATTATCTCGACAAGAACCGGGCGCTGGACGATCACTGGATCTAAGCAAAGTCGGAGAGCTTTGTAATTTTGCGTACGGCGTTCAGGAGGGGTATATATCCATTTGCGCAGCAGAGAACTGAGATTCGTTGGCAACATAAGACCAATACTACCTACCCATGTAATGAAAAATTTCGCACAGAGCCGTTTCATTAAGGGCTTGCCTGCTTCTCCCCAACGCTCTGCGAGCGACGGATTGAATGAAAGTCTCTATAAATGTGCTTATGAGCTTGCTGGAACAGACGAGAATTCAGGTCACTTGTGGAAGTTGAGATGACATATTATGTAAACTAGCTCCCATGTCTCATGGCGATGTCCTCCCCAACAAGTTGTACGCCATCAAACCGTCCGGTGTAATCCCGCTTCCGCGATTCGCCCACATCCGGGGTTGCCCCACTCCTCCACGAAAACACGTGCCTTCGCGGCGGCGCGAAACCGGACCCATGTCCAAAAAAAAAAGTTTCGCCGAGTGAGGGAGATGGAAAAAACGAGCCCCGTACCAGACAGACACCATCGTGTCCCTAATGGATCCCGGCTCCCTTTTCTCGTGATCCCACCCATTCTTTCCATTTCCTTTTGACTTCGTTTCCGGTCCGTGAAACATTGGTCACGATGAGGGCTCCGAGGGCCGTCAGAGTGCCGAATGGCGGGCTTTTCAGCGGCGCAAGGCCCCAAGGCCGGCATGCGCGACACTTCGGCTTCGCCGCCAGCGTGAAGCCTTCGACAACCCCTTCGATGACGACGGCTGCGATGTGGAAGATGGGACAGACGGCCAGACGCACCCTCACGACGACTACCGCGGTCAGGTCCGCCGGGGCCGCCGCCGAGGCCCTGAAGCTGGCTCAGGAGAACGCCTCCGCCCTCACCCCCGAGCTCGTCGCCGCCAAGATGAGCCCCGAGGAGGCGCACCGCCTGTCGCGCGTGCGCAACATCGGTATCGCCGCCCACATTGACAGCGGAAAGACGACGGCCACCGAGCGAGTGCTGTTCTACTCGGGCCGCATCAAGGCGATCCACGAGGTCCGCGGCAAGGACTCGGTCGGCGCCAAGATGGACTCGATGGAGCTCGAAAGAGAAAAGGGCATCACCATCCAGTCGGCGGCCACCTTCGCCGACTGGAAGAAGACGGAGAACGGAAAGGAGGAAACCTACCACATCAACATCATCGACACCCCCGGCCATATCGACTTCACCATCGAGGTCGAGCGAGCCCTGCGCGTGCTCGACGGCGCCGTCATGATCCTGTGCGCCGTCTCGGGCGTCCAGAGTCAGACCATCACCGTCGACCGTCAGATGAAGCGCTACAACGTCCCCCGCATCAGCTTTGTGAACAAGATGGACCGCATGGGTGCCAACCCCTGGAAGGCCGTCGAGCAGATCAACAAGAAGCTCAAGATTCCCGCCGCCGCCATCCAGGTGCCCATCGGGGCCGAGAACGAGTTCGAGGGCGTCATCGACCTGATTGAGAAGAAGGCCTACTACTTCGAGGGCCCCCGCGGCACCGTCGTCAGGACCACCGACGTCCTCCCCGGCGGCTACCACGACCTCGTCGAGGAGAAGCGCCAGGAGCTCATCGAGAAGCTCGCCGACGTCGACGACGAGATGGCCGAGCTGTTCCTCGACGAGCAGGTCCCGACCAACGCCCAGATTAAGGCCGCCATCCGCCGCTCCACCATCGCCCTCAAGTTCTCCCCCGTCATGATGGGCTCCGCCCTCGCCGACAAGGGCATTCAGCCCGTGCTCGACGCCGTCTGCGACTACCTCCCGAACCCGGGTGAGGTCGAGAACAAGGCGCTCGACAAGAAGCGCGACGAGGCCACCGTCAAGCTGGTACCCTACAACTCGCTCCCCTTCGTCGGCCTCGCCTTCAAGCTCGAGGAGAACAACTACGGCCAGCTCACCTACATCCGCGTCTACCAGGGCAAGCTCCGCAAGGGCACCTACCTCTTCAACTCCCGCACCGACAAGAAGGTCCGCATCCCCCGCATCGTGCGCATGCACTCCAACGAGATGGAGGACGTCAGCGAGGTCGGCGCCGGCGAGATCTGCGCCGTCTTCGGCGTCGACTGCGCCTCGGGCGACACCTTCACCGACGGCAACCTGCCCTACACCATGTCCTCCATGTTCGTCCCCGACGCCGTCATGTCGCTGTCCATCAAGCCCAAGCGCACCAGCGACGCCGACAACTTCTCCAAGGCCATGAACCGCTTCCAGCGCGAGGACCCGACCTTCCGCCTGCACGTCGACGAGGAGTCGGAGGAGACCATCATCTCGGGCATGGGCGAGCTCCACCTCGAGATCTACGTCGAGCGCCTCCGCCGCGAGTACAAGGTCGACTGCGAGACCGGCAAGCCCCGCGTCGCCTACCGCGAGACCATCTCCCACAAGACCCCGTACGACTTCCTCCTCAAGCGCCAGAGCGGCGGCCCCGGCGACTACGCCCGCGTCGCCGGCTGGATCGAGCCCTACGAGGACCCGGAGAAGAACATCTTCGAGACCCAGGTCGTCGGCGGCACCATCCCCGACAAGTACATCACCGCCTGCGCCAAGGGCTTCGAAGAGGCCACCAACAAGGGCCCGCTCCTCGGCCACAAGGTCATCGGCGCCAAGATGGTCATCAACGACGGCTCCACCCACGTCACCGACTCGTCCGACTTCGCCTTCAACCTGGCCACCCAGATGGCCTTCCGCAAGGCCTTCAACGAGGCCGGCGGCCAGGTCCTCGAGCCCCTCATGAAGACCACCATCACGGCCCCCAACGAGTTCCAGGGCAACATCATCATGCTCATGAACAAGCGCAACGCCACCATCCACGACACCGAGGTCGGCATCGAGGACTTCACCCTCATCTGCGACTGCAGTCTCAACGCCATGTTCGGCTTCAGCTCCCAGCTCCGCGCCGCCACCCAGGGCAAGGGCGAGTTCAACATGGAGTTCAGCCACTACGCCCCGGCCCCCCCTCACCTCCAGTACGTCTTCCCCCTCCTCCTCCTCTCGTCCCTCCCCTTTTCGCCATGTGTTTCCTTGTTCTCTTTGCTGACAACCCCTACAGAAAGGAGCTCTGCGCCGCCTACGAGAAGGAGCTGGATGCCAAGCGCACCAAATAAGCCACGAAACGCCAGTCTCCATTGTAGAGGGGAAGAAGAAAGAAAGAAAAAAAAAGGTCTTCTCTTCGTACGCCAAAAACCGTGGCACAAACTATGGCACCGAGTGTCGTGTATCAACACCGAACCCGCCCCGTCCGAGGCGAGACGGGCCGTGGTCGTACGCCGCCTGTTTGGGCAGGCGTACTATTGTACATGTATATCTAATGTCATGTCTGGATTTGCTTTATAGTAGTCTGGACGTGGGAAGAAACATCGCCTTCCGGCCACCTTGTACGAGAACGGGTCAAGGGTTTATAGGGAAGCATGCGATTCATGATAGAAAAATAGACTTTCGAACAAGAATACAAACCTCGTCTTCTCTCTCCATCTTTTCTTCTTCTTTTTTTGCACTCTGCGTTCCCTCGGGTCGTTGTCTATGCTAGTCCAGCGTGTTCAGATGTGACTGGCATACGGACCCTGCCAGCGCTTCGGTTCAGCTTCCGTTCGGACTTGCTTTCCATTGCCCCCCCCCTTTTTCCCCCCTCACGCGACCCAACGGATCAGTTTTCTTGACGGCTGCGTAGAGCGCCTTCTCGGAACTCTTGGCCGCGGCCGAGCTGGATCTCTCGGCGGTATGCCAGTAATACGGCGAATCCGGGCACGCGGGAACAGTCAAAAGCGCGTCTGTCGTCCCCCACCCAACCCTATTTGTCAGTGCCGTCTTCCCATCGACTACAGTCTCTGCCCCCTCCCGTCTGTCTGCACTTACAGGCCACGCCGGGAAGCCATCCTGACAGAGTCAGCGCCACCGTAAGCCAAACCCTCGCATTCAGTTCGCGGTCTACGCGGTAGACAGCCACGGGCGGGCAAACGATGGCGACGAAGATGCCCTTAGGACAGCGTCGCGGGATGGGGCGTCCCGGTTGTCGGGGTAGGCTGATTTCGAAGCGGACCGGGCTGTCGGACCCGGAGGCGGTGGATTTCCCCGAGGAAGGGGGCCCGCTACGGAGGTTGGCGCGGAGGAGGCGGGTTAGGCTGGATTGGGTGTCGGACCAAAGGGTGCGGAGACTTAGGGACTTGCTTGCATTGCTTGGTGATGAGGGTGTTTCTGTAGAGGAGGGCGACTTGCTCACTGTAGCAGGGGGCATTGGGTGAGGGATTGCACTAGGATATGATAGACTGGATAGTAGGTCTCGATGAAAAGGGCGCACAGCCGGCGATGCTATGAAATGGGGGAGGGGGTCGTCTGTTTGGACTCTCTCAGGCGCCGTCGAACATCCAAGGCATGTACCTATCATCCTTGTGCAGGAAGGTGCTGTTTCTCACCATGATTGAGCATGGCAAAAGGCAAGTACAGGTAGGTGAGAAACATGTGCTTTTCATAGTACTCCGTACCTACGGTAGGTATTCCACAGCATGTATCAGCACTGGTGCTCTGCGCCATTGGGTCAAGTCACGATTATACTGGAATACGCAGCACAGTCAGAGACGTGCTCATGGTAGACAAGATTCGTTCTCGCGTCGTCGAACCGTAGTTCTTTAGTTTTGGGGAGGGGGGGGGGAGGAAGGCCTTCGCTCTCGACGCGCGTGGTCAGCCCTGAAATGACTTGGAGCCACGTCGCCGTGTCTCCCCTTGAGTGGCTGGCAGCATTGACCGGGTGGGCGAGCCACAATTCTTCACACCAGTGGGTGACGGGGTTATTATAGTATGGACCCTGAGAGGGAAATAAATTATGGACAAGGCTCCGAGGAACTGACTGCTGCCGGTTCGCCGCCCAAGAAGAGCCCGACGAGGGTGATTGGTCTCCCCACATTCTACGTAAAGCAAGTATAGATGGTAGGTAAGTAGTTAGTATTATTCATGATAGGTTGTATCCGTAGATATAAGAAAGAAAGGGAAAGGGAAAAAAAAACGGGTTTGAGGGTCCTTTTCCCCTGCAGGCTGGTCCTTGGGGAAGAGCTTCCAGAAAGACGGGAGCTTCCTCGGCCCCCTCGGCCCCCATTGGCTGTTTGATAGTGGTGAAGTGGAAGAGGAGAAGGGGAAGGGATGGGGGGGCGTCGTGTTCCGGATACACGTCCAGACCATTTTGAAGCTTGAGAAATTGGCGAGGTGGGGGCAGGACTTCCAGTTGCTAGAGCAGCAGAAAGTTTCGTAAGCAGCCATAAGACAGTCTCACCCAAGTAAACAAAACAATGCTGTTAAAATAATCATAGTAAAAATTTAATGCCGCGCTCTCTCTTCTTTGATCCGAATAATGCATTGTGTTTCTGGATAAGGCCCTGAACTAGCTCTTTAGCCCAAGCGGCCGGCCATTGTAAGCGGCAAAAGGCGGTAAGGTACGGAGTAAGCCAGGCCGGATGGAGGTACCTCCTTACACTATGATGCACAAATACGGATAAGTACTTGCAGAGGTGCTCTGAAACATGAGACCGTGCATAAGGTAGATACCTAGGTGGATAGGCAGGTAGGTACTCCGTACTCGGTAGGTATCTGACTTATGTGGGCAGCTTCCACTTTTTTCTTCTTCTTTCGGTAGCTGCTAGCGTTTGCTACGATCGTGGGGGGGGAAGAAAGAAAAGGAAAAAAAAAACTTATTCATGTGGATTTGATGACCGTTGCAAAGGACAAAGGAAAGAGGACATGACAAAACCACATCAGCCACGGCGCAACGGGGCAATAGGCAACGGTCAAAAGGTCCGGATCGTCCGTCGTCGCGCCTCGGTCGGCTAGCACGTTCCGACGTCTTCTCGCTGGCTATCTTTCCCGTGTCTCCTCAACCCGGTCATGCCCCGAGCACTCACTGGCAGAGCTGCTAAGCTGATGAGGTATGTACGGAGTACTACTATCTAAGGTCATTACGAGCGGGCGTTGTCTTTTTCTCCCCTTGGCTTTGGGGGTTTGGGAGTTTTGGGGGCTTGGGGACCAGTCATTAATTAGCCCCGGCCTTGTCTCTAGATTGACAAGGCAGAGAGACAGAGAGAGAGAGAAGCCGGGAAAAGGGGTAATGAGACGCCCGGGGCCTATCACCACCCACCCAAAATCGACGAGCACAGAGTCACTCGCCCAGACTGCACCAGTTCACGTCACGTCGCGTCATGTCACGTCACGTCCAAGCCTGTCGAGACTTTGGAGAAAGTCGAGACAATAGAGGGCAACAAAGGCCAACCCCCGGTCCGTCAATGAATGAGCTTCTTGCAGAATCATGTGAGGAAATCAAACGACAACCCTTGGCCAATCAATGCAACTTCCACTTGGGAGCCCCTGTCGGCGATTTCGACAAGCGAGACGAAGGGATGGGGCGGGAATGTCCCGTAGCATCTGGCTGAAGAGGCGCACCTCTATTAGTGTCACTTACACAAGCTTTGCTACACTAGGTCGGTAGCTAGATAGTAGTAGTAGGTAGGTAGGTGAGTGGAATGTGTACGCTAGATGCATACAGGTACGGGTACGGATATAACCATCTCCCACCTCCCCCTCGCCCCCACTTTGGTGGGTACCCAGCATACGGCACCACGCGGAGAGAGGTACTTGTACATACGTTGGGACGCGACTGGAGGAGCTGTCACACGCTCGGTACGAAGTACGGTACCCTGTACACTTTCGCAGCATTGAGCTGGCGGCGGGACGGTTTGCTAGCTAGCGTGATTACATAGTTTACATAAAGTAAACTGTCCAACACCAAGTAAATCTACCTAGTGTAGGTAGGCACTACGCCGTGGCAGCACGAGCATGTGCATCCATCCATGGGAACCCCTGAATTGCTAGCACACACCCACCCACCCCTCATCGACGGTCCAAGGTTCACATCACCACCACCAGTCGAACTGAACAAGACGCCGCCGCCCTATGAAGAGGGGGAAGGGGAAGGAGGCGAAAGGCGAGGGGAGGGGAAGGGGAAGGGGAAGGGGAAAGGGAAAAGACGGGATCGAGCCTCGGAGCGGGCAAATAGAGTGGCCTCTCGTGCGCGTGGCGTGCAGCTAGGTATTCCCTCATCCTTCTCCTCCTGATCGATCCAGTCCCTCGAATTGTGAATATGATTATGGGGGTGCCCGTAATTTAAATGCCAGCCCTGAAGCGCAGCAACCTCACTTCCCCTTCCCGAACCACCTACCGCCCTGTGCCCCGATGGCCGCCTACCTTTTGACTCTTGTCCCCCTCCACCTCTTGCTCTGCTAAAGTCCGAGGATACGTCTGGGTTTCCAATCGCCTTGTCTCGACCGTCTGTTACTTTGCAACTTCTTCCCCTTTGCATCTGCTGGCCCAACCCACAAACAAAACCACCGACGATCGCGACCACCGGGGCCTGGGAAACGAACGAGACTTTGGCTGAGACACCCAAACAATAACACGTACCCATTCAGACACACTCTCTTTCTTTCCCTCCCTATCTCTCTCTCTCTCTCTCTTTCTCTCTTGCTCATCCGACATATCTTGCCCATTTTACACGGAAAGGCCTGTGCTGCAGCTGCAACCTCTCATTTGCTCTGCTCTGCTCTACTTTGCTCAGTTCAAACCTCGCTGCCATCGATCATGCATCCCCAGCTGTCATAGCAACTCGCTATTCCTCCCATCCAAGCCTCGCTCGCCTAAACGCTAATCCACCATCACCACCACCACCATCACCACTACCGACTGTCCAAGGCTCCTTGTCTTGCTCAAGTGACACCGCTGGCGATATTCTTGCCCGCTTGCCCTGAAAACCCTCCGTCCAAGCAAGCGTCTGGTTCGCGACTCCGTGTTTGCCCTCCGACCCGGCCCGGAAGACGTAGCTGCAGACCCGGCATGCGCTTTCCTTTCGGAAACACGCCAATTCCGAATCCAGTGTCGTAGCCGACCCATCGCACCCTCTGCGCGCACGCGTTTCGCCCTTTCTTTCCTCAACATCCGTGTAGTTCCAAATCAGTTCGCTCCGTCGCAACTCCCAATCTTCCTTGCTGCATTGCATCCCCTGCCGCTCTTTCTCCCGCCATTCCCTCCTGCAACCAGTCGCTATCGAGCGACCTCAACACCGCAGCCATGTCGGCCGTCAAGAACCTCCGTGCCATGTTCGAGCAGAAGGCTGACACGAGCCCCCCGGATCGTGGAAGGTCTCCTGGCCTCTCCAGTAAGTTCTCCAACCTGCCTGGTTCACAGGTGCAGCTACATTTCATGACGTCGACTCGGAAACGTTCCCCCGCCGCAAAGTTGCTGCCTTGTCCATCCATTCTATAAACGCTACGTGTCCGCCGTCTCGAGCTCGACTAACTCGCATTCTCCCTGCAGGTGGCACCGAGACCCCTCCCCCCGCCCGTCCCCTCTCCAAGATCCGAACCAGCTTCGTTGCCATCGAGAAGGACGGAAGAATGGGTCTTCGCCGAGACCCCAGCAACGATTCGAACGGTAGCTTGTCCCAGCGGCGGCTAAGCGGTCACACCGAGGGCGAGGCGTCAGTGTCGGGCTTGTCGGATAAGACCATAGCCACCGAGGACACCTCTGTCGGCTACAAGACCAACATTGTTGGCAGCCCCATTCCCGAATCCCCTCGCCGTCCCGACACAGACAAACCCACAAACGGGGCTTCACCTCAAAACTTCGGGGCCCTGACTGATCACCCGAGCCACAACCCCGACAAGCACGTCGATATGGAGACCCCTACGCCAGAGCTTCTGCCTGGCGACCCGACACAAATCCCTCCCCAAACCACCGCCGCCAATGGCGCGGCCCCGGCAAAGGCCCCCAAGACTGGAACCCCCAAGACTGAACCCCCCAAGGGCTCTACAAAGCCTCCCAAGAAGATCCCTGCCCAATTGGCACCCCCCGCTACTATCACGAGAGCAAAGACACCTACAAGGTCTCCGATCACTGCAAAGACGCCCACCACAGGTGCTGCAGCCTCCAAGCTGAGTGCTCCTAAGCCTCAGCACGAAAGCTCCAAGAAGACATCTGAAAAGACGGCCACTAGCACGGCAACGGCCGCAGCCACAGTTACACCAAAGTCTGGTGCAAAGCCCGCTGGATCCAACAAGAAACCTACCCCTATTCACGTTTCTCCCGGCAGCGGCACAGGCTTTGTCAAACCCAAGGTCAAGTCACCCACAAAGCCCGTTAAGCTGCCTGCTTCCCTGATGGCCCCAACGGCTGCGTCTGTCTCCAAGGTCAGGGAGACTCCCCGTGAGACCCTTTCACGCGCTTCTGGCAACCAGGGCCGCCCCGCTAGCAGAACCAGCACGGCTGGTGCTGGGGCCCCGCCCAAGACCTTGAGGCGCCAGAACTCGGTCATCAACCGCCCCAGACCCAGCATTGGCCCGCCCCCGAAGAAGCCCCTTCAGGACCACCCCATCACCAAGAAGGAAAAGGAGATCGATGAGAGCTTCTTGGCACGCATGATGCGCCCCACAGCAAGCTCCAGCTCCAAGCTGACGGAGAAGGCCCCCGTCACTCCTCCCAGGAGCCGGAGCGCAAGACCCAGCAGTAGCAAGAAGTCCTCAACTTCAAGGAGCCCCAAGAGAGCCCTTTCCAGACCCTCGGCATCTCGTGCGGGAAGCCCCTTCACGAAGAGGGAGGCTCCGATCAAGCAAGTTGCGCCCGAAACCGCCAAGGTTGAGACGGCGGAGGCGGCTGCTAACCTCGCCGAGCAAGCCGAGGCCCCTAGAACCCCCGAGGCTAAGGCTCCCGCCACGCCGGAACCCATCGTCGAAGAAGAGGAGGCTGAGGCCGCAGCACCCGAGGCTGAGGCTATCGTCGAACACCACGTCGAGGAGCTGGATTCTGACGCCCTCGCCCAGCAGACTGCCGAGCTCTCGCTCCAAGAAGGCGAAGCCGAGGAACACAATCTAAAGACACCTGACGAGTTCGAAGAGCTGCTGGCGGACGAAAAGGAGGACAAGGAGGAGGCGGTTCCCTCCCCCGGTGACACGACCACTGAGGTCAAGACCGAGACCGCATGAGGAAGTCAAAGAGTGGCGGTGGCGATTGTATAGTTTTAGAACAATTGGGGTGTACCATGATACCTGTCCGACAAAAGGCGTAAATTATTTCGTTCTAGAGAGTTTTTAGGGTTCCGGAGTGCGGAAAAGCCGGGTCCACAAGGCCCAAGATTAGTTAGTTATTGAGAATGATTACCAGTTGTAACAGGAATCACCAACGGCCAGACCACTGTAGCAAAGGTGGGGAAATCGTCTGCTGGCGTCTGTGACTTTCGCCCTGTAATAGTAGTGATTTCGATCGCCGCCGTGTACATCCCGTCATCGGTTGCCGGGGTGGGATGGGGACCAACACGACAACGCCACGAGCACCAGGCAATGAAGAAGCTCATAATGGTGTGTGTTCATGTCTTCTCTAGAATACAAATTTTGTACATATATGAAGGACGATAATCCTACAGGGCTCCCGCTGGATGGCTTCGAGGCACTGCCCTATGGTGCCTTTCTTTTTCTTTTTTGATTCCCAAATACTCCTTTTCGAGCCCCTTTCCCCTCCAACATCCCCTGCGTGGCCACGATAATCGTTGTCGACTCAAATGATTCCGTTTCCCCAAGTCGATGGGGGCGAGGGAGGAAGGAAGGGAGGAGGTTCTTCGTCATCTTCTTTTTTTTTTTTTCCTCTCCCCTCTTATATAATTTATCTCGCACGGCACAAGACAATACCGCCGACTTTCCTGGCCAGGGCCTCCCTCGCCTCCAAGACGCCCCTGTCGGTGGAGACGAAGAGGCACTCGCCGAGGGCGAGGCCCTTGACGAGACCGTTCTTGCTGTTGAAGCCGCGGACGACGAGCTCGAGGTCCTCGATGTGGACGCGGATGGGTCGCGTGGGCTTGGTGACCATGCTGAGGCCCTTGAGAACGGGCTCGTTGTTCCAGTACTTGAGGCCGAGCCAGAGGCGGCGCGTGGCGACGTTGGCGGTGGTGACGGGCGCCGGGTTCTTGCTCATATCTTCCGGGGAGGGGGGCGTGGGGCCGCCGCGGTACAGGGAGGAGAGGAAGCCGGAGCGGTGGAGGGCGAGGGCGAGGTTGAGGTTCTGCTTGGTGTTCATGACCGAGGTCATGCCGAGGCGGGCGCGGGAGGCGTTTTGGAGGTGGGAGCACATGTTGATGACGTTTGTGAGGCCGCCCATTGTGGTTTCGGGCTGAGCCGGCGGCTCAGGGAACGCTGTTCGGTGATTTGGGGGGAGGTTCGGGTGTCGTGGAATAGGGGAGAGAAGGGAGGTTTGTGAGGCTGCGCAGCGAGAATGGAGGTCGGTCGCAGGTCTCTTGAGGACAGTTAGCGTGTGAATTTCCCGAGCAATTGGCGGGCTGTAGCTACCGAAAGGGACGTCAGTCGGAAATCAATATGATTAATTCTCCGTCAGAGGTCGGAAAGGAGTATGCTGCGCGTCGACTGGACTGGAGAGCTCCGGGGGGTTGCACGCGAGGGATGATCCGTCACCTAACAATCGCGATAGGGAAGCTATCGCCAAATTTTTGGGACACACCAACGTTGAACGATGACTAAGGCACACTTCAAGCCGGGTCCGTGCATCCACGGCCCCCTTTGGGCGGCCCCACTCGCCCGGCCAAGGCGTGACCAACTGGAGGTGCAAAATCCCACTCCACTGTCTTGTCACTGGCGGCTCCTCTGGCCCCCGGCCGGAACCCGTGATTGGCTCGCGTCGACGTCCTGTAAGCGCCGGGTCGACCACTCGATGCGGCCAGAAACCTGCAGCTTACCACCACCCCATGCAACCTCGCAGCACGCATGCACGACCGGCACGCACGCTGGAGCTTGAGGAATGGCGGGACGGGATTGGGCTGGACATGGAGGGGTTCTCCGCGGGCGGCGCGAGGCCGCTGGACCCAGTGGTCTTTTGGGCTTTCTCTCTCCTCTGGCATTGCGGTCTGAGTTACCGAGTGGTTCCAAAGATAAAGGGCAAGAAGGGAGGGCAGCGTAAGCGAGAGAGAGACAGAAAGTCTCTCTCTGTACGTGTGAGAGGGGAGAAAGAGAGAAGGAGAGAAATAGATCTCGGAAAGCTCTTGGGACTCCTTTTCTTTCCTCTTCCCGAGAGACCTGATATTCAGACCTACTTAGAAACCACCAACCCACACAACCGTCACCGAAACATCACTTTGTCCGGAACTCTTGTCCTTCCTCATCTCAACGGGTGCCACACTCTCCAGTCGCCTTTCTCGCACGACGACTGCTGCGCAATTTGCCTGCTGCCGCCCTTGGCTACTGACCGAGGCGGGGTAATCCCACAGCTTGCGCCTCTCCTGCGCCTCCGAGATCTGATCATTGCTGCTCCCTGGCCGCGGTCGCCCGGGGGTCGGTGGCCTGCTGCCCTTGAGGAAAGGCTATTCTTGGTGTTGTTTTACTCTCGGCGATTCGGGGCCCAAGATGGCGACCCAGCCGGGCGAGGAGAATGTTGCTACTCTGTGAGTTTTTATTCAAGCCCCGTCCGTTCTCGCCTAACAAGCCGCCTTAATTTGTGCTCTTCGTCAACGACCAACTACCGGCTGCTCGAGATCAAACGGGCTTTCGGTCCCGGACGGAACAAGTGTAGGAAAGATGGCTGACTGGTCCGTCGCGCTTAACAGCTTCGGAGACGTTCACTATTTCTACGGCCCGCCGACCAGCAATCCGCCGCACCACCGCTTCGACAAGGGCTCCTACATCTACCTGTTCGAGAACGCAAACGACCGCCGCGCGCGCATTGAGATTGCAAACAAACCCGGCACCGAGGACCAAGATGCCTTTGACGGATGTTGGTGATCCCCCTGTCCCTCAACCTTTCTCTGAAGCCTCTCCCCCTCAGGGGTACAGCTTGACGACGATGCGGGGCAACGGCTGACAATGAGCTGGCAGTCTTGGACAAGACGCATGTCCGGTACTCGTACAACCACCAGTGCATGGTGACTCTCACAGTCGGCGAGACGACGAGCCAGATGGAATGGCACCTCCCGACTTACGACCCCCAGAACCAGAACAAGTACCACTACAAACTCCACTCGCTCGACATCTACTTCTGGAAGGCCGAGGACGCGCTGCAGTTCGTCAACGGGATCCGATTCGTCCTCCCGCCGTCGCAGGTCGAGATCCTCGACGAGCCTCAGCACCAGCAACAGCATCATCATCTCCAGGCCCGCCAACCTGCTGCCCCCATGAGCTCCGTCGTGCAGCAGCTCGAGCACGTCGCCATATCAGACCCCACCTACGGGACGCCCGGCGCCGCCTCCCATACCGGGCCGCCGAGCATTCCGGGTCCTCCTCCGACGTCGGCTGTCCCGGCTCCCGAGCAGCAACAGCAGCAGCCCGCAAGCTTTGTGCCAATGGCATACAACCCCGCCGCCCCTGCCGCTCCAGAGGCCATCCGCCACAGGGAAAAGACACCGCCCCCGGACGACGGCGTCATCGATCCACTGGCCGCGGCCGTCGCTTACGACGCACAGGCCCCGTTCTCGCCGGGCTTCGTCCCGCCTCCCGGCTTCCAGAGCGCGCAGGGCGTCGGCATCGCCGGCGCGGGCCTGCCTCCCCCGCCTCCACCACCGCAGCAGCAGCAGCAGCAGCAGCAGCAGCATTTTGGCGCACCACCCACCCAGCCGGTGCTCCAGCGCGCGGCGACGATGCCCGCGCACGCCGTCCACAACGGCCTCGCTTCCCCGGGGCTGACGAGCCCCTACGGAAGTCCGTTCCCCGCGTCACCGGGCTTCCAACCACCGCCGCCACCGCCGCCTGCCCAACAACAACAACAGCAGCAGCAGCAGACCACCCCACCGGTACAGCAAACGTTCCAACCCACACCTCCGCCGTCTTCGTCGTCACAAGCCACGCCTTCCATCGCGAGCCCCGGCCCGACTGCGGCGCCTGCTGCTCCTGCAGCGGCTGCGACGCCATCCGTCGCCCCGCCGGGCGGCTTCTTGCAGTACTCGTACGCCGGCAGCAACGGCACGGCAACGCCTCAGCAACAGCCGCGCGCTTTTGACTACTCGATCCACGCGCAGGCGTACCGACCGACGGAGGCGGAGGCCAGCGGGTACAAGGGCTACATGGGCAAGCAGGACCCGTCAGGGAAGCTGGAGCAGAACATGGGCCGGTTGGAAAAGGGCGTCACGGGGATGTTGAGGAAGTTTGAGAAGAAGTTTGGTTGATTCGGGGCTTGTTGCTCAGTGAGCGAGGTGGAGGAGGGGTAATGGAAAGTTTGCCTGTGGAGTATGTAATATGCATGGTAGGAGCAGCTGTGCCTTGCTAGGCAGGGCCTGTATGCAAGAAATATGTTGGAATCTGGCCAGTCGCCGCTGGATGAATGTGTCTCGGAGGGGTTTCGTATCGATACATTGTCTCTCACACTCCGAGAGAAGAAGCTATATGGGGATCTGAAATGTACCAACTCTCTGTTCTTTGAAAATCCTCCGACTATACAGGACTGGTTCGGGCCTATGGCCTCGTATCGTGTGTGTGTGCGCGCGCGTGTGTGTGTGCTTAGAGCTTCTGCCGGCGACGACTTTTACTTCGGCCTGCTAGCCAATTCACCAGCGAACAGCCACCTCCGTTATACGACTTCAACGGTCAATAAGCACGTACGTGACTTGCAACAGGTTTTCAGACAAGAAAACCTCCCCTACCTCCCCCCCACATCCAACCAGACCAGGTGAACTTGCCCACGGGCACGCCGCTGTCAAAACTCAACTCGAGACGTTCATCATCCGCACGTACACGTACCAGGCCTCTATGGTCTGCGCCGCCTCGTCCATAACGTCCGCAAAGTACGCAGGGTCGCCCAGGCTCCCCATATACTCTGGGTCTTTATCGCACACTAGCGTCTGCTTATGAACCAAGATCCTCTGCCAGGGCCCCTGGGTCAGCCTGATATTTGGCCAGAAGCTCTAGGCCAAAGATCGCCACGAGGCATGAAAGCCAGTTCTGATAAAGTCTCGATGTGCCGTACGAGGAACATAATGATCACATGGCTGGGAGAGACCCCACGGGTTCCAGATTGTCGCCCTTCAAGTCATGATGAACAAGGTCAAGATGTTGGATGTTCTTGTGCCCGGAAGGATGATGATCTACTATTTGTATTGTTGTGTCAGCAGTGTTGGTTCAAATTAACGAACACACATTGCGATAATGTTCGTCTATCCAACTCGACTGAACATTCGGGACATGGCCTGTCGTTTGTAACGAGGAAATACAGACATGGAGCTAGCCGAGCGCTGTAGCTAGTTCATCATCGGGTGCTCGTTGCGGTTTGACTACGTGAAATCACATGCCACCCTTGCCCCAAGTGTCTATGGTAAAGCGACTCCAATAGAAAGGCATTTACGCGTGACCACTCTCGCGCGTCTTTCGCCGCTTAGATTCAGCTAGACGGTCCATCAGTTCTCCTCACGAATCGCGGTCCGCTCTCGTCCATCTGGAGCTGGAGCCGTAGCTCCTTCGCCGCATCCTTCAACTCCGCGTCTCCCATTATCTGCCAGTCCTTCAGATGCTCGCGGCTGTCCGGGTCCAGCCGCAGGAGCAGCGTGGCAAGCGGACTGGTACGCCACGCCTTGATGTTCGCCCGGCGGGTCTTGATCACGACGCCGATAAACAACACCAGCCCGAGTGCCCAGACGGCGATGGGCGCAGAGACGTACTGCCATTGAGCCTTGCAGATCTGCTGGGGTGCCCTCGTCGTGCCATTGAGGCGATTCGGGGAATCGATCATCTGCCATGTCTGGAGCCTGAAGGCGTTGGTGAGTCCTGCGGCCGCCTTGTTCATACCGCATACAACCCCGGTCTGCTTGGCAGTTGTTCCGTTGCCATCGCAGTATGGGGATGTCCAAGTTCCGTTGACCGTATGGGAGTAGATAGTGCGAGCTGCCCCCCCCCCCCCCCCCCCCCCCCGAGGGAAGGTAGGATTCCGGATCTGTGTCAGTAGGGTTGGTATAAACGTATCCACTGAGCTCTTCCGCAAGGTATTTCTTCAAAGCGTCGTATGCAGCTGGTTCCATGTAGGGCGTCGAGCCATACGAATCCTTTTGCTGAGCTGGTATGTTTTTGTTGACGCCGGGGTCGTCAAAAGTGATATAAACATAGCCTCCCGAAGGATCCTTGTAGTAGTTGTCCCACTGCTGAGTGATGTTAAGAGAGGGTATGACTCCATTGTCGGAGCGCAATGAGTTGCCGCTGGTCTCGGCTTCCTGGGGGTTAATCTTGAGGTTCTGTTGCTGGACGCAAGGGATAATCGCGCATTCGTGAGCAGAAAGCGGCGAGTCCTTTGTGATCATGAAGGGCTTCGATAGCGTGGAGCCCTCAGAGGGATACTCCGCGATGGATTGAACCAAGGCCAATGGTGACGAGTAGTTGGAAGCAAGGGGGGACATCGTGGTGTTCATCAACATGACAACTCTATGGGGATAGTCCGCGCCAGTGCTGTTGAGAGAAAGGCCGTTAGGCAATGCTACATTGCACCCTCCCGTTTCAGTGAAGTCGTCTTGGTTCGTGACCACCGGGGTACAGGTGCGTGTAAGAAGATGACTGATATCTGTGCAGCGGCTGCAGGCTGCGATGGTGTAATAAGGGTCCCAGTAACAGTCGCCTGTTTTGCACTTGAGCGCAGGAACAGCCCAATCGACGGATGCGTCTTGCAATGCCTCACCAACCGCATACTGAAGTGGTGTTTCGATCACTTCAACCGACCCTCCTTCAACCCCGTAAGTCAGTACATTGCATGGGAGACCAAGTCGTGCAGAACTAACGTACCTGTGCCTGTATAGGCCCATGAATAGGAGAGGAGGGCGTCTTGGTTTACCTTATTATAGTCGACGCTGAATGTAAGGAGGTTCTGTACGAAAGGGCCATATGCTAGAGCTAGCAGTGACGCCAGTCCTCCCAATACTGCTAAATGCCTGTAAAAACGATTGTTAGGTATGACCGAACAAACAAGAGCGCTCATGTTGTGGTAAACTTACTTGAACCTGAGTTTCCAAATAAGCATGGCACTGCCGAACTTTCCACGAGAAGCAGAATCGAAAACCTCAAGGTCGGCTAGTTTGCGATCCTGCTCCATGAACCACAGGTACTTCAGTTGACCCAGGCTCTTCGTCACGGGGATCATGGCACATGTAGAGCCTAGAACCGAGAGCATGGAGAGCAGAGAATTGATCGTCAGTCTGAACTTTTCTTTTCTGTACGGGACCTTGGCTTCCCAGTCTGGGACTTGTTTCCCGTCAAAGTGGGAGACAACCATGCAGATAGCGACGATTGCGAGGCCTGAAATCAGGATGCCGAAGACCTCCCAGACGTAGTACCACTCCTCGAACAAAGAAGTGGCTCGCTCGAACAAGGACTTGTTCTCGTTCGACTCTTGCCCGAGGGTCGACGATGTCGGAGACGACTTATCGACAGGCCGTTCGGTGACAGGAACATCGGTCTTTTCAGAAGCCATGGTGAACAAACGACTTTGATAAGATTCAACTGTTAAAAACCGAGAAATGGGGAAAACAGCAAGTCAAGGCTGCACTAGACACACAGAACCATTCAATTGCAGAAGTCCTGTTTGTGACCCCAAATATATTTATGATTGTGCAACTAGGCAAGGTATTAGACTCAATAGAGTGACTAAACGGCTTAGCCGTGGCAAGCCTTTGTCGATGCGATTGTGCTCGGCCAGAGTAGATCGATGTAGGTGTGAAGGGCCTGGGCTTTGCTAGTTCACAAGGAACGAGCAGTTCAGCCGCATGTTAGACCGAACTCAATCCGGTGTCTCGGGTCGGGTAGGCCTCTGCAACGATTTGGCTTAAGCCACGAACGAGCTTCGGCGATGCTAGACCGACTAGAAGAATAATAGCTCGGTACCTAGTTTCGAGTTCTGCGAATATTAGCTGAGACGACGGGCGATGAGCCCTCAAGAGTGGAAAAGAGTGATGAGCCGGCTAGCTCGAGTAAGTCAGGGCCACGAGGCCGTCAATTGTTGGGCTTCCTACATCGACCTGTCCAGAGCCTTTTGCCTCTTTTAAATACTCTACAGTATTCGGTCGCACCGAGAGCTGACTATCTAGCGGCGAAGTCGGGCATTCCGATGTTTGAGGCCAGACCATCTTGTGAACGAGCAGGGAGCCCGTGTCTGTTGGCTATATGTTGACGTCCATGTTGTCTTCGGAGCGGCACTGCAACCCCAAGATCTGCGACATCTTCCCTAAGCTACTATGGCGAGCAACAATATGGTCATCGACATCGAGAAGGTCGCGGCACCTCAGCCGGCTGAGCCCTTCGTTAAGGTGACGTCCATCTCCGCCCCCTCGGCCAGGTCCTCCGTCGACATTGTTCAGCCGGGCATCAATCGTGCTAGCAAGTTCACCTTGGATGAAGACGAAATGATGGGGTTGGATGGAACTGCGGGCACTCGCGAGAGCCTGGGTTGTATGTACGAGCGTATCTGGAGCTTCAAAGCTCTCCTCCGCTAGGCTCGACACTTTATTCCGGTAGCCGCCCTCTTGGGCATCCCAGTCGGGCTGCTCGCAACCGTCTATGCGAACCGTCGTGCCGATGGAGTCAGGCTCCTTGGCCTCTTCGTCTGGCTCGAGGTTGTTTGGGGAAGCCTGTGGCTTTCGAAGTTGATCGCCATGCTCATGCCGACAGCATACGTCTTCGTCTGCGGCATCGTCAACTCGGGCACCCGAAAGTACCACCCCATCGTTCGAAAGATCGAGACCTCCATCTCACTCCTTCTCTGGACCATCATCGCCTACGCAACCACCGTGCCTGTCTGCATGGCATTCGACTCTAAAATAGCGCCACCCAAATGGTTGTTGATCTTGCAGAAGGTTGCGCTGGCTTCCATCGCCGTGGCGGCCATGCTCCTCATCCAGCGTTTCGTCATCCAGCTCATCAACATCACCTACTCGGCAACGCAGTTCACAACTCGCATTGCGGAATTGAAGCGCCGGATTGCCATGCTCGACACGCTCTACGGATCGTCGACGCGCATGTACCCGCCCTTCTGCGACCGGTTCGCGCAGGATGACTACACAATCATCACCGGCGAGATCCAGCCCAAGGAGAGCTCACCGAGCAAGCTCCTAGCCAACGTGCGCATGGCGGGTCGCGAGGTGGCGCAAGCTTTCGGGCAGATGACGGCCGACATATCGGGGAACAACTCGCTTTTCAATACGGACCGGGAGGAGGTGGCGTAACCCTAGGTGATGAGGCAAGGCCAACGTACCAGGTCGTGATGAGCGAGGAGACAGCTGCGGCTGCGAAGCGTAAGCTACAAGATGACAAGAACGCGCCAAAACCCCTGTCGGTGGTCTCGTCCGGCATAGATAATGGCCTAGGATCGTTCTTGGGGGTAGTACGACGGACATGATGACTACTGGGTATTGTCGTATAGGTTGATGCAGATCATGCCGAAGCTATTTCGCGCGAAGGAAAGAACTTATCCTTACCATAAATTCTATAGAAAGGAAGTCGGACTCTTCGTCATTGCGGTCCCAGATACGTGAGCAGCACATGTAGTTAATAGCGCTACTCACCATATCACTGTGTCTCGCGAGCTCTTCAGTCAATGACTGAGATATCAGAAGAACCGCCATGATCTACGTCTGCTTCACCTACGCTGATGCGCCAAGTTGATCGTCGCAGCCATAGGTCTGAATGCCAGTGCTCGACATGATAGGCTAGGTACCCATCAGAGAAAATGGCTTCGACTAGTCTACAGAGAGCATAGGCAAAACAAGATGGGTCGCCTTATCAGAGAAACAAGGCCGTCAATGCGGTTGGTTCGACGTTTCTACGTCACGCACGCATGCAATCAACAGCGTGGTGGGTGACCTAGAGAAGGATTGCACAACTTTTTGGGGGCTGTATTACCACCACCACCATCACCACCACGGGTTGGTAGGTTCTCTGGGCTCGGCATGCCATGGCGAAGGAGCGGGATACGAGATGGGCCATACTCCGCCAGCGAACTGCGGCTGGAGGGGAGCAAGTCTCCTCGCACTACCACTGTTTCTCCTCTCGCACGAGGAATTGGGCTTCGACTCGCTCTACCAGATCTGTCTTGAATCAAGCCACAGCCCATGGAGGTAGATGACTTCATTTATTACAACGTTAGATTAAACGGCGCGTCGAAGATGGTTCTTGTAAGCTACCCGACCCTTGGGTTGTTCGGCTTGAGACCCGTTGGCATAGTTGTGTGCCACCCCCAAACTCGATGCTTTCATGGAGGAGGCCGATACGAAAGCCACCGCAATGCCATCGTCGATATGATGGAATCAATACCATCATATCCGTCTTGGAGGGAACGGACAGCGAATGGCAGCGCACGAAGGGGCGCTTTGGTGCCACTTGATGGCTTACGAACAACGGGGGAAGGATCGAAACTGCTCTGTTTGCCATCAGCACTACCCGCGAGGGATGACGAATAGACGTCGAGAGCTAGGCGATTGGACAGTGGAGGACGGCATGCAGTCTGCAGGCATGTCTCAGACATGGGTGTTCATTGTCTAAGACACCTGCATCAAGCCGGCCTTTCGTTCCTGGATAGAGTCGTGCCCAGTCAAGTCTTAAAGCAATCATGCAGTAAAACCAGGATATGGGCATGGGAGGGACGGATCTCTAGAGAGCATTCAATTCAAGGCAGCATTTGCGAAGGCTGGAAATGTAGTCGAGCTGATGTGGTTGGGACGCCCCCCTCAGCCACATAGAAGATAGACGTGGCATGGTGCGAGACGAGGCGGTGCCCGAGACGGTGGGGCACGTTGGGCGTCTCGGCGGAGGCTGCGACAGGCTGCCTGCCTGGTTCCCCGATGGCTGGCGGTTAGCGGACCACGAGGCACAATGCAACGTCTCGCTGGCTGTGGCGGGGGGCTGAATGGTCGTCGATGGTGTTGATGCCGACACAGCACCGACAGTGGCTGGTGTGAGGTTGTTTTCAGTCACGAAATCACTTGGTCGTCGTTGTTGCCGGAGATAGCACCTGAAGCAAGATCGGAGACAATCGATGATAGGCGTCACATCATATGTAGATTAATATATGCTTGCTACCCGAGTGGGCCCGAGAAACGAGCGATCAAGATAAAAATGAGAAGCTCAAGCCGGATGGCGGCATGGCATCAGCACAGCGAGCTTGTGCTTGGGCAGACCCTTGCTGGCGCTCTAGGTATTTACTGGCGCATGTCAAGAAGGTGGTTTATAAGCGAGATGTGTGCCTCAATGGGGATAAGAAAAGTCGACAGCAAGAGTACCATACCGTAGTTCCCACCAAGGCGAATATATTATTTTCGGGTTGGTGGGAGAAGATGTTTCATCTGATGTAATGCGTGTCCAAGGACCGGGCTGCTGTTGAGCTCGTTCGCAACGCGATGGCGCCAACACGGGGGAGCAACGAGACAAGCGCCAGCACCGCTTAGAACCAACACAGCCTGCCTCAGGCCCCGATAGTCTGGCACCTACCTTACCTTAGCCTGGTCGGAGACTTTCGGTTGGGCTGACTGACGGTTGAAAGCCGATGAGTCGCTGGAGGGGGCTGAGAGGGAAGAGACATAGTGGCGATGGCTTACTCAATGCCCTAGCCGTCACTCGTCCTCGAGCGTGTGGTCCCGATGTGGCATTCTGGGGGCGGCGGCGGAGCTTTGCGTGGCGGACAGAGACGGGTGAAGCCCGGAGCGTCGTTGCGTTGATTGAAGAGGCAAGGTTCTGGGTTGGTCTGTTTGCCAAACGTCAACTTTTGACGGGTGGGAAGATGAACAGGGCCACCTACTCCCTCTCCCCTTGGATGGCGCGCCCAGGCCGTGTACGGTAGTTGCAGTCATCTTGCTGGCTTCTTAGTCGGATGACACGGCGTTGATGCTATAGGCAGCTGAAGACTGTTGGTAGAGGGTGGATGCGTACGCGCAAAGTTAAAGTCTGTCGTCCTGACGTTCCGCCCGTACCGCCGTCCCACGTTGGTTGACGTATGGCATTGAACCAAGCAAGTCGGACTGGTGTGTTGCCATGTGGTCTGGCAAGGATTGGATTTGTCTTGTCTGATATCGAAGATTGACAAATATGACTTGGGAGAGGAGGGGGGCAGTGCCTCAACACAGCACCATAGCCAGCAAAGAGAACAAGAACAAACATCACGGATACACAGTAATGGTACAGGCAGGTCGATAAGTATACGGAGTACCTCGGTGCACGAATATGGTGTTGCGAACGGCCGAGCTGCCTTAGGTAGGTACTTAGGTAGGTACTTAGGCAAGTAGCCTAATCGTACCTACCTATCCGTACCTTAGTAGGTAGGGACCCATGTACGTACACATATCTGTATACGAGCGGCGTGAGGTAGTGTAGTGGGCCCACTGGGGGAAGTATCTCTGCTGCTTTTATGCGACGCAAGGTACTTGAAGGACAGACAGCAGGGCAGGTGGGTACAGACAAGAAGGAAGCGCTAGGGGGTGGTCTAAAAACTGCAACCGCAACCCGCAAGGTGCAATTGCAATTGCAATAGCTGTACGTGTGTACCTACCTACCTACCTACCTAGGCAGCTACAGAAGTGCGCGGTGCGTGTCGTATTTCTTGTGTGCAGATGGAGGTGGGATGCAGGTGCGAAGCACGGCTTATGTTGGTCGGTGGTGGTGGTGGTGGTGCTGCCGCCGCGCTGAGGTATCCTCGTCGACTCCGTTTCTGTCCTCCTCCAGCTGTCCCCGTCCTCGTCTCATCTCGTCTCGTTTCGGCCTGTCCTTCATCCACTTCCAGGTACGCCCTCGACCAGCATTTTCTTTCTTCTTGTTCTCTTCCCCTTACTTACTCTGTGCACTGCCATGACCAATTTCACCAGGTAGTCACTTAGTTAATAGTCACCACCAACAGGCATCGAGCTGTCTGCGCCGTCAATCTATCTCTCCACTACCTAGGTAGAATCTATCCGGACTGTACCTTGGTACTCGAAACATCTTGGTCCGTCTTCCCTAGGTACACGGTATGGTCATACTAGGTATAGGTAGTCTTTACTAATACCCTCGTCTTGATCTGAACTGATCTGATCTGATTCAACACAGTTGCCTCTTTGGCACTGTTACGCATACCTTTCTTCTTCTTCTCTTCCTCGTCTTATTCCTTCACCTCTTCTCCGCAACTCCAGGCACCGACCGTCCTGCTGCTCCCGTGCTTCCCAGCCTCTCCCTCTCTCTCACACACACACGTCCAATCCACCCAAAGGACACGACCGAGTGCTCCGTTCCCGGTGGGGACAAAAGTACCCCGGTACCCGAGTACCCCAGCAACTACCTAGCTCTGCACCCGGACCTGGACTTGAACCACCACCATCAGCACCCTGCACCCACACATGCGCCTCACTCACCTGGTCCTTGTCCTCTCGTCCTTGCCTCACCTCACCTCATCTCACCTCTGACAGGCAGCCGACCAAATCGTCCTCTGCCCTCCTCCTCCCTCCCGAGCTTTCTCTCTCTCTACACACTTCTACATCACTTACACGACGGATTGACCCCGTCACGAGCCTCTTTTCCCCAGCTCGTCCAAAACCATCCTAGATATCTATAACCGCTGCCGCCGCCAAGTATCAATGTCCCAGTCCTGACGCTTATTTTCGCCTTGCGCAGCTGGGACGCCCCGCCTTACTTCGTACTACGATTCCCCGGTATCTCGTAACTACTCTATTCGCCCACTCGCCGGCCCCGGCCATCATCATAACCCAGTCGCTCATTACACAAAATGTATCTCAAGATGCGAATACCGTTCGACTTGCCGTCCGGTGTCCAGCCCCGCTCACCCACGACGACCCTGCAACGCCGAGAAGAAATCGACAGCAGGAAAGTCGCTACAATTGTACGTGTCAGAGCTTGTGACGGACTCCCGCTGCTCACCTCCCCCCCCCCCCCCCGACATCTCGGAACAGGCTGCTTACGCCAATTGTTGCTACAGGTCATCCTCGCCATACTGGTTCTCCTCATCTTCGCCGCCTTCGTGCTTTTCTCCTTCCGCGCATCTCGTCACTCAACCCGCGACACCGCGAAAACCCCCCGCCGTGGCTTCTTGAAGTCAATATGGGGCCCCAGTGGTGGGCAAAATAGATACCGCCAGGCCCAAGATGAAAACTCCACGTCGACCGAGCAGTTGGCGACCCGCCGTCGCTCTCACCCGTCTTCGGCCCCATTCGGCCCCTCCGCTGACCAAGCGCAAACCGACTCCCGCTCTTCCAACAGTGCCGTGAACCGCAACACCTCGATTCGTTCCATCATGACGCTGCCTGCCTACAGGCCCGATCCGAACGATAACGAGCAAGTCCTGGGCCGCGAGGGGGAACGCGGGGGCGTGGATGTTGTCATTGAGTACCCCACCGAGGAGAACGAGGAGGATCTGCGTGACCAAGAAATGGAGACCCTCTATAGGATTCGCCTAGCCCGCCGCCAAGAGCTTGCCGAACGAGAGGAACGGAGGCGAGAGCGTCGTGAAGCGCGGGAACGTGGCGATTTCGTGGCCCTCGACAACATTCGCGTCAGGGCGAGAAATGCCAGCAATAACAGCCTCGTCGCCGTTCTTCGTGAGGAGCACGAACGTCTCAAGGCCGAACGCCAGAGGGCCGTCTCCAGTGTATCGTATGCCGACCTTGGTGTCGCACGCCACGACGGAACCCGACTTCGAGCCAACAGCACCGAGAGTGAGAGGATGGGCTTGCTGTCAGACTCGGCCAGTATTGCGGCTACTTCGGTCAATTCCGGCGCCGACTCTGCGATGAATTACAGAAGAGGACGCAGTGCTAGCTCTGTAATGAGCATCGAAAGCGACCTTCCCTCGCCAGCGTTCGCCTCAAGGTCCCGAGCGAACTCGTGCCCAGATACTCCTCGCCTAGACACACAGGCAGGCTCCAGTCCGGAAATCATCGAGGCCGATGTGGGCGACGCCGGCATGCCCATTTATTCTCCACCCGGATACGATGAAGTCTCTCTGGACGATGAGCGTTCTCGAAGTACCACTTCCCTGCCAGGTCATGAGCCTCCGCCGAACTACCCTGGTCCTGCACAGCAGCGTACGCAGAGCATTGCTTCGAGTATGCCTGGCTTGGCCGCCGGCGAGCAAACAGAAAACAGACCAACGGACCAACGACGACATTCAAGCATACCTCGATTACCTAGCTTGCGTCTACCGGAAGTGCCCCAGATTGTAATCGAGCCTTCCAGTGCCAGGCCACACGACGATAGGTGAAAGCGGGGGGGTGAAACGAAAAAGCACGAGAACGGCACTCTACTGATGAATATGGCTGGACTTGATGGGCCTATTGTAGACACATGAATTCTCGGAGGCAATCTTGTTGATATATATAAGAAGGGAAGGCTGAGTCGGCAAAATCACATACACGTTGGGCAGGGCGAAACACCCAAGATCTCATTTGTAAACTAGCTTATCAGCAAACTGGATGTCGGCGTTGGGCTAATCTCGTTCCGGATTGAACGGGTTACAAAGGATACCAAAGCGTTGTTTATAGAGAAGTTGCCGCGCCATGCACACGGGTCAGGCAGGGCCTACGCCATCGGCTTAGCAACGGCTTGAATCCAATTTATCAAACATGTAAATTGACCCACCTCAGTGCAGCACTCAATTGCCTTTACTTGTTTGTAGTGATACGGTCACAGCCTGCGAAGTCTACGGTGCGTTGTCCCTCAAAACGATGGACATACTCGGCGCCCTCGGGGTGCCATACTTTTTGTATCAAGCGATTTACAGATATGTTCATGTTTACATCGCCAGCCGGGCCATTGGCTTTTTACAAAGTTTAGGCGAGGCTCTCGCCGGCTTGGAAGCGGTGTGAAGCACACGGACATGGCTCATAGCCAGAGTTGCAATTATGGTGTTAGTCTTTGCGTGGCCCACGTTGCTACGGAGAAAAATGACTGTCCAAGTAGGCCCCGAGTTTCTCCAGAGCCTCCCTGAGCACTTCGGTATGGCAGACGTAGCCGATCCTCACGTAGCCCGCGAAGTCCTTCCCGTGACCAAAGCACTTGGAGCCCGGAACGAAAAAGACCTTGGTCTTGTCGAGCACGTCTAGGCAGAAGCGCGCGTCATCGACCGGCTCTCCCTTGCGAGTGAACTGCACGAAAGCGGTCGTGCCGGCCTTGGGCTTCACCCACGAGCAAACGCCCTCGTACCTGTCGACGAAGGCCTCGAGCAGAGCCTTGTTCGTGTTGGCCAGTGCGACGTTGCGCCTCAGCAAAGGTCCCCAGACGGGCTCCGACAGCGCGTACGACGCGATCTGGTCGTCGATCTGCGAGACGCTGATGGTGGTGTAGTCCCGCGCCGAGGCGACGGCCTGGATGATGCCCTTGTCCCGCGAGGCGACCCAGCCGACGCGGATGCCGGCGAGGGCGTAGGATTTGGACATGGAGCCCGTGACGACGACCTTGTCGTAGCCAAAAGCAGTGATGGGGGGCGGGACGTTGGGTGCGGCGCCGTCAAACAAGTCATGGAAAAGGGGCCGATAGACTTCGTCCGAGAAGACTATGATGCCCCGGGCTTTGGCGAAAGCGATGATGGAACTGAGGACGTGCTTGGGGATCGGTGCGCCGGTGGGGTTGTTTGGGTTGTTGATGATGATCATCTGGCGGAGGGCCTGAGTTAGTGAGGCGGGACGAGGGTTGCATGTGAGGTGAGCTAACCTTTGTGTTGGGTTTGGCGAGGCCATCGAGTTCACCGACGTCCGGCACGAACCCGTTTTCCTTCTTCAGCTTCCACAGCGAGACATCCGCGCCGAGGCTCTGAGGAACGCCGTACAGCTGCTGGTAAGTGGGATATACGCAAATGACATGGTCGCCCGGGTTGATGAGAGTATACAGCAGCAAGAAGTTGGCACCGATGGCGCCCTGCGTGATGAGCACGTCGTCTTCCCCGAGCGCGCCGGGTGGCGTGAAGTCGTCCGGGCCGCCGCCTCTACAGAGCGCGGCGACCCTCCGGCGGAGCGGGACGGAGCCGCGGATGGGGCCGTAGACGAGCTTGGTGGAAAAGTCGACAGGGCCGGGCGCGCCCTTATCCTCCGAGAGTCCGATGAGCTCTTCAATAGAGACGGAGGCGGCGCAGGTCTCGGCGATGTTGAGGCAGCCGGGAGTAGTCTCGTACTCGTCCATCCACTGCTCCACCTCGAAAGCTGCTATCCGGACCATTGTGGCGGGGCGGTGTTGTTTTAGAGTATGCGAGGCGCAGCTAGTTGAGTTTGGTCAATGTCGGAGAAGTGGAATGAGAGCGTCGGTGGGAGACTTTGACGGACTGCGCTGAGTTGAATTGATACAATGCCAAGGCCATGTGGACTCGGAGGATTGACATCTCAAACAAGACAACTTGCCCATACATACACACACACACACACACACACATACAGCTAGTCGCTTCGACCGCTTATGTAGGGTCGAGGGTGTATCACGTATCAGCATGGAAGAAGAAGACAACGAGCACGGGCGGTATGCATTTCAGATACATCGGACTCGACAACCGCAGGGCGGCTTCCCGAGCCTAACGCATGTCAAAGACCCGTCGAAAGGGCGCGCGGAGGGCCGGGCCACCACTAGGAAGCCCACACGGAGGAGGTTCCCGGGGGGAGGGGGGGCACAGATGCACGGGATTGTTGGGTGAAAGGCTAAAGCAGCTAGTCCACCCATTTGGGAATCTGAAATAAGGTACCATTGATGCGGGAGCTTTGGCGGAACAAGATCAGACTCGCGTGGTGCTGTAACTGTAGAATGCAGGCACGTGCACTTGGACCGAACGAGGGCAGGTTGAGAACGGATTGGTGTATGTATGGATATCCGTATGCTGGTCGAGACAGTCCAGACATGGCGAACCTGGGCGCAGGTTTTATGTTTATGGCTAGAAGGAAGAGGGAGAGTGAGCGCAGGCTCTTTGAGCTTCCGTATTCGCCAGGTGTTTTTAACCGACGCCGCGCTAAGGACGAGGCATTATGGCTGCCAGTTAGTATTCAATATGCAATTGTTGTCGATCCAAACGAAGTGGGCGATCACGGGATCGCTGTGGTGAGAGAAGAGATGAGGCGGTGACGGAATTGATAGCTATGATCAAGTCAGTCAGTTCATCGATCCGACCTCGAGTGCAGTATGTTGGCTGGTGCTTCTCCACATTCCCCCGGCCCCCGGTTTCGCACCAGGATCTATCTGGTGTCAATGTCAGTGTCACTTGTTACAGGTCAGTGGGATCAGGAAGGAATTCTCGCAAGCTGTCTGCCTCCCCGCTTCCAAGGCAAAGGGGGATAGATATGGACCGTTTTGTTTGGTGTAGCGTAACCTTCCACTCAAGGTGCTGCTGGTGGTCGTCGTCTGTATCCGTGCCAAGTGTCGTGGATGGTCGTTCCGTGTCCCGTAGCGCAGACAGCAGACAGCAAGCAGACAGCAGGGGCCAGAGGGTGGGTCAGGGTTCGTCACTGACAAGATGAGGTCGGTCGGATGGAGTGCGTAATGGCCGATGGCTCTTAGTCATTATAGTGTTGAGCAGAGTCGTGCTTGACTTTGCGCTTAAATGTGCAAAATGCCTTGCGCCATGTCGATATTGCTGCCAACTGAGCCGCTGAGCAAAGTGTGCGTGTTCCCTGCCGCCCCGGGGGAGGATGTGAGATTATCTAGGTAGGTATTACCTGGTTAGTCCCGCCGAGCTGGTTTCGGCTGAGCAAGTGGTGGAGAAAAGAAGAGAAGAAGACACCAAGGAGCCAGGCCGTCTATCAGGCACGAGAATGAAGAATGGAGAGCGAGAGTGGAAGCAAAGAAACTCCAACCACCACCCCCGCGGAACGCTACGTTGGTGCGTGTTTGTTTCCAATGGTGCAGTGGGGCCTCGGCCAGGCACAGGTACGTACCTACCTACCTAGCTACCTTAGTACTTTACCTTAATTTAATACCTCAGAAGGTACATACATGCCTTACCCACTGTGACGCCACCATATCGAGGACCATACCTGAGGTAGGTACTACGGATACTAGTGAGGTATTTGTGTACGCTGGAGAGTACGTACCGTTTTCTGCGCGTTGCGTTGCTGGGCGCGCGGGTTATTATCGGCCGGCTCCAGCGCAATCGGGGCGGTATACCTTCCCCAGTGGCAGTGACACCTCGATCGGTTCCCGTAGGCCAAGCGCTTCTCTTTCTGCCTTCCTTCCTGCCTACCGACCTGTACCTTGCGCCGCTGCTCTGTTCTCTGCGTTCATCTCCATTTGGTCCCAGTTGTCCATGTCCTCTCCTCTCTGACTTCTGCCATCTCCTCCTCCTCCATTTCCCTTTCTTCAACATCGACAACTTCATCCCGCCCCGTCTCGAATCGGTCTTTGCCTCACCCACCCAACCTGCCCATCATGGCTCCTCCCGCCTTGAGGAGCCTCCTCATCGGGGCTCTGGCATGTCTTCCTGCTCTGGCTTCGGCACAGCGAAACTACTCTACGGCCGACATGCTGCGTGCACAGCTGACGCTTCTCGATGACCGGCCCTCTGATTGCCCGCCTTGGTGAGTGCCCGCTTATCCTCTCCTTATCCCAGCTCTCTGCGTCCATGTGAAGCTGTTACCATATGCGCCATCAAGGCCCATTGCTCACAACTATCCTTGCGCAGCTTCAACTGTCTCCTCCCTGCCCACAAGTGCACCCAGTTCGCCGGCTGCAACGACTTTACCGGCAAATGCAACTGCCCCGAGGGCTTCGGCGGCGATGACTGCCTCGATCCACGTGCGCACAACCTCTCCCCCACCACTCTGTCGTCGCACAACATCGTCACTCATCACTGACACCAACACTCTAGTATGCGGCTCACTATCCCGCGGCGACAACACCGACAGGCCTCGACGGACTGGCAACTCTTGCGAATGCGACGACGGCTGGACCGGCATCAACTGCAATGTCTGCACCAGTAACCAGGCCTGCGACGCCCTTATGGAGACCAAGGAGGGCGGTGTTTGCTACCAGAACGGCGAGGTCATCAACCACAACTATCAGATCTGCGATGTAACCAACAAAAAAATCACCGACCTCCTTGGCGAGAAGCGCCCTCAGGTTACCTTTACCTGCAAGAAGGAGGAGGGCAACTGTGATTTCCAATGTATGCCGGTCCCAACACCACCTGCCTATCCGCTTCTAAGCTAACCAACCCCGTGCCAGTCTGGGTCGACGAACGCGAGTCCTTCTACTGCCACTTGAGCGATTGCTCGTCTACGGCCGATATCAACGACAGCCAGAACAGCACGGACTACAAGTGCAACAAGATCGAGTGCAATTGCATTTCTGATCGCATGCTTTGTGGCGAGAACGGCTCTGTCGACATCAGCGACTTCTTGGTTGAAGAAATCAAGGGCCCCGCCGAGTTTCAGTGCCTACAGAAGAACGGAGGTATCAACAACTGCGCTTTCAGGGAGCCCGCCATGGACGACCTGATCCTGTCCTTGATCGGGGACAGCAGCATCCTGTTGAGTTGCCGCTCTGGAGAGTGCCTCTACCACACCCAAGTTCCCGGTTATGAACGGCCCGTCAAGAAGATCAACACTCCGCTAATTGCTAGTGTCATCGCCGCATGCTCCTTGTTTGTCGTCGCCGTGATCTTGATTACTTGGTATCTTTCTCGCCGACAGTTCAAGTATGGCGCTATCGTGCTGGACGACTCTGATGACGAAAGCCTGAAGCTCATGGCTGACCACAAGCCCGCCTCTCTCTACTTCGAGAACGTTGCTTACCACCTCAACGGAAAGAGGATCCTGAACAACATCCAGGGTATGGCTCATCCCGGAGAGGTCACTGCCATCATGGGCGCCTCTGGAGCTGGCAAGACCACGTTCCTTGATATCTTGGCCCGGAAGAACAAGCGTGGACAGGTCTTTGGTGACTTCTACGTCAATGGCGAAAAGGTCACCGACACGGATTACAAGAACGTTATTGGATTCGTCGACCAGGAAGACACCATGCTGCCTACTTTGACGGTTCACGAGACAATCCTGACGAGCGCCCTCCTCCGCTTGCCCCGTAACATGGGTCGTACTGCCAAGGAACAGCGGGTATTCGAAGTCGAGAAGCAGCTTGGTATCTACCACATTCGCGATTCGCTCATTGGCTCTGAGGAAGGCAAGGGCCGTGGTATTTCTGGCGGAGAGAAGCGCCGAGTTGGCATCGCTTGTGAACTCGTCACGAGTCCCTCTATCCTGTTCCTCGACGAGCCCACCAGCGGCCTGGACGCCTACAACGCCTTCAACGTCATTGAGTGTCTCGTTACCTTGGCCAAGAACTACAAGCGTACCGTTGTCTTCACGATCCATCAGCCTCGATCGAATATTGTGGCTCTCTTCGACAGACTGATATTGTTGGCGCGAGGCAGCGCGGTGTACTCGGGTCCCTTTTCTCAATGTCAGGGGTATTTTGACCACATCGGCTATTCGTGCCCCCCCGGTTTCAACATTGCCGACTATCTCGTTGACCTCACCATGCACGCGGGATCCACTTTCTCTGAAGACGACGGTGCCCTGAACGCCGACGTTGCCAGCCTGCGCCCGAGCAGCACCACTGCTGTCAAGTCTATCCCAAGCATATCTGGCGGATCTATCAATGAAGATAGCGGGGTCGAGTCTTCTTCTTCACGTCCCAAGAATAAGCGCCGAGATTCAGTCAAGATCCGCCAAGAGCGCGAGCTTTTTACCCGCCGCAAAAACAACGCCGATACGGCCGCTTCCTCGGATGCCGGCGGAGAGGACACTGGATCCTACAAGCTACAGAACCAGCCTGGCTTTGTGCCGTCTCTCAATGTGGAGGACTCCCATGACCTTCCCCCTTCGGCTTATGTCGGAACTGATTTGGATATTCTGATCCGTTCCTTTGCCGAGTCCGACATTGCGGGCTCCACGCACGATGAGATCCAACAATCCATCGCAGCTGCTGAGGGCGCCAACGGACGGAACGCCAACGGATACACCCCAGAGGGACCTAACATCCACACCAGCGCCATCGGCAAGGGTTATACTCGCGTGGGTTACACCCGCCAGTTCGTCATCCTGTCCCAGCGAACATGGAAGAACCTGTACAGGAACCCTATTCTCATGTTGACTCACTACGCCATTGCGATCCTCCTTGCAGTCCTCTCGGGCTATCTGTTTTACGGACTGACCGACGACATTCCGGGTTTCCAGAACCGTTTGGGTTTGTTCTTCTTCCTGTTGGCCTTGTTCGGGTTCAGTACCTTGACCAGCTTGACCGTCTTCGCGACTGAGAGGCTCCTGTTCGTTCGAGAGCGCGCCAATGGCTACTACTCGCCCATCACCTACTTTGCGGCCAAGATCCTGTTCGACATAATTCCGCTGCGAATCATTCCACCCATTCTGATGGGCGCCATCATTTACCCCATGACCGGCTTGGTTCCCGATGCCGGCCACTTTTTCAAATTCCTCCTTGTCCTAGTCCTGTTCAACTTCGCGGCTGCTGCAATCTGCCTCTTCATTGGCATCGTTTGCAAGGACGGTGGAGTGGCCAACCTGATCGGTAGCTTAGTCATGCTATTCAGCTTGCTCTTCGCTGGTTTGCTTCTCAACCACAACGCCATCCCGAAAGCCGCTCTTTGGCTACAGACTCTTTCCATTTTCCATTACGGCTTTGAATCGCTCATTGTCAACGAGGTGCTGCAACTCACCCTCGTCGACAAGAAGTACGGCCTTGACATTACTGTCCCAGGAGCCGCGATCTTGAGCTCTTTTGGTTTCAACAATGACGCCCTCTGGACCGATGTCCTCAATCTCGGTATCTTTGGTGTCGTATTCCTCATCCTAGCTTACGCCGCTATGCACTTCCTTCTCGTCGAGAAGAGGTGATGGCACAGCCATCTGGCGAAACCAGCAAGTTGGCAGGTGCTTTTGGCATACAAGTGTACGAGTACGGAAGCATCAATAGGCCGTCCTTTCGAGGGCCATGGCAGCTTCGGTCGTTTTCATAGATATTTTTGACGCAGAAACACATACAGCCGTTTCCTTTCCAACTGCTATATTTTGTCACTGTGCATATGGGGAAAGAGCTGCTTGACGGCGTTGGGAGGGAATGCCATGTTATAATATTCTGACATTGGCGGCTTTATAATGCTACAAAGAATTGATGGTAGTACAAGTTGACTCGCGAGCTCCAGGTGACTAGAAGCACTCAAACTTTTGGTATGGCGGTACGCAAAGACGTGACAATGTGCTGTCTGACCCAAGCCGCCACAACTTCCAAACGTGAGGTTTTGCAGGGCCAATACACTTTTTGGTTTTGATACAGTACGCCGGACCAGCTGACCCCTGGCTAACCGGCAGTGCCATTTCGTGTAGCAAGGCACACCCCTTTACTCCATCTTGCCGCCCGTCAACTCTTCGGCGATGGTCTTCTGCCTCTTGACAGTCTTATCCTGCTCGCTCTGCTGGAAGTCAATAGCGCGCTGCTGCTTCCTCATCATCTCGTCCAGCATGGTTCGCACCGTCGGAGGCTGTCCCCAGACATCCCAGGCGTTGTCGGCGTCGTGGGCCATAGACTTGCCCTGTCGCTTCCAGAAGTCCTCGGAGAAGAGCTTGTCGAGCTCCTTGCTCAGCTCGTCTTCGGAGACGATGAACTTGGAGGCGTTGATGTACAGCTCCATCAGCGCATCCTGCCTTGCCTCGCTCTTTTGCTTGGCCAGCTTGGCCGTCCGGGCCTTGCTCTTGTTCGCGCGAGCGTAGCGTCGGGGGTCGAGCTCCACAGCAGTCGTCTTGGCCAGGGAGGAGACTACAGAGCTGCGGGTAAAGAGGTCGTCCTGGCGCTCGGGAGCCATGGCGGCTTGCTGGTGGTCGCGAAGACGGCGCTCCCTGACGGTGGTCTCTGCCTCGACACGCTCCTGCTTGCGCTTGTAGAGACCCTGCAGGGCCATGCCAAGATTCTCGCGACGGGTGTCAGCCATGCGGCGGCGGTGCTCGAGGCGCGAGCCGGGCGGGGCGATCTTCGCGGAGGCTTTGCCCGTGGGAAGGGGCGCCGTCTCTTCGAGGTACCCGGGCTGGACCTTGCGGTCGGCCTCCTTACGCGGGAAAATGTCGCGGGGCGTGGGGAGGGTGCCCTTGACGACGGGGGGCTTCTCTTCGGAGGACTGCGACTGAGGCGGCGTCGGGACCTGGATCCAGGCGGGGGATTCGGGGGGCACGCTGAGTTTCGCCGTCTTGGTAGAGAAGGGTCGTGTGAGGTTGATGTAGGATGGTCTAGCGGCGATGACGGTCGGGAGCCGCGTCAATCGCGCGCAGGGACATCTTGATGACATGGTGTCGACAAGATGGCGTTTGCCAGGGCAATGACGGCGGCACCGGTTGTAAGAGGAGGGACGACGGCGAGGGCGACGCTGGGGGTGGAATCGATTCGTGGCTCGAGATGCAGGCTGAGTGGTGTTGAGATCATGGAGCTGAGAAATTCTCGGGAGTGTCCAGGGCTGGATAGGCACACGCTCCGGTGTGAGCGCAGGGTGTGGCTTGCCGACTTTCTCAGTCTCGAGAGAATGCGGAAAAAAGGATGGCGGACACTGGGAGTCTGAAGCTGCATCTGTGAGGGCAGTGTCCGTGGCTCTGATTGGCTCCTCGGCGCAACGGCGCGTGCTCGCCCCGAAGTCCCCAAAAAAATTTCAACAACTCCACTAAAAAATTCCCAAGCAGACCCCACCACTTGCAGAGAAAGATCTTCTTTACTGCGCGCGCCAAAGCTCCAACCTCCCTCTCTCAATCCTTTCTTACAATCTCACCGACTCCAACTTCTGCCCAGTCTCACCCCCCTATTCTCCCCTCTTGTCAAGTTCTTACCTCCACGACTGGGCGAGTTCGCGGTCACAAAAGATGGGAACCGGAAAGAAAGAGGCGAGCCGAAAGGTTCGCCAGGGCAAGACCGGCGATGGCATGGGCAATGTCAAGGTCAAGGGCGAGAACTTCTACCGGTAGGGCTTTCCCCCCTCCGTCTCACCAGCATGAGATTGCTTGATCAGTGAGAACAGTTGGCTGACGTATCGACCACAGCTCTGCCAAGCGGGTGAGGCAACTCAACATGTACAAGGATGGCAAGCCGCAGCGCAACGCCGACGGCGAGATCACAAAGGCCGCCTCGTACCAGAGCCGAGATATTCCTACCGCCCGGATCGAGCCCAACCGCAAGTGGTTCGGCAACACCCGTGTCATTTCCCAGGAGAGCTTGACGGCGTTTCGCAGCGCCATGGCGGAGAAGGCCGCAGACCCCTACTCTGTCCTGCTCAAGAGCAACAAGCTGCCCATGTCGTTGATCAAGGATGGTTCCGACACCAACGGTCTTAAGAAGCACCAGGCCAAGATGACGATTGAGACGTCTTCTTTCGGAGACACCTTTGGTCCCAAATCGCAGAGGAAGCGCGTCAAGATTGGTGCGAGCTCCATTACCGACTTGGCCGGAGAGGTCGACAAGGACTTGGACAGCTATAACGATCGCCTCGAGCAGGCTAAGCTCCTCAGTGGGAATTCTGGAGCGGACCAAGACGGTGAGGGCGAGGAACATGTCACCATGTCAATCGAGCCCATTTTCAATAAGGGTCAAAGCAAACGTATCTGGAACGAGCTGTACCGTGTGCTGGACTCTTCCGACCTTGTCATCCATGTCCTGGACGCCCGCGACCCCCTGGGTACTAGGTGTCGCAGTGTTGAGAAGTACCTGCGCGAGGAGGCCCCTCACAAGCATCTCATCTTCGTCTTGAACAAGACAGACCTGGTGCCCACCAGCGTTGCTGTAAGTCTATCTCTGTCTTCCTCTCCACACCTCTCTCCCCGACCAAAACCCCAGTGTCTTTGTCAGGAATTCTTTCGCACATTCGCTGCCCCCAATGAAAGGATCTCCGTTAAACACTGGGAAAATCGACGGCCGTCTCGCTGTCCTGGTTCTCGGGCCAGGGCTGATGGGGTCCGTTTTGGATCTCCCATCATGAGATGGAATTGCATCACTTTGAGTTGAAGTCTGCCAGTGCTCTTCCGAGCCTCTCCATGGCGGTATTTCTTAGTAGCGAAGCATACATACTTTCAACACTAGCATTGTGTTTGGCCACAGCCTGCTTGCTGCTGCAGAAGCTAACTTGACCTAGGCCCGTTGGGTAAAATACTTTTCCAAAGACAAACCTACTCTGGCAATGCACTCGAGTTTGACGAATCCCTTTGGCAAGGGCAGTTTGATCGAGCTTCTGAGACAGTATGCCAAGCTTCACAGCGACCGCAAGCAAATTTCAGTCGGCCTCATCGGCTACCCCAACGTCGGCAAGAGCAGTATTGTCAACACCCTGAGGAAGAAGAAGGTCGCCACTGTCGCGCCTATCCCTGGTGAGACCAAGGTCTGGCAGTACATCACACTCACCCGCAAGATCTGTACGTGCTCTCTCGTGCCCCTCTCGTCGTCTCCTAAGCACACGCTAACTTGACTAGACATGATTGACTGCCCCGGTATCGTACCGCCGTCGCAGACTGACACCCCTCAGGACCTTCTGCTCCGAGGTGTTGTCCGCGTCGAGAACGTCGACAACCCGGAGCAGTACATCCCAGCTGTCCTAGCCAAGGTCAAGACGCACCATATGGAGAGGACATACGAGCTCAAGGGGTGGAACAACCACATGGAGTTCCTCGAGATGATTGCCCGAAAGAGCGGTCGTCTGTTGAAGGGGGGAGAGCCGGACTTGGACGGAGTCGCCAAGATGGTACTCAACGACTTCATGCGTGGCAAAATTCCTTGGTTCACTCCGGCCCCCGTCGAAGAAGAGGGCGAGAACACAACCGAGGGCATCGAGGGACGTAGCGGTAGGCTGGGCGAGATGCCTCAGAAGCGGAAACGTACCGCGGCCGAGATGGCCGACAGTGTGGCTGGCACTTCCATGGGCCCCTCTTCTGTTGGTAGTGACAGTGACGAGGAACAAGAAGGCGACGAGTTTGAAGGGTTTGGCTCTGAAGACGACGAGGCCAAAGGCAACAACGAGTCGGTAGCCAAGGCATCTGAAGGCGTTGATGACGACTCGGACGATATGATCCCACTCGATGAGATATCAGACGAGGACTCGGACAGCGAAGACGGTGGCGATGGTGCGGCCTCGGAGACGAGTTACAACACGTCAGTCAAGGCCATCTCTGATCGGAGTGCCAGCAACGCCTCCAAGAAGAGGAGAAAGACATGAAGTCGCCAGAACAGGGCTTGCTAAATGAATCTCTTACGCCGCGACGCCGAAGTTTCGGCAGCCTCGCCTTACAGGTGGGCAATCAACGATGGCCAACTGGGGCTGCTGACATTGAAGACGAAGAAGAAGAACATGGCGATCGTTCTCATTCGGGCGCTTTAGGGAGTGGAATACCTGACCATTGTTGGCCGTGAGACCACGGGCCAGTGAGGGGTCCAGCTGGAGCCATTTCAGTTCATTACCATCCTGGCATTTCCGGACCGTGAGGCTGTCGTCCGGCACCCGAATGAGGCTCTTCCGGGTCTGCATGTTCGGGAATCCCTGTGCTTCCCCGTTTGTTTCTCTCGCGCTGAACATAGACTTTCAGCCGCGAAATGTTTCCAAACATCTCCACGCTTTTCTCGGAGAACTGGACATGGCGTTGTAACCGTATGATACCCCCCCCATTGTGTTGTCTTGAATGGCAAGTTGCTTTCCGTGGAAACCCACCCCACCTTTTCATGTCCTCCTATTGAGGTTAGTAACGTTCTCTTGTTTGAAGCCAGAAAAGAAGACAAACTATAGAATACAAAACATCGAATGCCACGAAAGATGACTTGATGATTATGCACCATTTACAATACATACCTGATCCAACTGATGAATTTTTTTTAGTTTTTTTTTTATTCGCTTCGCCCCTTGAGTTTCTCCGGTTACCATTGCAAAATCTGTCGCTCGTCCACGTCACCACACGCCCATCCACGTACATCGCCGACCCTTGACGTAATCAGGAAGATCGGGCGACGGTGAGCTCGGTGACTCGTAGATGGTTTAGACTTCAGCAACCTCCAGGGTTCATCGTCGCGGCCAAGCAGGAGAGTTTGTTTGTGTCGTCTTGGTGTCGTCTCGGTGTCAACTACTCCAACCTCGGTCTCAACCACTGACCTCTGAATGACGCCGCTGCTCCTCGCGCTCCAAAGTTTATGTTCGTGTGACCGATTGCTTCTTTCTTGCCGGCGTGTCGACGCCTCGTCCGCTTTGTCTGCTCCGTCCAACACCCCGCATATGGGTCCATGGTGGTGTTGTCCCCTCGTCTGAAAATGAGTCGTACGAAACTTTGCCGACGCCTCGCTCCCTCTTCTCCATCCGACGAGAATTGATTCTGAAGATATACCAGCCATATAGCTATGAACTCACAATTCCAGCCACACTCGCAAAGGGGCAAATACATAGCGATGAAGCGCCTTCGATCCATCCTTGGTGGACCCGTACTCTAAGTTTCGAATCGGTGTTTCTGCCTCGGTCCTCTTTGCCGATGCCGCTGTCTCCCACACATACCACTTCTCTTGCTCCCGAGATTGATTCGAACGACGTGGAAATAACCCCGCTCTTTTGATGATGATGCTGTTGTTGTTCTTGTCGATTTATCCTCACTCACATGACTTCTTCGTCTTTTCTTTCGGTACTAACTAACACGGTATTGTTCATTGTCTGCTGTCATGGTATGTGCGGTTGCTGGAACCCCTTCCTTCTCATCCACCCTTCGGACCTTTTGCTTCGAAAAAGGCGAATGAAATATCGGCAGATGGCCAAACTTTGAGGGGGCTTCGAAAGCATAAAAAGCTGAACTTTTCCTCCTACCAGTGCTCACAGCGCTTTCCCTCATCCTGCCCCCCCCCCCAAGACTCTAAGCCCAAAGGTTGTTTGTAATTTTCTTTGCGCTATATTCAAGCCAAAGTACCATGAAATATTTTACGTTCTGACTTCCCCTTACCCAACCATCTTTTCTTCTCGAACACGGGGTACGCTTTGCAAGGCCGCTGTTCCTACATTCTTTTTCCCAGTGGGCAACCTAGATTGCCTTGTTTCTTCCTTCCGACACTCCTCTACGTATTCGAAAAGGGACTCGTCAGATACATGAACGGACATAAAAGATGCGTCTTTCTTTAGCTGCCGTTCTTTCCCTGGCTACAAGCTCGCTTGCCGTAGCACTTGTGCCCAGAGACCTCGCCACCTCGTTGATGATCCCTAGGGGCGAACCCGCCGGGGCAGGTGATGGTGGTGGTGATGCAAAACCCGAAGGCAGCAACGGTGACATGGGTGCCGACAAGGATTGCCAAGGTGGTGGTGATGCGAAGACTGAAGGCAGTTTGAAAGACTGTAAGCAGTTCCGCGTCAAGTCCAAGGGCACCGCCGCCGGCTGGGTTGGTCAGCTGGACAGCGGACAGCTCAGGATCGGGCTCAAGCCTATGAACTTCTCCATGTCGTCCGGCCAGATCGTCGACGACAAGAAACGTGGCATGTGGTGGACGCGTAAGTTTGCTCCCATTCTTCCCCATCGTGCCTCATCCCATCCAAGGGTCGCGTGGGCTGACAACACTCGCAGCCCCTACCGACACGCTTCAATGTGACGTGGGTCAGAAGCCCGACAAGGGTTGGTCAGTCGGCTGTGACGGCAGGATGTATTTCCAGGACATGTCAAAGTACTACCAGTGCGAGGCCGACAACATGACTTACAACCTTTACAAGAAAAACGGCCAGGCTGGTAAGTGCGGTGAGGTCAGGCTGTACATAGTTGGATGCGGTCGTGGTGCAGACAGTGATAAGGGAGGCGATGGTGACAAAGGCGGCGATGGTGACAAAGGCGGCGATGGTGGCAAAGGTGGCGATGGTGGTAAAGGCGGCGGCAAAGGAGGCGGCAAACCTTCTCCTCCTTCGAATGGAACTCAGACCCCTTCGAACGGAACCAAGACCGCTCCGAATATCTTCGCTTTGAAGCCGGTTAGGTTGGTGTGAGTCTGTCGACACGGCAAACCAAATGTCAGAGACGCTATTTGAAGAAGTTTATATCGATTGGCTTACGACATCTTGAGGGAGAAGGATTCGCCAGGCCAGAGACGCAGTTCTGCGTCTCGACTTCCATGGTTCAACTCGAGGTCTAAGCCAGCAGTTTCAAAGCACTGGGGAAATGTCAATGATGGAACATGGTTTGATTTTTGTACTCGAGTTGAACAAACATTCGGTACCTTCGCTTTCACATATCCGAATTCGGACCTCGTGGTGCCTCGTCCGAGTCTTTTGCCATGTTTTGCATCCAGGCCAACAATCTACATCTTCAATAGCATGGCTGTTCTCAATAAGCTCTACAAAGTAAAAGCCTTCATCTCAGCGACATCCGCTTGTCCAAGTATCGCCTCATGAAGAACACTAAAAGTCGTGGTATTCAAACAAGCCCTCTGCATCATCTTCACCCTCATTCGTGATGCCTAATATCTCGTTCGCTTTCTTGATCCAGTAAGGCGTCGGACCCAACTGCGTAGTAGCCGGCGGCGCCTCCTCCTCTTCCACCAAAACATCCTCGTTTCCCTCGCCCAGCCTGGCTCCCATGAAAGCATCTTTGCCGACGGTATTGAAGGTCTTGCTCTTGAGCTCTTCCGCCTTCTTGTCGGTGTCCAGGTTCTAACTGGCGCCGCGAATCCAAGCGGCAGCGATGGAGTCCTCGAAACCCTTGAACTCACCCTTCCTACCCCACTCGGCACGGCCATTGTCTGAGGGCATGATTTCGCTGATGTCTTTTTGGGATCGAAAGTCACGGATGACTGTGTTGCCCCTCCCATCGGGATGGTTGGCTGCAATCGGGTCGGGCTGGCCGGTGTAGGGGTCGATCAGGCAGACGAAATCGCCCACTTCGATGGGGCCGCGGTAACCATGATGGGCGAGGGAGCGCGTGTTAGCGACTTGTCGCGCAACTTTCTCGGCCAACGACGCGCAACCTTTGCTGAATGGAGATTTCGTTCGGAATGTCTGAGGGCTGGGCTGCGATGTGACGAAAGGATCGTCGTCGAACACCGATCCAGTCCGGCAACCAAGCACGGAGACACTGGGCCGGCGAGCAGAAGGGGTTTGGTTTACGTCGATAGTCGAGTCGGAGCTAGGAGATCTCGTGGGAGAGTCGAGAGGCGGGAAGTTGACACTACGAAGAGTAGAGGGCACGGCAGGAGAGCTGCTATATATGGTTTGCTTCAACGGGCTCGGGACCTTGACCACGCTGGCTCGTCGATTCTTGTCAGTATCTGATGAAACGAAAGTCAGCGAAACGAGACGAAGAATATCGGATGAGATTAACTGCACAGATAAATATATCAAGGAAAAGAATAAATGAGACAACTGAGTTGGTGATATAGGGTTAGGGAGCGATACTCACAAAGTCGCGCCCTCACAGGGTGCCCCTGCCCGGATGAGAACGACGCTATCATTGGATTCTGCAACGGGCGACCGCTTGGACTGAATTGCGTGATTGTGGCTTGATTCTGTCAGTGAAAGAATCGAATATACCATGATGTGAAGGCTCCACAGGCAAAACGTACGAGACCAGATCTGTGAAGGTGAAGCTCCTAGAGCCGGGTGAGGTGAAGTCGCGGGCATGTTGATTTGCCCATGCCCTTTTGCTGCAGCGCTAGTCATCTTGGTGTTTCCTGGGTACTCCTGATTAGTTTATAGACTATTTTTGTTGATTCATGTGGAAAGGGCTCACGTGTCCGGCTTTGCGGGAGTAGATAGTCAAAGGCGGGTTGTGTAGGTGTGGCAGGGTGATTGTTGCTGTATTGTTGACCAGCCGTTGGGTAGGATCTGAACAATGAGGCGTTCGCTGAGTGTTGATTAGTAAATATTCCATACCGTTTCGTTTTCTTGTGCATGTTTAGACAAGATTTACGAGACCAGTACTGTGGTGGAGCAGAACCTTTGACTGAAGGCGGAGGCATCTAGAACCTAACATCATGTTGGTTTGTCGCCGCTGCCGGACCGAGCGACGTGAGAATGACAGAAGCTGGAAACTTCAGTTGATGATTTAGTTTTTCTTTGGTTCTAGAGATGGCGCTCTCACACATCCCGTACTGTGAAGGGGATGAATTTGTGCTCATGCCCGGACGGGCAGGTTTCACCGACTGGTCGTATTATTGACTTCCTACAACCGCAGAGTTGGACTCCAAGTCGCCAGTTGCTAGGAGAAGTATATAGATGAAACAACTGAGTCTCGCTCCTTATGTCAACAAATTTACGCGAAGACTCTTGCATATGCAAAGAAGCCGTGTCTGTTTTCGAGTGCGACTGTACCGTTGGCTGGATGCGATGACCTACTGCAGTCTCAAGACCGGATATCCAGTTTGTATTATGGCGTTTTGAAGTTACCCAACGACTATCGCATAGGTCTGCAACACATGTTACTGTGTGAAGAAGTTTTGAACTGGCCTTGTCCCTGATCTCTCACTGCCAGCGGGCCGCTAGTCAAGCTGACGTGGGATTGGATCGTGTGCCGTGAGAGCCGTCTGAGATTGGGGCAAACTTCTCATATCACGATAGTGATCCAAGATGGAATGGAAATGCCTGTTACCTATGGAAACATCCACATGGTTGCGGACATATTCGTTACGGAGCTGAATTGGGGTCTCGGTGCTTTGGTTGGGTATGACGGAGCTATTGCGGATGTGGTCTGCTCGTTGCTGAACGTGCGCGTCGGCTCGCTGATCTCGCATTTCATACCAACTACTGCAGTCTCGGACTTTTGTCTGTGGTTGCTTCTTACCCTCACGTAGTTGCTGCGGCCAACTCATGATGTGAGAGGGGGCTGTTGAGTGAGATATCAATACGCGAAATACTGTACAAGACCTCGAGCCGAAGTGAGTCTGTTAGGTATGGGGAGGCAGTCTCGAAGAAGTTTTCTTTTTCCGTTACCTTTCTCCGAGTCGGACCTTATTAATACTTCGGATGACGATAAATTACTGCCCTGAAGGTGTTGGGAAAGAGGGTGATAGGTTTCTAGGCGGAGAAAGATGAGAAGGAGAATAAAGATACACAGCCATGATTTACGGAACTACATCATAGTGAGCAAAGTAGCGAAGCAAAGGAATGGCCAAAATAAAACACGGCGGAACGTAAGAGATATCTAGTAGCGTTGATTAAGTGTTAAGCATCTGAACTAACTGACGCAGCCACAGACAAAGCCCTCGAGTGACTCAATCCCATGAGCCTCGATTGTGTCATGCGAGGCTTCTTTAGTCAAAGCATTTAGGAACTATGGTGAACCACATTCAAAGGTCTGGAAGGGTATGTGGCTCCTACTTAGACAATGTTATGCCTCATTGAGCTAGATCAACAGTTTCCGATCCGAAGCCAAAGGGCCTTCGCGTCCCTGAACATTTGATACCCCACTTGGTGATAACCAGACCTCGGGATTATCTAGAATTCCCAAGGATCAACAGCTGAATGAGCGGATATATCTCGTAGCAAGACATACGACGCCCGTGGAAGTAAACATGGACGAGCGTCAGCACTGGCCGAGAATAAACGAATAGCCATAAGGCTATGAGTTTAGTAAACTGCCTTCCCCCGATCGCTATTTATTCAGAAGCCCTTCAACTTCCAAGGTAATGTCGACCATGGGGAACTCTGTCCTATTCCCAGCAGCCGAGTTAGAGACAGGAGGATCCGGAGAGAACCCTTCAACCATGTAGAGGCTATCGCCGACTTGCACCGCAGCGGTAATGGTACCTCCTTGCGCCGCCGATGAGTTGTTCGGTACCGTGCCGAGATGCTCGGCCAATTGCCACGATCCATCACTGGAGCGGAGAACGGTTATGCCCTTTGCGTTTTCGGCAACGAGCAGAACTTTGCCGTCGTATCTTGGTGGTAGATATATAGCACCGGTCATGGCCAATGTTGCGTCGGGCGATCTACGAACAAGCACAGGACTGCCCTTGTCAGCTGTCATATCGAAACGGTAAATCTGCGAATCCTCGTTGTTACTGGTTAACAGGACATTTCCAGCTGCTGCAAGTCCTGAAAACCCAGTTTTGGTGTGGTCAATTTTCGCAGGTAGATACCAAGGAATGATATCAGAGCCTTCCCGGTTTACTTTCATTATAGTTCCTGGGAACGTCCCGACGACGTAGGTGTTTCCATTGGAGTCGTATCCGATATCCCGGAAGCCAGCATACTCGCCCTTGGAAATAGTGGTGATGTTTTTGCTCCACAGCACCTGTTCCTTGGCAGCATCATACTTGATAATAAAGCTGTCGCCGGATACATCTTGCCCGCCAGTGCTGAAGGGGGCAGCGGCATTAGCGACGATGGACACAAGCTTCGTGTGCGGATCGACTCGAACGCCGCCGATTTGAAGGTTCGGGTTATTCGTGATGTCGCTCAACATCAAAATGTTGACTATCTTGTTCATATAAGGGTCGTAAACAATGACACTGGCATTGGCTTTAGACCTGACACTAGCTTTAGCAACAGCGCTCAAGAGTATACTGGTGAGGAGTACCCGAAGTATATGACGCAGTTATCAACATCCCAGTCCGCACAGTCGGGATAAAGTTGGTGTTGATGAATCACGAAGCTGCCGTTTGCGAATGGAAGGCATCGTCTCTCTAATTGAGGTGTGCTCTCGACAGGCGAGAGGGTGACAAGGATGACGGCCAGGATGCTAACCAGAAGCGTGTGGATATCCATTTAGACACCAGCCCAACGCCTCTTGCGTTGTCTTGAGATGAATCTCTACTGCCGTAGGAAACGTGTGTAAATGGGAGTGGTGAGCAGTACATTGTGGCACATCGACACGAGCCTCTGGATTCTTAAGTGTTTGCTATCATCGTCAAATAGAAACTTTGAGAGTGGCGATCAATGTTTCTCACTTGCAATTGGGCATCTTCGAAGAAGAAACTTCATTGCTACCCTCTTACTTTACGTGCCTGCATACATATCGTGGGGTAATGGTCTTGAATGGCAGCCGGGCAGTGGCGGAGTGTATTTCTAAGTTGGGTGGGCAGCCTTGGATAGGGTCGAGGTTCCAGGCAGAGACCCTGAACCATAGGTCTGGTAGCTAGGGAAGCTTTCCCGAGAGTTTGAGATGACGGCAAGTTGTCAGTGTAGCCGTGACGCGTCGGCAATGCCAAAACGTTCATAGACCAACTCTGGACAATGGATTCCTGCCCTGAGATCCTGACGAGACATGCTTGTTCGGCATCTATCATCGGTAGACCTCGAGTTAAACCACCCACCTACTCAGAAGTTGTCGCTTGGGACCCGCAGAAGGAATGCTGTCCCAGAAGGACGATTGAGGGGTAAGTGTGCGTGGTTCGAAGCCAATACCCCTGTGTGAATATCCAGATTCATTAGTTCCGTGCGAATAGGTCGTGCGTTGCGTTCGTTGCACTGGAGATTTGCTTGAGGCCCTTCATGCAGGTAGATCGGCGAAGCAGCCGATACGACAGTTGGGCAATAGTCTGCATGCGATGGTATTTGATGATTGGGTTTTGGCAGAACCATGTCGTTATCACCTTGGATTGGAGATGTGCAGAGGTTCGGTGTTCCAAGATGCTTCTTGCATCATCACCAAGGCTCACTAATTCGGCTAATAACATGAAAGACCAGGAGAGGGGCAGGAATGAAATTATCCCTCAAGACTCACTCACTGGCAGATACTAGTGAAGCACCCCCTCATCTCCAAGAGCCCTTGCTTCACATAAGGCACGAAGACATTGGAGGGATGGATTATCTAGCGAAAAGGTGTGATTGTCACATCGGGCCAGCACTCAGTGGTCTAGCAAGTCTCTGATCGCATGCTGTGGATTGGGAGAAGTCTGTTAGTCTGTATTCATGAAGCATCCTCCCTGCTCCATCATATTATGCTTTTGGATCTTGGTTATCCACACATGGATGGATGTACGAGCCACCGGCTTCGGGGCTTTTCCCTACATGGTCGCCGCCACTCAAGGGAGATTGGATTTACATGGCTGGCATACGGTTGAGCCACTCGCGAATCTGCCCAGAAAAGCTTACTTGCACGGTTCAAGCACTCCCGCACACCCGTTCCGTTTTTGGACACCGGGCTCTGCAATTTGGCACCGGTTTCCGTGGATGGCATGCTGCTTTACACACTCCCGACAAAATCTTGCTTCTATAAGTGGTTGGTGGAAAACAGGGAGTCATCGGACGGCCCGTTCCACACACCTTGGCACGGCCGCTTACGGTACTCTTTGTACCCTCGTTTGCTTCGCCAAGACTTCGGCTGGCCGCTTTGCAGCTTCTGCCGGCGTTACGATGCTTTGCTTCGACGGATGATAACAACCGCGTCTGCAGGCTGACAGGTCTAACACAACACGTCCAAAATGATGCAACGCCACTCCTGGTGTGGCACGTCGCGCGAGCCTGCTCTTGTAAGCCATTGGACGGATGCGCGTCTAGCCGTATGCTTCATCCCAAGACATGGCGAAGAAGCTCGATGTTACCTTACTGCACTGTCTGACCGCCCGCCCATAGGGGACATACATATGTCGTTCTCCCTGTTCCATCGTACATCTCTAGGGAGGTCTCTGTCCTCCTGGTTCTCGCTGAGTCCGTTTTCTGTCTCCTATGGTCCTTGTTTGGCACGCCACAACATTGACCTTTCCCGGTGACTCGCGAGCTCGCAAACACAGTCTCCTTGCGCCTCGTCCGGCAATGAACAGTCGACTTCCTAGAACTGAAGACCTGGTCTGAAAGGCACGATGCCACGGAGCAGAGCTGCCGACCCGGCCCTCGCCTCTGATGACGAAACTGTTGTAGCGGTTCAAGATGGCGTAGCGCTGAACGCCGCCGGTCACAGGGATCAACTCAAACGCCAATATGGATTTCTTGGGCTAGCTAGCTTGGCCCTCACGGTAGATAACGCCTGGGTAGCGTTGGGCTCCTCCATCTCCGTGTCAATTCGTAAGTTCAAGCCGGCCCTTGCCAGTATAATCTCATAACGAGCCGGGGCCGGTCTAGTCAACGGTGGCCCGCCCGGCATCATATACGGCCTCCTTGTTGCCGTCTTCTACTATACTCTTATTGGTTTGAGTTTATCAGAGGTTTGTTGGACGCAACCCATCTTCTTATTGTGCGCACTAGTTAAGCACATTATCTAATACGTCTGCAAGCTTGCATCGTCAGTGCCCACGGCTGGGGGCGTATACCACTGGGCGACCATCGCCGGAGGTCCTCGCTGGGGCCGAGCACTCGGCTTCTTCACCGGCTGGATCAACTTCTACGGCTGGCTGTTCGCCCTGGCTTCCCTACTCCAGATCTCAAGCAACGTCGCCGTGAGTATGTACGCTGTCTGGAACTGGGATGACTATGTCAGTCAGCCGTTCCACGTCTTTATCGGGTATCTCATCATTCTCTGGGGATCGGCTGCCTTCGTTGTCTTTGCCAATAAGTACTCCCCTTACACCCAGCATGCGGGTACCCTTTTTGTCACGATTGGCGGTGTCATCATTATCGTCGTACTTGCCACCATGGCAAAGCCACATGCAAGCAATCACTTTGTATGGGCATCCTTCCATGAGAACAACGCCACAGGATGGCCTGGTGGAGTTGCTTTCTTACTGGGCGTTCTTAACGGTGCTTTCACCATTGGCACGCCCGACTCTGTTACTCATATGGCTGAAGAGTTGCCCCATCCCAAGACAGACCTTCCCAAAGCCATACTTCTCCAGATATTCCTTGGCTTTATCTGTGGGTAGAAATTGCAACGATATATGACCTAGGCTGACTTACTGCAGACGCTTTTTGTTTCGCCGTCGCGCTGTCATATGCCATCACTGACATCACGGCTCTTCAAGGTGGTTTCAACTCGTTCCCTCTGACCAACATATATGTACAGGCGACGACAAGCCTTAATGGCATCCGAAACCCTGGCGCGGCTTTTGGGCTTCTATTTATCATGCTCAGTTGTACCCTGACATGTTGTGTAGGCCTCATGTTGACTGTGAGCAACCCTTTTTGAGACCAATGACGGCACTTGGTCCCATCCATTCCTAAATCATTCTCAGGTCTCGAGAACATACTGGGCCCTTGCCCGAGATGATGCCGTTCCCTTTTCAAATGTGTTCGCGCAAGTCAACGAGCGTCTGAGCTGCCCCGTTTGGGCCACCTTGTTCGTCTGTGAGTCACTCCCACCTCTCTATTGAGGCTTGCCGTCTGAACGATCGCAATCCAGGCTTCGTCGTAACCGGTCTGGGTGTCATACCACTCGGCAGCTCTGCAGCCTTTCTGGCATTGGCAGGCTCATTCATCATCCTAACGTCTGTGTCCTATGCGATTCCGTTTGCCGCCAACATGCTTTCGGGCCGAAGATATTTCCCACGAGGGCCGTTTCACTTGGGCAAGGCTGGATACGCTATCAACGGACTCTCCGTGTTCTTTATCATACTGTTTGACGTCCTTTTCTGCTTCCGTGGGTCTTCTCTCGCCACAAGACATTACAAATATCGAATGCTAACGGCACAACCAACCAGCTTTTGTGTTGCCAGTTACAGAAGCGACTATGAATTGGAGTAGTGTGATACTGGTGGGAACTGTAGCTATCACCGCCTTGTGGTGGGCGTTTCATGCAGCTAAGCATTACCCCGGCCCGAAGGTGATGAGTTTGTACGTTGCAACAGATGGCATGACACCAGTGGTAACGGAAAAAGACAGTGGAGGAACCACGGTGTCGGAAGCCAAGACTTCAGATGTTATCTAGTATACAATCTCATGTTTCAACGATAGGTACGCCATGAAGTGAACTGATAATGGTACCTAGCCAGCTATTATAGTGGGAGGCTAAGTCGAGGGTTTCGAAGGCATAATATAGCCATTTAAGAAAGAGACATTACCTATCAAGCAATCGGGATGCTGAATGAATGAGACTTCAACTTTATTCGAATGAACTGCGACTCTGGCAACATGCAAATAGGTTGCAATCAGGGAAAGACATACGTAGTAAAATTAATAAAATCGTCAACTCATGAGCCACCACATGTATGTCGAGCTACCTATCTCATAATTACACCAACCCCGTACAATGCTTTTAAGACCATTCATGGGTTTAAGACTGGTTCATCCAAATCTAATTGAACAGATTCCATTCTCAGATTTGCTTCTCGCTTGACTGCCTGGAGACGAGCCCAGTCTCATTATGATGCACACTGGCCTTGCGTGGTCCATCATAGTCTTGATCGTCTTCGGCCAATTCATATAGAGCCGGGAAAGGCTTCACGTCGCGACGCAACAAGTACTTGTTGGCGTACCAAGGGATCTTTGACGAGTAGTACTCGGCATGGTCGCGGCTGCGGACGGAGAAGACACTGTCGAGCTCTTCCAGCGTTAGGTTCTTGGTCTCCGGGAGCCAGAAGTATGCGACAACGAAGCCGAAGATGTTCCAGCAGGCGTACCACACGAAGGCACCTGTTGGACCAAAGCTGTTGATCATCGAAGGCCACGTGAAGCTGATGATGAAGTTGAATCCCCAGGTGACGGCCGTGGCGCTGCTCATTCCGATGTCACGGATGTGCAGCGGGAACGCCTCCGCGCTGTAAGTGAAGGGCACGGGACCAGCGCCTGGTGAATACACCGCTGCAAAGAGGTAGATGCCGGTTGCAATGCAAGCCAGTCTTGCAGTACCGTCTGGCATCAGGAAACTGAAGCCGGTGAAAAACAAGCAGAGCGACATGAGGGGGAACGTGACCAAAAGAAGGTTCCTCCGGCCGAACGTATCGATGGTATAGAAAGCAGGGATAGCGAAAAGCCAGTTGATCAGTCCCATCCCCATTGAAGTGAGAAGAGCTGTACTGCGATCGAAATTGGCCATCTCGAAGATGTTTGTCGAGTAGTACATCCTGTGTGTCATTGGTTAGCCTCATAATACACAGTTCCGTTTGAATGATGGTTCACTTGCATAGCATTGATGCCTTCAAAGGTTTGTAGCAAGTCAGCAATTGTACGATAAGTCTGGGTTCTATGGGGGGGGGGTTCGGGTAGCACGAACCGCAAAACTGTTGCATGAACATGACGAAGTACGAAGCCATTGCCGCACGCCTGTTCCTTCGGACGGTGAAGAAGTCCTTCCAGTTACGGCCACTACGCGCCCGATTTTCGATCTCGAGGAGCTTGTATGCATAAAACATATCTCTCGCCGCCTGAATAGGGTGGTGACGGAGTCGCAAAGTTGACTGGAAAGCTTTCTGATACCTTCCCTTTTCCATGTACCATCGTGGACTTTCAGGACAAAAGTAGACCTGCTCAAACGTCAGATTGCCATTTTACAGCGGCACATATGTAGTAATGCACCACGAAGAGCGGAATAAGACTAGGAAACTCACCTGTACCATGACTACCAAGGGGGGCACGGATGTACTAGCAAGCATCCATCGCCACTGAGTGTTCTCTCCTAGAAAATCTGTGTTTCTGAATGCAACGGAGACTATGAAGCCCAAGGCTATTCCGAACGCTGTCCACATCTAGATGTGTGTCAGTTGATTGAAATCACATGTGCTCTGTAAGTGCCCGCTTACCTGCCACATCATCGTCAAAGCACCGCGAATAGACTTGGGTGTACTCTCTGCTGAATAGACTGGCGTAGTACTGCTCTTTGCACCAACGGCGAAACCAAGCACAAAGCGGGCGATCAAAAGGTTGTACCAACTTTTGGTGGGTTAGAGCTACATGATTCAGGAGGACGGCATGATATCTTACCTGTCGGCCGCAGCCATCCAAAACCCAGTGACGACGGAGAAGAAGCACGAGATGAATATGGTTCCTCGTCGTCCAGTGTACTTGTTGAGCAGAGGAGAGCTCCAGCATCCGACAAGCGCAGAGCAAAGATACGGGGCTCCGTTGACCAGACCCTGCATTCTTGCGTCCCATAGGTCAAAGGTCGCGTAGTAGTACTCCTGCATCGTTGTTAACACCACTTACCGATTATTTACGTGGATCGGAACGTACCTGAGCACCATTGACGGCTGTTTGGTCCATTCCCTGTACTGTATATAAGCGGCATTAGCATTTCCGTTCTGTTAGGCGTGATCTCGTTGAAATAGAAACTGCCAACCTATAGCACTCCCTGCACAAAGAGCGCAAAGAAAGTAAAGGGACTTTGGCTGACTCCATCGATGGGTTATTTCTTTTCGTAGTACTGCCTTCTCTTCCTCGTTGAGGGCGGTGATGGATTCGAAACCGTCAGGCTTATTGATCACTTGGGCAACCATTGCACCCTTGCGGAAGATATCTCGGTGCCCTTGTAACCCTTTCGAATCGGTGAAGCTATCAGCCTCCTTCACAAGCTCATCGGTGGTGAGTCCGACGAGCGGATTGCGGAGCAAAGCGGCAGTGGAGGCTCGCGCCGCCTTGTCTGAGCTGCCAGGGCCAGCATGGGCCTCTTCGACAGGAGGTGACTCCGTGTCCTCCTTTGGTAGAGGCATGACTGGTAGCGATGATCGTTACTCCTTCAAGCTTTCTGGTTTGAACTCGAACACCAGTTCACCTAAACAACGAAGTGCCAGGTCTCGACAGTCGGGGCTGGTAGAAAGACGTGGAGAGGAGGATAAATCCGGGGACATGAGGAGATTGCTTTGGTCAGTGGACCTTAAATAGTCCGTGGACGCTGCCTTTTCCCCAGAGTCCGGCAAAAGATGTCCATTCGACCCTGCTACACTCCAGAAAGAGCGGTGGTTTCTCAGCCGGGGACGGCACACATTGTTTTGAGCCAATGTACGCACACAATGAGCATGGAGGAGTGGAACGACCAAGAAAAAGCGTGGAGATAAAAGGCTCGGCTACAGCCTAGCTGCATGATATATCTGACCACGGTGACCAGCTGCTCCAACTTCTGCGAATCTCTGTCCAAGCCGAGTACTTCTCGGTGGGGAAAGCATTTACCGGCTTGTTGCATTCCCATGTTTCCGGAATGTAACTAGTCGTACAATGAGCATACTACAATCGACCAAAGAGGATCATGGAGAGACCATGGGCTGTGGTCCGGAGAAGAATGCGGCGAACCGCAGCGGTTGCTTGCGATTCTATGTTTCACTTGGATGCGTGCTGCGCTTGCAGGGACGCCACGAGGTCCTGTATGTATAAGATTGCGGCCTTCGCCTTCTCTTCTTCTTACACGGCTTCGAAAAAGGCTAGCCTCGTTTACAGTGATAGTAAAAATGGCGCCTGTTGTCGAGCAAGCAAACCACCAAACCCATACGATAGAGCGTTCAGTAAGATATGATGGCGCCGAGAGGACACAAGATGGCGAGGATTCTGTCGCGTAGGACAAATAGACCTAAGTTTAGCCGTGTCCCAGGTAGCACTTAGACGTGCTTTTGTCACCGGTCAGCCTCCAAGACGGCCAAGTAGCCGTTGGTGGTAGTTGGATGGCGATCGGCAAGACAGCCAAGCGGTGCTCGTGCTCGGCAACTAGAGACACTGATTGTGGCCCGCAGCAACGAGAATCAATGAAAGGCCGGCATCATTGGGCTTCCTCTGCATCAGTCTCGGCAGTCGGCGCGGCATTCGTCATCCTCACTTAGTGAGATGCAGGTTGACAGGGGTCTGAAGTTCCTGAACGCGTTGATGATCCATGGTTGAAAAGCCGGGGAGTGGTAAGATAAGATCTAGCACTGTACCTTGGATAATCCTAGGGATTATCTGACCAGAAGTTAGATACGAGGGGGAAACTCGCTTGTCCCGGTGATGTATGACTTCATACCAAGTCTTGGTCGACATCTAAGCCGTCCTGTTGGCTCTATCGCGATGGTTGTGTCGTCATTGCTTGAGCAATAAGACGACAATAAAAGAAGAACCATGCCATTTACATCCACGGCAGTGACGCTCGCATCAATCTGAAGCTTGCATCTTGACTGCTGGCTGGGATTTCCCACTCCTATACGGGAGACACCAAAAAAGTTGGCGAATAGATAGAGACACGGTCCCCATGCCGCTTTGCTTGGCATTTTTTTAGTTACCGAACTTGATTGTTGTCGCCACTCGGAAAACACAGAGGCATCGGATGGCTGAGCTGTGGGTTTCCATCAAGGGCAGCATTGTCGTGTCGAATATGAATAGTTATAATGTGGTATGGTCGTGACAGAGGTGCGGAAAAATCTGAGCACCGCACCCTTGAAGCATCATTTGCATCGTGTCCTTACATATCAAGCGTCATTTGCGCTTTCCGACCATGTTCCTCTAGAGTCAGATTGTTAGACTTTCATAGTAGCAGGCAGGAATTTTCCAAACTGGCGGCATACCGCTTTTTCTATGGTCTAGAAGGGGCAGCAGCGCTGTTTGACACTGGCACGAGGTGCGCAATGGGATGTCGAATACTTTCCCAACTTTGAGCTTCTCATAAGACTCTCCAAAGCATGGTTGAGGAATGTCGTTAGTTGCCATAGAAATCCAGAAGATGAGGGGTCTACGACGTCCCGGCCTCCATTCTCTGCTGGAAGCAAGAATTTGCATGATCAGCACTGTCGAGATACTGACTTCACTGGCACCAAAACGAACAATAGGATATGATGTTTTCCATAAAGCCAAGCGGGGGCACAGAATAGGCATACTGTACCTAATAGAGTGTCTCTCTTGTGTTGAATGAAACATGCCTAGTGGCCCTGTGAGTAGCAAGTAACACCAAGCAGATGCGGATCGTGTTTGGTTTGGGAATCTTCAACAAGGTTGACCTCTTTTAGCATTATCGACTTTATATTTCGAGATGGTAAGCTTCATAAACGCGGGAGTACTCTTGTCAATGGCTGGTCTATTTGCGGTACGTGTTTGATAACTGAGATCTATACGAGACCATGGTCTTCTTTGCACGAAGCGGTAACTGGTTATTGGGGTAATAGCCCTCACTCTGTGCGCTTCTCTGGTTTCTCGAATGCCATCACCGCATACTGGAAGGTTCCGTTGGCATATCCGCGCCTCATCGCGCGGAAGGATTGCAAGAAAGCAATGCCGTCCCGTCCCTGGCTGAAGGCGAAGGCCCAGAGAGATGGGTTCTGGATGAGAGACCAGGTGATGTCCCTAGATGGAGGATTAGTTCTGGGCGTGGAATTTGACTGTGCGCGGAGACTTACCAAGTCCTGCTCACGTCTTTGCTAATTTCCTTTGGCCCCGCAACCGAGGAAAGTCCGGCACCTTTGGCGAGGTCGACATATCCCTGCTGGGTACATAGAGGTGGCAGAAGCATACCATCTGGCATTGGAGATGCGTTAGCAGGGATCTGTCGAACGCAAGGTGACATGAAGATGACCGCCCACCTTCAATCGGTTTGATGTCGTTGACAAAGTCCGTCTCGCTGAGGCTCTCAGCCTTGAACCAGTCGGCCAGCGCCAACTTGCCACCAGCCTTGAGCACCTTGAATGTGTTCTCGAAGAACAATGCTTTGTTGGGGAAGTGGCTCAGGGCCTCGCTGATCCAAACCGCATCAAAGGAGCCTCCTTCGGCGGCAAAGAAGTCGCCCATCTTCTCGGCATCGAGCTCGATGAAGCGGACCTTACCCCGGCCCAGATGGAAGAAGCCATCGCTATCCGGCTCAGCCTCGGACTTCTCCGACTCCTTTGACGCCTCTGCTTTGGTTAGTCGGTTGGCGATCTCGACCTGCTTGGTCGAGATGGTGATGCCAGTGACTGAGCAACCGAGCGTTGAGGCAAGGTAGCGGGAGGTGCCGCCAATGCCACAGCCGACGTCGAGAACTCTGCTGTTCTCGCCTACGTTGGAAAGTTTTAGCAGCAGTTGAATGAGCTTGACTTGGGCTTGCTCCTTGGTCTCGGAGCCGTCTTCCCAGTAGCCGTGGTGAATGTGTTCGCCCCTGACATGGTCAAGTCAGCCAGGCAACGTTTTTGGACACATGAGATTGAGCGGATAACTGTGCACGGTCTCAAAACCTTCGGAAGCTGGCAAGGTGAGAAAGGGACGAACCAGAGGTTTGGAGTGGAAAGGGTGTCACATTGGGCAAAGTGAGTGAGAGGGAAAACACAGAGTAGCCTACCAGAGGCTCAGGTAATAGTCACTGGCGAGATCGTAATGCAGCTTGATCCTGTCCTTCAAAGCCTGCATCGTCGAGTGAGCCAGGCCGAGAGGGGTGTCATATTGCTTGCTGAGCTCCGTGTTGGAGTTGTCTACGGCGGCAGCCATCTCGGGAAGCGGAAAGAGGGGTTGAATATGAGTGAGGAGAGGAGAGGATAGGTCGTTTCCGAGGTAGAGATGCTGTTATTTTTATTTGTATGTTTTAAAGTTCCTCAAAATGACTTCTGCAGTGTGTTCAGGGCTGAAGCTGTCGAATGAGATGAAAATGCGCGAATATGAATCAACAGAGAGATGGATGGCAGACGAGACACCCAGCTCTGAGAGCTTCGAAGCTCTAAGCCAATAAGAGCACCAGGCATCTCCCAGTCAAATCATACGGTTGAGAACCCCGCAGCACGTTCAAGACGCAAGGACGTGCGTGCATCCTCAGCTAATGGCAGGTACGGATACCACCAGTAAGAATCGCATGTTTGAGCGTTAGTGAGGGAACATACCTAGACGTCATGTTTCCGTTGGGTGAAACGGGAAAGCTAAAACGCCTACCTACCTGGTACATAGGTATCCGTACCTTACCTAATAAATGCAACAACAGTGACCTCACTGCAGAGCCCAGCAGCGATTGGCCCCTGCTCACTGTTCGCTCCTTCTGCCGAGGGGCGTGGCACACCACCGCCGTTAAGATCAGATCAGCTCATCTCACCTCACATCACCTCACTCGTTCTGTTGAATCACGCTATCTTGTTCACATTCTAGTTCCATCTCGCGCATGCTCGCGCCTAGTAAAACAACAACTGACGTCCTCAACGGCCAAAAGATGGCCTCGGAACGGTACCCAAGTCTGCTCCTCTTGCCATTCCCACCCCGGCCGCCGTCGCGCGCTTCACTCAGCGCTGCCTACCGCCCGTCACTGCTGGCTGTTCTCCCAAGAATCAAGAATCCAAACCGCTCCTCCGTTCTCATAGTGGCCGTCGTGTGTCCGCTCCTCCGCGGGGCATCGCCGAAAACCAAATCGCTTTCGTGGCCAGCCGCACAGTCTCTCGTCGCTGGCCTCTACAGCCTCATCGCTGTTGTATGCGCAGAAGAGGACATCCCCACACATGTCCATGGGGGGGCCGGCTCCGTCGATGCTCGAGTTGTCCTGGTCGACCATGACGCTGAAAGGAGGTTCGACTCTGATTTTGTTGCCGCCGTTGAATCCAACAATACCACCGTAGTCGACCTTCCAACCTTCGCTTCGGCCTACCACCCCTGGAGCCTCATTTTCCACGTCAACAGCGAGCAAGGCTACCGAACTCTTTCCACATATCTCAAATTCGCCGAGGGCCGGCAGACCATTCTGCAGTCGCAACTAGTCGTCGTTGAAGCGGGGCTCAGCCTGAACCTCGACGGCCCAGGGGCTGAACAGGCAGAAGACACCCCAGGATACTCCATCGTATGTCTTGGCGGCACTTTTGACCACTTGCATCCGGGCCACAAATTGCTTCTGACGGCTGCGGCCCTTCTCCTTCGGGTACCGGTTAAGGACTCCACGACAACATGTCGTCTGATTGTGGGCATCACAGGAGACCAGCTGTTGACGAACAAGAAGTACGCAGAGCTCGTGCAGTCTTGGGATGACAGAGCTCGCTGCGTTGTCGACTTCCTCTCGTCGCTGCTCGAGCTGGATAAAGGGGGGTGGAAGAAGAAGGCGGGCCCCGTTGCAGGCGTCATGGCCCAGCCGGGCCGCATCGAGGCGACGTTTCGTGCCGGCGCCATCACGGTGGAGTGCGTCGAGATCCAAGACCCTTTTGGCCCGACAATTACACGTGAGGAAATGGACGCCTTAGTGTTTTCGGGAGAGACGCGGTCGGGTGGGCAGGCCGTCAACGAACGGCGGGTTGCCCTCGGATGGAAGCCGTTGGAGACGTACGAAGTCGAGGTGCTTGACGCCAACAATCTTGGTGACGAGGCAAGCGGGACAGACAACTTTGCGTCCAAGATAAGTAGCACAGCCATCCGGCAGCAAAAGGCAGAGGCCACGGCGAAGCTGGAGGGCAAGAGCCGGCTCTGCTAGACCTCTTCGACATGATTTGAGATTTGATGACAGCACACGAGCTGGGTTGAGTCGCGTCAGACCTTTGCATGATGGCATTAGAACCACTACCCACGTGGCGACGTCTGAGGAAACAAACGGCAAACGGCGAAGAGCAACACGGCTTCTCACTGTCTTTGGGTGACGGAGACGAGGGAACGGATGATATCTCTCCGTGTACCTTGGTGAGGTGAGGCCAGTCCGGGCCCAGGCACTGCCGTTGGAATACATCCAGACAAAGAGTTTCCATATCTATGTATTCCATTCTGCATCCCGTTTTGCGCACACGCACATACAGACACACACAGACACACACATATTTAAAAAGCAAATTGATTAGGAGAGGTCGGCGATCTTGGCGTGGGCCAGCCTGGTTCGCAGAATACACAGTATGTACACCAACTACCTACCTGTCTAAGTTCAGTACCCATTTGTTACCTATGAAGGATACCTATCTAGCCAAGGAGGCAGAAAAGTGGGATCTGCTCGTGCTGCTCTGCTTAGACATGGATGAAGTCGGTCGCTCACCTACATGATACTGTAGGTAGTAAGTATTACACTACTACCTAGACTTAGGTACTCAAACAACCAAGGTTGAGGTCGACCCTTCTGTGTCTTACGTAATATTGATCAAGCCACTCGCTAGCCATACAAACACTACCAAGTACATATGGGGTCGGCAAGCCACATGAGCCAAAAATAGCAGGCACAACTCAGTCGATCCCAATACAGTTTCCCCAGCCACCACCATCTCCAACCAACCGCCGGCACATGTCGCAGTGTGGCAGTGCCGTTGCCCAGTACCATTTGCACCGGCCGCCGGGATGGGGGGGGCCGTGTGGAACCCCTTTCAAAGCCAAACCAAACCCACCGGTACTGACTGGTGGTGTTGGCTGACTTGCGAGCCAGCGTCTGTGCTGTGTGTTGCAAGTTCGGATCAAGGAAGGGAAAACTGGGGAGAGACAGGGGAATGCAGCCCCAGCCTCAGCCCAGCCCAGCCCACGTCCGCGTAAGCCCTTCTTTCATCTTGCTTGTTTACGTATAGTCCAAAAAGAAGAATAGAAAAGAAGATACGGACGGCATTCAACAGTCTTTATTAAGACCCCTGGACCCCTGGCCCTCCCTCCCCGAAAACGCGTCGACGGGACCTCTCTCTTTCTCGTGTTTGTTCGCTCACCCACCCTCCCCCCCAGAGTCTGTCGCTACCAACTGTCATCGCCAATCAACACCAACAACACCACAAATCATGGCTCCTGTTCCACCAACAACGGCCAGGCAGAGCCTCGCTCGGGCCGGCGCCATCGCTTCTCACCTCTGGAAGCGCGCCGCCGTCGTCGTCCTCCCCGAGGTCGCCCGCGCAACCACATCCCATGCCCTCGCGCGCCGCAACCTCACCGTCAACCACACCCAGAGCGTCACCCTGGGCGTCATCGGCGCCTATGCCGTCATCATCGCCATCCTCTGGAACGTCCCTTTCCTCCGCCAGGTCCTCTGGCCCTTCAAGATGCTCGTCATTGCCTTCCATGAATTCGGCCACGCCATCACCGCCTGCTGTACCGGGGGCAAAGTACTGTCCATCACCCTTGACCCCAACGAGGGCGGCGCCACGTTGATGAAGGGTGGCAAGCAGGCCATCACCCTCCCGGCCGGCTACTTGGGGTCCTCGCTCATCGGCGGTCTGCTCATATTCTGCGGCTTCAACATCATCGCTTCCAAGATCGCCTCCATGGTGTTGGGGGTTTGCTTCCTGTTGACCCTCTGGTGGGGCAAGAAGGATTGGCTCACCATTCTCACCGTGCTTCTCGCTGTCGGTCTGCTGGTTGCCGCCTGGTTCATCTCACACGCCCAAGCGTTGAGGTTCGTTGTTGTAAGTCATGCTCAACGCCTGCTGCCAACTCTTCGTAACACCGCGCTAACCCCCCACTGCCAGCTCTTCATCGGCGTCATGAGCTCCCTGTACTCGGTCTGGGATATCTGCGACGACCTCATCTTGCGCAAAGTCAACAGCTCCGATGCCAGTGTCTTTGCCCAGCGCTACGGCGGCTCCTCCCGCTGCTGGGGCCTGATCTGGTCCGTCATCAGCATCTGCCTTATGGCGGTCGCCATCGTCGCGGGTCTCGCCGCTTTCCCGCAGTCCTTTGCCGAGCAGGAGAACGACTCCAAAAACTTCCTGCCCACCAGATGATTTCTTATTGGAAGAGCGATGCAGTTCAGCTCGCTAGCCCACGATAATAGGTTGCCGCGCGTTCCTCGCTGCCGCTAATCTTGATCGCTTTTGAGCAGACGGTGTGGGAAATGTCAACCCTGTTACGAACAAGGATGTGAACGATGCATACGGCTCGCGCAACGCTTCGTGTTGCCGACGACAGCTTTCATTTCTCGGCTTGGACGATTCATCGGCGACTCCGAAGCGGTACGCGTAGGAGATTCACGTTGTTCAAATGTAACGTAATTCACCCACATACCCGAATGCGGGTGTTGGGCGCCCGTAGGCGGAGACGCGATGGCCATGCCGTATTCAGTCGAACATCGCCTGGGTGGTTCATCAAAACGACAGCTCTCGGAACAGAGTTGTCTGTTGCTGAACAAAATCGCGACCCGAGAGACAGTACGGGTGTTTTGTGGATCGCACACCGTGATGGACGAGGCGGCAAAGGCGATCGAGTACGTCTGCACCTACGGTCCTTCATTTTTACGACCATTCCGGCGTCGGAAGGGGTCTAAAAGCCACATCTGATACCGGTGCCTTTTCTCCCCCAGGGACTCTCTACATGAGATGAAGGTTGAATCTAACGGGAGGAGTTTGCCAGCAGGCATCTTCCATTTCCAACCAGGAGACAGGTGTGCATAGAGTCACACTCGGTCTCAAGAAGACGATCTTCATCATCAGTAGTACTATTGTGAGATAGATTTGTTCATTTGTGCTAGTGTTAGCTATGCTCTCTAAGTATGTGGAGTAATGTAAGAGTGGTATCTCGCTCGCGTGCATCAATCACGACAAAATCGCATTTTCGCATTTACAGCCTCACCCGTCCACCGTTAAGCTCGTCCCAGTCCCGTTTCGAGAAGGGAACATATGTGTCGTTCTTCATCCAGTACACATCGCCAGGGATGCCTGGCTCAACGCCTTGTGCCCGTAAGCCGTGTTTTTGCTGCTTGTTCGTGCCGGTTCTCTGCATAGCATGGGGAGGTATGACGCGCAGGAAGAGGGGCAGAGCGTACTTGGGCAATGACTCCTTCACATGCTGCGCGATGCTCTTCATGACCTCCTCCGATGGCTTGCAGTGCAGGACCACAGCAGCGCATCCCGCACGGCCGTCATGGTTCGGCAGCTCCACGCCGTACACGTTGGCTTCTTGGACCGCCGGGTGCGAACCCACCGCCTCGCCAACCTCTTGTGTTGATACGTTCTCACTCTTCCAGCGGAAGGTGT